TGAAATCTGTGATCCTATCAGCGGAGAGTCCTCAGCAGCCGCAACATCGTACTCCGCACCGCTCGCTTCCTGGGCTTTGCGTTCAATGGCACTTTGGCTCCGGGGCTTTGGTGTTTACGGGTTCAGGCGTTCTGGTCCTGCAATGCTTCCCGTCACCCAACTTTAACTCTAAAGCCTAAACCTTAAACCTTAAACCGCCCAAGAGCCCTAGATAGTATCGTCCTTGAGCCCGAGGCCTTAGCATGTGCGTCCGTTTAAAATTGGAGTTGTAGAAGCAATGGGGTTGGGGTCATTTTATACTACACCTATATTAGGGACGATAAAGGGTCAATATTGCGGTTCATACATGCTTATATGTATATATATATATGTATACATACTAACCTAGACAATAGATGATGGGGATCTGGATTGTTAAGCAGAGATAAGCTCTACTGAGACCATATCTCCCAGCTACCCTGAACCCTTCACTTGTATTCAAATTATGAAGGCATAGAACACTATTAAACCCTCTTACAGAAGCCTTCGAAGAACCCAATTATTAAGACCCCTATCTTACCTCAACATAGTTGCTGAGGCCCGACATCCTCTGAGCAGGGATTGAACTTCCGGTGCTGTACTTGGAGGGTCGGGGAACTTAGTAACTAGGTAATAAGCAGAGTTGTAAGTACCCTAAAAGGGATCCTAATTGGGGATATGGTACTTATCACTCTCTAAAATAACCACTTAGTAAGTCCCACGACCCTCCAAGCAAGGCCGTAGCCTCTCTCCGAAAGTTCAAAGCCTCGCCGGATCCCGAAACATGCACCTCTTTCAGGACCGATAGAAGGAACTCGTGATAACAAGCCCGGAAAGGGTAGGTTGCTGCTTCCTTACGGCCTTAGGGTTTAGGCAAGATTCTATCTAAGATAGGGACTTAACAAGCAGGGTTTGGGATATATTCTATTGTAAACATTTTCAGGAGCCCGCAGGAATAGTATCCCAAATGCTCAGGCGCTTGTATTGCTCGGAGGATCATGGGACCTAGTAAGTAAGGGTACGAATATTTGAAAAAAAGACTACAAAACATTTTCATGTAGTTGCCAGATTTATAAGGCTTGATCCATTTAAGTAAGGCTGCAAGGTATATGTAGGGATGCGGGGTTCTCGGGCTTGGAGTTTTGGGTTGGGCTAGGGCTTGGGGGGCCTTACTGGTTGTACGAATGGTTTGAAGCTTACGGGACTGGGTGTTTGGGACTGGGTTGTGCTGTGGGGCTTCGGGTTTAAGATATTAGGCCATAGGCCCCGACCCAAAGAGCTCAGAGGATATGCTTAGCTTAGCATGTATAATACTAAAAACAATAAGAAGAATACTAACAGTAATAGTAACAATAATAGATATTCATGAGACCTTGTTTTTAAGTATTAAGTATATTCAGTACTGGATGGTTGCAAGGTCTGGGTATTCTTATCATCTTATGAAGTTGTGTGAAGATCTTATACAAACAAGTTGTTCTTTGAAGCCCTTAAAACCCGCTGCACACGTCCTCTAATCAAAAACCCCTTGAGACCCGGTACAGCCTTCAACAAGAATCCTGCAGCAATGCACCGATACAACCTTATGGACACACCGTGAATCATTCTGCAAAACGCTATCAAGTACTCCTGTCTTGCGCCTGTGAAACGCCAAGGAGCGTTGGCTTTCATCAGCTTCATTCCCTGCTCCGCCTCTCCACACAGAGCGGGACGACTATATCTATATATATATATATATATATATATATATATATATTTCTATATATATATATAGAGTTGTATATGTGTACATATGTATATATATATAGAGAGAGAGAGAGAGAGAGAGAGAGAGAGAGAGAGAGAGACAGTTTGCAAGCAATGTGGAGGACCCTTTCAGTCTTATAGGAGTCATAATTAGGGTCCAAAATGGGGACATGAATCTTGGGTTTTCGGGTCTGCCATCGTGCAACTATATAGGGACTATAGGGGAGTAACATTTAGGAGACTTTGTTCCGTTCCAGCAATTATTTTAGAGTTTGGAGTTTAGGGTCTTGTAGAGCGCGCGCTTTGTCCCAGGCCGCTGTAAGCATCCCCCCAAAACAGAAGTCCCCGGACAGAGTTAGGGTTTGGGTTCAAGGACTATGGTTTACAAGTGAACCCCTAACTTAGCTCTAAACCCTAAAACCTACCCCTAAACCCTGAACCCTAAACCCTAAACCCCAAAGCCCAAATCCCAGAACCCTAAACCCTAAACCCTAAGCCCTAAATCCTAAATCCTAAATCCTAAACCCTAAACCCTGAACCCTTTTCGGGTGTTACAGGTCGGCCCAGTACCCCTCAATCGCTCTTTGTCCCGGCCCGAAGGTGTCTTTCAATTCTCGCGGCGGCTGGAGCGAGGACATGGGAGGGTTTAGGGTTTAAGGGTTTAGGGTTCAGGTTGAGGGTTTAGGGTTGAGGGTTTTATGGTGTAGGGTTTAGGGTTTGGGGCGATAGCCTCGCATGGTGTCTTTTGGGTCTTCATCCACATGCTGCGTCAGGGCAGCGATGAAAGCTGTGTCGTCCGCGGTTTGCAGTTGGTACGGCGAGATGAAGGCGGATAGTGCTTTGGGATTTTGTAAATAATGGATCTATCATCGGAAACTTAAGCTACGGTTGATGATATCAATCCTGCATTACCTTAAGGACCCTAAACTATAGGAATTATGGTATATTCCTGATTATGGGTAATGCAGGATTTATATCATCAACCGTAGGAGTAGTCCTGCGAACTGTTCAGGCTGCATGTTTGCAAATTCCTACTTCTGGAGTCAATGCTGCCGAAAGCTTCACCTTGTGTTGTACTTGGGTGAGGACGGCGAATGCATTTACCTTGTAAACGGAAAATTAGGAACGCCTATAGTAACCCTCGCAAAAAGCCCTGAACTCAGATTGAAGCTCACCCAATGTGGAAACCAAATCCCCGGCCAACTGTAGGGCGGTAGATCCTACGATTTTGGGGGGGTTAAGCAAGAACCCTAAAACCATGAGCCAAATCCTACAGCCCTAAACACAACGATCTAACTCCCAAACCAGCATGAAACTCTTGGAAAACCCAATAACGGACCCTCACAGAGCCCAAAGTCTAAACCCTGAACCCTAATTTCTAAATCCTCAATCCCAAACCTGAAAATCGACACCAAAAAGGGCCTGAAGTTCGAGAGCACCGCCCCTGGTCCTGGCACGCAGAGCCAACACTTTGAGGTGAGGGGAGCGCGTTCCTTGAGCGTTTCCTTTCATAAGGGCGCTAACAGGGGCTAAAGCTAAGGGCTAGTTTAAAAGTGGCTGAGGAGGCTACTTGAGTGGGGGGCAGTTCGGTTTGCCCGGGGCTTCGATGATGAGGTTTAGGGCTTATGACTTTTGTGGAAGTTGCGGTTTTGGGGTTTGGGGTCTCAGGGCTTCATTCTCCGGACTGTATCGGGCTTTGAGCCCTCAGAGGCCCTTAGCTGAGCAACATCAGGTAGGGGCCTCAACAAGTAGACTTGGGCTTTGGGGTAGCTTTTGCCATTGTCTTTCTCAAACAGTCTCCGGCCAAACTCCTGAACCCTGACCGCTAACCTAACGCACTCTCGGACCGAAATGCCTGTCGATGGCCGCCATTGCGAAGGATCGGAGAATGAGGCTCAGTGCGGTGGAGATGCTTCTTGAAACCCAGCTGGCTGCGATGGCTCCGGAACTAGAGACCATAGCCTGCTTTTATGTGGGTTCTCCTTCTGAACCCGGATATACAATTTTGTAAGATATCAAGACCCTACAAACAAGTAGGTTTTGCTAGGTGAATGTACGTTGCGGGTAGTTTGTAGCGCACGAGGTGTTTCTACTTCTGATCAGGGTGTACCCAGAAACTCCAATATCCCTTAATTATGGAATATACCTTAAATCATAAAAAGATCCTTAATATTATTTAAGGTATATTCCTTAAGTAATGGATTTTGGAGTCTCTGGGTAGGTGACACTGACCACTATCCCACGCCCTGCTGTAACGGCCTTATCGAGGGGTATATTCGCGTATACCTATACCTATAATAGGGAAACCTGACCTAAGGAATAGCATTGATAGGCTTCTATGTATCAGTCCATACATGTACACTCGGTCTCGGTATTTGTGGTTTGACTTATGGGGATTTCGAGATGAGGCTTTTGACATGTCTTTGGGATTTACGCTCTCTTGGATGCAGGAGTTGTGAAGGATGTAAACCGCTGGGGTCATGAGTCACAATCTGGGTTTGATGATAGGTTTGGGGACAATGTGCTTGGCAGGCGACGGAAGGCCCGCAGGTTCTTCGAGTGTGTGCGGTTGAGGGGTTCTGGGTTTGGGCATGGGGCGGAGAAAGCTTTTGCATGTTCCGCGAAGCGAGATTTGACTTGCGGCTATGTGGAATGCTTGGCAAACCTCCGCGCGCACAGCTGTCCGAAGATGCAAAGAAACACAACGAGCAGCCTGCACGCCTCAGAATCTAAATCCTAAACGTTCATAAACCCTAGAAAATGAAAACCTAGAGTCCAAAAACCCACAACCTCCTAGGGGGTGGCGCGTTGTTGCTTTTTGTTCTTAGGGAGTTCAGGCGTTAGGCTATGAAGATTTGCTGGAATCCTCGGATGCAGTAGGGTGGCCCCGATACCCCGGTGGTACGATCTTAGGCTGAACCTCTCGGAGCCGATTTCATCGGATCGACAAGTTTAGGGTTTTTTTTTGGGTTTAGGGTTTAGGGTTTAGGGTTAAAGCCTGGAATGCTGTGATCCGGAAAAACGCAACATTTTTGTTGCAATGTGCTGGGGCTAACCTTTCAGTTCTGGTAGGATTATACGAACGCCAATAGCTTAAAAGTTACCTACAGCTACAAAGAAACCCGAAACCCCGAACCCGGAGCCCTAAACCCTACACCCCACACCCGAAACCCCGGACCCCAAGCCCCAAACCCCAAGTCGAGTCCTCGAAACACTTCTGAAACCCCCAAGGCCCATGCTTGGCAAGAGCCCGATAGGCCTGGCTGGCTAAGCCCCTACGCAGAAAGCCCAATAGCACTTTAGTCAGGAATATAGCTTAAATCATAGAAAGGATCCTACTATAATCTGAGGTATAGTTCTTGATTAAAGAGTATATTGGGGTCTCCGGGTAGCACAACCCCAAAGTCGTAGGTTTAGGGTCTTCGGGGTTTGGGGTCTTAAGGTCTTCCGGGATCGTTGAAGATTTAGGGTTTGGGCTGTAGTATATTTAATTTTTGCAATTTGGGAGTTTCCCAAAACTAGGGATACCTTATTTGGGGGTCCTTATAATAAGGATCCTACTATTTAGGGTACTATATTAAGGTCCCCTATTTTCGGAAACCCCCATTTTTTTAAAGTGGCAGTTTAAGGTTCAGGTTTGGGCGTGGCGTCTAGGGCTTGGGCTTCAATTTAGAGCTGATGATTTCAGGGCGTTTTGGGGTTTAGGATCCTGGTTTAGGGCAGAGGGTCTAAAACCCTATGAAGCATCATAAGGGCCCTGCTCGGTGGGTCATGGCTGCTGTTGGGATCCGAACAGCTCCCGCTCCCATGTCCATGAAAGCCTACAGTAAAAGCCAGAAAGTTGGAATATGATTATCCTAAACCCTTTATGGTAAATTATAGGGTATCCTACCCTGAAACCATATTCCAACTGTCTGGAGTTCCCTTTACATCTGAGCCCCCGAGACTCCACTGGGAGCGGTAGGCCCACACCGTGAGATCACGAGGGCCCTCCGTGGGTACAGTGTTGGCATCATGTAAGTGCTTCAGTACGTCACCAATATCGTACTGCTCCGCGGGCTTCCGCAAAGTGCGGATAATGAAAGAGGCGAGCAGAGCCTCCTGCCGTGTTCGGAAGATTTCCAAGACTAGAGGTCTTCCAGCTGCGAGGAACGATCCAAGCTTGGCATATGATTTAAAGCATATTTCCCTAGTTAAGGGATATTGGAGTCTCTGAGCCCCTGGCCCAGAGAGACCAAACTGCTTTCGCTAAGCAATATACCGTAAGCCGTACCTACCTTAACCCACCAAAACCCGCTTTTTGCAGGGCCCCTATACAATCCGTATTTTTTGGCGTATGCCCGACAAAACCGGTAGGTTTGTGTAGACCCTGGGATTGGAGTATCTTTTGCTGGTTGCTTCAATCCCCCAACCCTCGACCCTAATTCTCCGAAAATAAGATCCGAACCATAGACTCGCTTTCCGAACAAAAACTGCTGCAACCCAGGGCCAAGCTGCTAAGGGTCTCTCTCCTTTGTTGTAAACGAATGCCTGATGAAACCTGCATTATAATCCTGGTTTACCCTAAACCCCTAAAGGAAAGGAACGGGTCTGTACAGCATTCCTTAATACCTTATATCATATTTGGGATCCCGCTGTAACTTAAAGCATATTCCTTAATTAGCGGATATTGGAGTCTCTGGATAACTTACCTTTTAATTTTGAGGGTTCCCTAAAATGATTTTTTCATATAAGTCATGAAAAAAGCAGTCTAGTTGGGGTTACGGTTTGACTTCCAGGACCCCGCAAAAATACCCTTTCATAGAGCCCTTATGGCCCGTACTGCTGGGTATTTAGGGTACGTTAGAGGGTAGTTGGGGGGGTCTAGGACTATAATTAAGCCTGTTGAATCAACATAGACACACTGATTTTTACGACCTCTTGGGTCTATCCCGCAAAGAAAATGAAAGATAGCTCCTAAGGAACACCCAGTGAAACCGCCGCCTGAGTTATCTCCTCTGGCGTCGCGTGTCGTGGAACGCCCAACCTGAGAGTGGGGTTCAGGCTTATGGCGCCGCAAGGGGTAGGGCAAGGGTTTAGATTTTAGATATCTGCCCCAAAACCCTGGGCCTACTTTGTTTGGGTGGGGGTGGGGGTTTAGGCTTAACAAAGCTTTCGAGAAGGATCCTCTTATATACGCGAACTCTACTCTAATCTCGCGTAGGCTGCAGAAGGTATTTGCATGCACTCCCACACAAGCACCACCGCAAAGCCCACATTCTAACAGGGGGCTGCAAGCACGTAACGAACATATGATACATAAACACACAGACGAGACAGTTCACATATGCACCCTAATCCACACACATGTTGAAACCACAAACTGCCACTCCTCAACCATGTAGGTGTCTGAGAGGTACTGGGTTCTTGTTAAGGAATCTAGTCTAAGTTGCCGTAGTTAGGAAACAGGATTGTTCGCTTAGATCCCTCTTTAGGTACACCATTTACATGAGTTTCTTCAACAAAAACGCAGGGGTAGGGCTGGAGGCTCATTGGTCCTAAGAGGCTTAATGCCTAAAGCATAGGCGACCTACGGCAAGACCTAAAATCTAGGGCTTCTGGGCTAGGTCCGAAGGTTTAGGGCAACCGCCAGCCGATGTCATGCCTCTGTACCGTGTCATGATCGCTACTTGGAGGATCATGGCACTTAGTAAGTAAGGATATCAGCACTTCAATTGGGGTTATCAGTACCTGTAAGTATTGTTACCTTATTTATAACCCCAGTTACTACCTACTTGTCGGGTATCATGGGGAACTAAAGGTTAACCTTTTTGGTTATATAGGGATTATATAGGGACTATACTACCCAAAAAAAGGTTAAAGGTTGCCTACTCTACTACTAGGACTAAGTCCCATGATCCTCCAAGTAGACCCTAAACCCTAAACCCTTATAGATCCCTTATAAAACCCTTTAAGGAGCTCCTTTGAGGAACCCTTTAAGTTACTAAGTCCCGTGATCCTCCAAGTAAACCCTAAACCCTAAACTCCCTAAACCCTATATAAATCCCTTCAAGGAACCCTATAGATCTGTTTCAGGGCCCCCTAGGCCTTTATGGGCATCACCATCCTCCAAGGAGACCATAGAGACGGCTCTGCATCCCAAGGGGTCCTACTGTTGATGGACAAAACCCTGCATTTCCCGTTATACGGAATATACCATAATTCCCATAGTTTAGGGTCCTTATGGTCATGCAGGATTTTGTCCATCAGCAGTAGGTACTGTTCTGGGGAATCCTTCCCCAAAACATAGTAGTAATTCCTAATTTCGAAACACCACAGTCTACCATATAGTAACTTGGGACCCTTTGGGAAAATTCGATGCTGAAGGATTTTAGGAAGTACCGGAAACCTTGAATTCCAAACTTCACCTACGCACTACCCCGTTTTAGCAATACCGGCTCAGCATGCACATCCCCTTACCTTATGGGTTTTGAGTAAATTTTGATACAGGCACATTCGGGAAATCTATGCCTAACTATGCAGGCCATTGAAGGAGAAACCCTAAACCCTAACTTAATGTTGAAGCATATATAGCGACCAACATTATTCCTTAAAGTTTCTGATTATAGTTTTACTATAAAGGAGCTCAAAAACCTGTTGTAACTTAAAGGCCCTAGATTACAGAACCTTACTATAGATCCCTTATAGACCCTGTTTATAGGAACCCATTTAAAGAAACCCTGTAGGTGTCTGCGGGTCGGGGGTTAGCTTCGCGTCGGCAGTCGCTGGGACTTTGGCCGAGGGCTCGATGCTTTACGCCGTGGGATAAGAACCTCTGCTAGTACATGGGGCTATTACACTAGATTGTACTGTGTCATAAAATATTGAATATTTTTTCTACTATAATATGTGTCTTCAACAGTTTTCGTCACACTATTTTTAAAATTTGATATGCTATACTCGATTCTAGGGACAACTAATACATAGAGTTGGGGGTGTACTACACTTTAATCTTTTGCAGCCGCAAGGTACACTACAATAGTTCCAACAATGGCAACCATATTGGTTTCGATGCTTATCAGACTCGGCTTCGGGGTTGTGGGAGGAGATATTCCATGAATCTTGAAGCTTAAGACTTCCGCAACCCAACACCATAAACCACAGACATAGTATACGGTTCTGCTGGTTCCGAGCATCCGACACCTGGTAGTGGTCAGGCACCTGGCAGGTTGAGGCTTGTCCGACGGCTTGGGCAGATCCGACTAATGAAAAGACCCTTGCCAGCGTGTACCGTCTCCTGCAACGTCGTCGAAAGTCAAACTGCAGCACCCAAAGCAGGGCTTTAAATTCAATTAGATTTCTGGCTTGCGGAGCCGAAGCACTATAAGCCTTGGACCCAAACCGAAACCGGCTTCATATCCAACTGCACAGACTACGTGTCTATATGTTGCACTTGTATGTCCCCACTGTTTGTGTATCTATTTACTTTGTTCATATAAAGATATACCAAAGTTGAAGCAATAGCTTAAACAACCGCCGTGGTTTATAGCAGCTTTGGAATGAAAACGAGGCTCAGGAGATCCAAGGAAAAAGCGGGCTGGATACTCTAAGGGCTTCCGTAATGGAGTTCTGTTCATGGTTAGTGTAGGGGTTACTCCAAGGGTTTAGCAAAGGGTTCATAGTTAGAATAGGGTTTTTGGGGTTTAAAGTCTAGTAGAATCATAATCGGAGCCCTGAGGAACACCCAAACCCCCAAATGTATGCAAAATGATGGCCCAAAACCTTTAAAGGGTTCTTATTCTACACACTTTTGGGGGCCCAGGTAGTAGTGTGGGCAATTCAGGCTTCTATACTAAGCTATGAAGGGCTATTGTGACATACACCTTTTGGTGCAGGTCGTGTTGGGTGATTTAGGCTTCTATACTAATCTTTAGATCTCCGTTCGGGAAATGCCTCCTCGTCTTCACCGGCATAGTGCCGATCCAATACATTCCTGCCAGGATGCGCTTCGATTCTCAAGGTCTAGGGTAGGGTTTAGGTTCTTTAGGGTTTTTTGTTGCTGTGCGGCTGCTGATGGAGACAATCCTGCATTACCTTGATCACCCTAACCTACGGGAACAGTGGTGTGCTCTCTTTGCTTGATGGGTCCTGTAATTAAATTAGGTTTCTTCATCAGCAGGAAAGCAAGGATTGCCATGGAGCTCCGGTTTCGGATTGAGGTTTCCTTGGATTTCGGGCCTTGCATACAAGGTTCCGTATGTTGCTCAGGAACTGCTCAAGAATGCAGGTGAGTCAGGAGACCTGGTCCGCGCTCTCGTTGCGCTAAACCTCCCTCTTCTTGCTTGTGGGTTTCGGTTTCAAAATACCCCTACAGAGGGTGGGCCTTCCTGCGCAGATACGTCGCACCAGAAAGGCCACGACGTACGAGCATGTCGCACTATAGTCGACCGGGTTGTGCTCATCGACGGTCCCTTTGGCACAGAAGTCGAAGGCTTGCCTCGCCCGTAGCCCCTTCGAAGTCTCTCGCATAGCAACTCCGCAGGCATGAAGAGTTTCGCAACCTCATCACAGGTACTATTCTCCCACGGACTGCGCATTTCTCTTCGGTAACCCACTTAGACCAGTGACGAAAAGTCGCAGCCAACCATAAACCCAGAGACTCCAATACCCCTTAATTGAGGAATACACCTTAAATTATAATAGGATCCCGAACCTGCCAACCCTAAGCCTCCCAAAACTGAACTCTAAACCCTGAACCCCGCAAACCCCAAACTCTAAAAGTTGAGAACCCAGCAAACCCTAAACTATGAAAACCGAACTCTGGACTCTAAACCCTTAACCATGAACTCCAAACCTTGAAACCTTGGTCGGTCCTTGTTCGACCTGCGATATTTCGACTCTCAGGCCGTCGAAGGGGGTCCTGTTTTGAGGGCGTTTGGGCGCAATGCTACGGGTGATGATATAAATCCAGGGGTTCCGTTTAGGGTTTAATAGGGTTTAGGGTTAATATATATATATATATATAGCATATATATATATATATATACATATATATATATATATAAATAGCAGGAGTCCTGCATTACCTTAATGATCCTGACTATGGGAATCATGGTATATTCCGTACTACGGGTAATAATGCAGGGTTTAAATCATCAACTGTAGGTTTCTGTTGGGTTGGAAAGGCTTTGATCCCCTTGCTTGAGCTAAGGAGATTTGTCAGAAAGTAAACAACAAATCCAATGATGGTCTTGGCGAGGTCCTAAAACCTTTCTGAAGAGGTTTACGCCAGGCTCCCGAGTATCCCCTTGAAGTGAACTCCAGAGAGTTGGAATATGGATTAATGGTAGGATCCCCTATAATTTACCTTAAAGGTGTTACGATAATGATATTCCAACTTTCTGGCTTCTGCTGTAACGGCGAGGATACAGGACACCCGTGCTCTTCAAAAACACCAGGGGTCATGGTGCTAAGGGCTTATCGTAGCACGGCCTGTGCTATCACTGCAGCACTACAGTATTTTTGACTGCCACCCACGAAGGGTCCTTATGCCCTACAACTCCTTTCGAGAGTCTCTGAGCAGTTGGGGGCTTATCACAGGAGGTATAACAACTCGAATAGGGTATAGTCAAACGTTATAATACTCTCCCCTCCCCCCTCCCCGAACAAACCTATTCCATTCGTCGAAGACCTTGTCTCCCTGGTTCGTAGTAGGGAATAGGGGAATGGATCCCTATGACAGTCCCTGAAGGTCCCTCATAGCAATCCCAATAACTAACTCCTTCCTTCATTCCCTATTAAAAGGGGGGTGCCCTTTTAGGATAAAGGGGGTTATAAGGGAACCTAAACCCTCAACACGGGAAGAAGGGCCTACTCTCGGTCCAAGTGCTTTCGGATTCATACACTGGGGTTCAATAGGGTTTACTTGGAGGGTCGGGACTTACGGAGGCAATAAGTAGAGTTATAAGTACCCTGAAAGGGATCCTAATTGCGCTTACGATACAAAATGACTCTATAAAATAACTACGGAATAACTCCGCCGACTCTCCAAGTAGGGTGCTAGAACCACTATAACAGGGGTTTACTGTTGAGGGGTTTAGGGTTTAGGGTTTTAGGTTAGGCACTTCGGGGTTTAGGGTTTCATAGGTCATAGGGTTTAGGGTACTTGGAGGGTCGGAGGCCTTAGTAAGTAGGTAATAAGTAGAGTTATAAGTACCCCAAAAGGGACCTTAATTGGGGTTATGGTACTTATAAGTCCCTAAAATAACCAGTTACTAAGTCCCCCGACCCTCCAAGTATAGGCTCGGCTCAGGCTTTCGGGCTTTTCGAAGCCGTGACAACTCTGGTCGGGATCGCCTCTGGGTCGTCTTGCTTCTCCTGCGCCTTGCGCTCCGCCTCCAAAGCTAGGACACCCGCAAGGGCCCTTTAAATAGAGTCCTCGTGGCCCTTAGTAACTCTTAGTAGTGGGTAATTGGGGTATGTTCGAGGCCGGGCTTTCGGGGGTATACTACAGGGAACCCTTGAAGATTTCAAGATACGATACCCTCATTCTGAAACCCCATGATGGTGAGATACCTCTTTTCCACTGCATTTGCGATTTGATGTTGGAATTCCTTTCAGGTGCGAGCTTTGGCAAACTAGGCCATCAGCACTGGGCTTGCAGGATGCACCACTTCCGAAGCCGTGTTGAATAATGATCAAGACCATCCTGAGGGCTTCTTCATATAACGATGCTACCATATTTACCCCAATCTCCTGTTGTAACCATGACCATAAGGGCCCTGCAAAGGACCCTGCTCCCTGATCTTTGTCCTACCCCCTAAGCCCTAAAACTTAAACCCTCAACCCTTCATGATCCCCTTGCCGTCCAGAACCAAAGAACCAAGCCTTCAACCAGCGCCTTAGGGCTAAGGCTTAGGGAGTAAGATCGTGGCGTTATTGCTTACACCGAGTTTTTGAAAAGGCCTTTATAGCGTTTCGACAGTGTGCCCTAATACCTGCTCGGTTGCATCTGTTTGCGTGGCCAGTGGTGTGGGGGTGGGTCTAGGGTTTCGGCACGAAGATGCAATACGCAGTTGCAGTTGAAGGTATTATTTGCAGAGAGAGATTCTGGGGTAGTTATTCAGGAAGGCTTAAGCTTCGACTCTCGCAAGCTTTATAAGGGGGTTTAGGGTGTATGAGTTTAGGGTGTAGGGGTTCAGGTTTTAGGGGTCTGGGCTTAGAGGGTATGCTCGATTCCAACAGTCTTCTGCAGCCAAAGCCAGTGAGAAAGAATTCGCAAGGCCCGATAAACTGAAAGACATTCGGTTAAAGCTCTGTTTGCACCCTCATACAGTCCTTCTAAAGCCCTGTAAGAAACAACACCTCGCAAGCTCCTAAACCCCAAACCCTAAAACAGCAAACCCTAACCCCTAAACCCTAACTCATGGTTTCCCTCTCTCCGGCCTCCCATTTTAGCCGCTCCTGTCGCAGCCGCTCCGCCTCCTCTGCGCGGCGCTGCCATGCCTCACTTTGCTTATACGATTTACGAATTCATGGTTGGATAGTATGGAAAATTCACATGTTTATTCCTTATTGGGTTATAAAGTACCCATAAGCATGTGAAAGGTTACCCAACTATGACAAAGCTTAGGGCTGTCTGCTACTCTGGCTTTGTCCTTAGAGGCTGATTGTCCTAACCCAAAAAAGGCTAACGTTTCCACTTATGGTAGGGTTATACAAGCCCCAAAAGGCTAAAGGTTATTAAAGGTTACCTACTCAGCTACTAAGAGTCTCTGTTTCAGGGTTCAGGCTGTAGGTTTTAGGGCCAGTTGACGGTTCCCTGCATCTACTCTGTTCGTAAGGGTAGATTGGGCGTTGACGTAGTACGAGAGGTCTAACACAGGGGCCTCGCCAATTTGACCTTGCACAATTTTAGCATGTCCGATTCGACAGCCCAATCGAAACACTCAGAAATTACCCCGTCCCCCCCCCCACCCCAATCCCTAAACCCTAAACCCTAAACATCCCTAAACCCCTGTGATAGTGGTTCTAACCCCGAGGCCCTTAAGCCCTACACCCCTCCCCTTCCCAGAACGCCTCGAGATCCCTCAACCTCCTTATTTCCCTTAAAGAACCTTTTATAAATCCATTTGAGGAACCCTTAGGGGTATACTCCTTATTTAAGGGATATTGGAGCCGCCAAGGCCTCGAGAGCCCTTAAATTAAAGGAATACCCTAAACCCTAAACCCTACAGATCCCTTAAATGAGCGTTTAAGAAACCCTCAGAGGAGCCCTTAAGGATCCCTTAAAGGAGCCCTTAAAGATCCCCCAAAAAGGAACCCTTTGAGCCTCTTTTGAGGGAACCCTTATAGATCCCTTATATATCCCTTAAATTACAGGCACCCTTAAGGATCCTTTAAAGGAACCCCTTATGGAACCCTCTGAGGGCCTCGAGATCCCGGTGCTGGCGCTCAGCTGCTTCAGCTCGTTTCCTCCGTTCCTCCCGGGCCTCGGAGCGCTAATTTTTTGCGGTTTTCCCGGAGCCTCCCAAAATGATCCTTACAGTACACCCCATAAAGTTGAGAACCGGATTCAGGCCGAACAGTGCCGGGATTCCCTTTACATTACACTTAAGGATTGAGGCTATGGGGTTCCGAACTTTTTGGCTTCAACTGTAAAGGAATCCAAAAATCCGTTCCTTAAAGGGATCCTGAAAGGGATCCTTAAAGGGATGCAAAAAAGGGCTCCTTAAAGGTTTCCTTAAAGGTTCCTCCCGGGCCTCGGACTGGGAGCCCTCCCAGAAATCCCTTAACTTTGGAATACCTAGGCTTCGGAAAATTCAGGGATCTATAGGGTTTAGGGTTTGAGGGGCTCCAAGACCCCTCAATTAAGGAATACCTGGGGTTCCCATAAGGGATCCTCAAAGGCTCCTTTAAGGGATCTCTAGGGTTCAGGGTTCTCAGAGAGTCCAATATCCCTTGGTTAAGGAAGATACCCCTTAAAGGGTGCCTTAAACGCATCCATAAGGGAATTAAGGAGTATACCATATGAAGGATCCTACACGAAATATACGGTATATTCCTGACTAAACTGATATTGGAGTCCCGCGGTTTGTCCCTCGTCAACAGCTTCTGGGATGGTGTAAAGGCTTAGAGTTTAGGATTTAAGGTGTAGGGTCTAGTTTACAGCTTTGCCCTTCAAAACAGCTTATGGGATGATTTCGGGAGAAGGTTCATTTGTAGGATCCTTAATATGGAATATTCCTTAATTCCCCTATGGATCCCTTTAAGGAACCCTATAAGGGGTATCTTAAGCTATGCTTCAGGGCTTCGTCCCGCAAAAGCAAGTTTCAGGATGCTGTTTCTTGATCTCAGCGGTTTTCGCCTTTGCCGGAAGCTGAGTACATCACAACAAGGCCCCGACATTATAGCACCCTGAAAGGTCCCTTGTAGTAACCCTGAGAGATCCCTTCAAAGGAACCCTATTTTAAATGTTAGGACCCTTATATTGTAGAGTACATCACGAAGACAGACATGCTTGCTTTTTTGGAGGCAAGCGGAAGATTTTGCAGGCACTACCAGAGGGTTTGCTACGGGTAACCCTTACAGCTCTCTACTTCGTAGATCCTGCCAGGGGGCTTTGCAAGTGGGGCAGAAGTGTAGAGTTCAATGTCGGATAAGCATCGATTAGGATACCTATACCTCTGCTTGAAGCTATATTACACTGAACGCCCCTGATCCTGTAAGTCGTGGACTCTGAACCCTAAGCCGTAAACTCAAACCCTAAATCCCTAAATCCTGAATCCCGAGACTCCATAAATCCTAAACCTAAGCCCCACACCCTAAAAGCTCTGAGACTCATTTTACGTGAGAAAGCCAGGGCAGGCCTCTCGCTGCTCCGTTGCTGCAGCTCGCGACAGAACTGTCACCCCCTGCGATGGCCGGGCTGCAGGGGGATTTTTTAGGGCCTCCTTTTCCTGGTCCTTTAACTTACTGGCCGAGAACCCAAGGAAATACAAGTTGAAACTTTCAGAATCGACTGCCGCATTGTCTGGAACAACATGCTGCAGTTTCCAGACTTAGGACTTAGGACTTGCCTGGCATGATGGGTTGACCCTGCAACATCAACCGTCAAACCCAAACCCGCAAACGACCAAAAACAGGTACGCAGGCGCTCGCGTAAGCATGCGCTCGTTATCTCACGACCGTGCAGCAACGAAAAACCCTAAACCCTAAACCGAAACCCTAAACCCTAAAGCAAGATGCACGCCACCTGAAACCCTGAACCGATCCCACCTGGATCTCCGTTGGAAGATATCGGATCTCGCCATGTGGGTTTTGCACTCGGAGCCAGCCTGGAAAAAGAGTCGTAACAAAACTGATCCTACTCATCTTCACGATTCCTGATGCCAAACAAGACCAACACAAGAAAATTGGTAACAAGTCTTGGCGCTGACTTCTGAACCCCTCCAAAAAGATAACTTTTAGCCTCCTTGTTATGGTTCATATAGAAACCCAAAAAGTTAAAGTCCTAAGAGCCAACCAGAAGAACGCCAAGAAGTGAGCCTAAGGATCAAACTAAGGCGAACAGGACACCGATGTTAGCTCTAGCACTTGGTGGGTTCTGTGCTGCTGCATATCTGGTAAACCCCATGTATGCCACTGTTACGATTCCTATTGTGTGTGGCGACGACATTATCCGGAACAGCTATCATGGCTAGTGTTGACTGAACATAACCCTGAACCCTGAACCCTCAGGCCGCAAGCTCAATTTGGGAGCCTCATAATAAGTAGAGAAGGGTTTTCGGCCATATCATTGTATAAGCATAGTAAGGAACCGGTTGTATGTTACACTATGTGTTGTTGGGCTGGCGTGGCCCAGATCGCTTCAGGGCTTAGAGTTTGGGGCCTTGGATGCGACTTGTCTACATTAACAGTAACATGAAGGTACTCCCATGCTTTAGATAACGACGGCTCATACAGTTGTCAAATCCGAAACCCTGAACTTTCAGCTCTGACCCCCCTGATTTCTGAATTTGAACACTCCGCGACAAGACACGGTTTGGGGTTGCTTGGAGGGTCGCGGGACTTACTAAGTAGCTATTATGGAGAGTTATAAGTACCATAACCTCAATTGGGGTCCCTTTTAGGGTACATATTACTCTACTTATTACCTACTTACTAAGTCCCCTAACCCTCCAAGTGGGGCCCCTTATCCGAAAATAACATAGGGGCCTAAATAATTAGAATAGGGTTTTGGGGCCCATTGTAGTATAACCATAATAAGGAACCCCCCCACCATAATATTGGTAATTATTGAAGCCCTTTTGTATCTCTCCCAGCGGCCGTCACCCTCATCGATGCCCAGCACCTTGGCTCTTGGTTGGCTTGCACGGGTCCGCACTTCTAAGGGCTCTGAATAACATAGGACAACCCAGAAACTCCAATATCCCGTCATGTAAGGAACGTACCTTGGGTTCCTTTAAGGGATCTATACGGGATCCATAGGGAAGAGGCTGTAGGGGACTCCAATATCCCTTAATGAAAGAATATACCTCAAACCATATTGCGGATCCTACGAGAACTTAGGGTCGATTCCTTAATTAAGGGATATTGGAGTCCGCTAAATTCCTAAACCTATCTCTCCCTGATAGATCCCTCAACGGAACCTTAGGTATATTCCTTAATTAAGGGATTTCGGACCTAAACCCTATAAACCCTGAACTAAGAGACCATTGAGGCAGATGTTTTACAGTAAACCCCGTAAAGTTGGAAACCCCATAGCCTCAATCCTTAAGAGTCATGTATAGGGAATCCCAGCACTATTTGGCCTTGTACTGTACTTGGAGGGTCGGGGGACTTAGTAAGTAGATAATATGTAGACTTATAAGTACCCTAAAAGGGGTCCTACTTGGGGTTATGGTAATTATACCTCTACAAAATAACTACTTACTAAGTCCCCCGACCCTCCAAGTAGTCTCTGGGGACGAGCCTCTACGGATGATTCTTTCATCAGGACCGTTAGCGTCTTGGGAGCCCGAAACTTGTCGAGCGACTGCGGCCGCAAGACCTGATCTGAAATCCAAAATCCTAAACGCTTAGGATTTAGGGTTTTAGGGCTTAGGGCTCTAGGGTTTAGGGGGCTAAGGGTTTAGGGTTGAGGGTTCTTTCCCATTAAGCTGGAAAACCTAAACCGAAGTCTTAAACCGTCAGTGAATCGAAAGCCTAGGCTCTGAAATTCTAATCTCGAGCCCAGTCCCCGAGAGTGATACGAGTTCACCCAGTGGGGATAAGTGAAACGCACCCTTATAATCTCGTATCAGGTCTTAGGCTGGCCTCAGATCTGGGTGAAACCCTAGACCCTGAACCCCAAAGCATAAAATACTAAAGTGCTAAAACCCTACACCCTAACGGTTATATAGAACCCTACTATAGATCCCTTATAGTATCCCTTATAGACCCCTATTCTAATTATTAAGGCCCCTTGCAGTAATTTCAGCACTCTTCCCGGTCGAGCTGCCGAGGTCCCGAAGGCAGCCAACTCGCCGAGGTCATCGCGATCCTCCATGCGCTTGCCTTGTGCTTGGGGGTTTGCTGTTCAGGGTTTAGGGTATAGGGTTTAGGGTGTAGGGTTTAGGGTGCTTAAAGGGAACTCCAGAAAGTTGGAATATAGATTCATGGTAGGATCCCCTATAATTTACCTTAAAGGGGTTACGATAATGATATTCCAACTTTCTGGCTTCTACTGTAGGGGTTTAGGGCTTAGGGTTTGAAGGTTTCGGGATGTTGTAGGGGTTTGGATTTTCAGGCTTTAAAGTTAAACGGTTTTAGGGTTTAGGGCGCCGTGTGTCTTCCGACTGCGTAGGGTTTAGGGGTCTGTGGTTTAGGTGTTATAGGCGAGTTTTTCCTGGGTTGCTCATGGGCTTGAAGGGTGCTTAATGGTTTGGGGTTTCAGTGCGCAGGAGCTTATGGAAGGTGCTTGGGTGACCGGGTGCAGGGTTTATCTGCTTTTGTATGGGTTTAGCGCCTTGTGGGTTTTGAAGTTTTAAGGCTTGGTTTAAGGTGAAGGGTTGATGGGGCTTGGATTTGTCTTTTGTTGCGGTGGGTGGGTGGGAGGGAGGGAAGGCACGCAAGTTAGGGTCTTGGGACTTATTAGGGCTTAGGTTTGAAGCTCTTCTGTTCGTTGGCATAAGGCTTGGTGGGGAACCGGTGTTCTTTGAGCATGCAAAGAACAGGGCAGGTCTATATTTAGTTGTTGAGAGTATGGCTGGTTTAATGCTTGAAGGGCTTGAAGCCTTGAGCTCAATTTGCCTGAGATTTGCCTCAATTCGCTCTCTCTCGCTCGCTCTCTCGCTCTCTCGCTCTCTCGCTCTCTCGCTCTCTCGCTCTCGCTCTCTCGCTCTCTCGCTCTCGCTCTCTCTCTCTCTCTCTCTCTCGCTCTCTCGCTCTCTCGCTCTCTCGCTCTCTCGCTCTCTCGCTCTCTCGCTCTCTCGCTCTCTCGCTCTCTCGCTCTCTCGCTCTCGCTCTCTCGCTCTCTCGCTCTCGCTCTCGCTCTCGCTCTCTCTCTCTCTCTCTCTCTCTCTCTCTCTCTCTCTTTCTCCTCTCCCTACCTGCCTCTCTCTCTCTCTCTATATATATATATATACATACATATTATAGAGAGAGAGAGACATAGGTATATGTGCATACATATGTTCATCGTGCTTCAAAACTATGATGACAGAGCTGCTGCGCTATACTGGGAACTATGATACTACGACAGAAAATGCTACTGCGAATGCTTCTCACCTCTACATGCGTCGTGCTACATTGTCGTGCCAGAAACCAATTCGATGAAACTATAACAGCCCATAAACTGCACCGACAAGAATATACATAGCAGAAGACGACTGAGGCTTCAATGCACCCGTGGTAATTGCACATGCGCAAGCGCGATGATGAAGGGTACTAGTTAGATGTGATTGCTCTGGATGGGAGCATCGCAGAAACGATGCCACTTGCAACCATGGCAGGCTTGAAAGTGCGATAACAGCAAGGAGGACGGCAATACTGATGACACCTGATTTAAGGAAGCCACCCCCCGTGGCCAACACCTTCCCTCCAAAGTCGCCATCTGCAGTCCCGAAACCGAAACATTACACCCTCTGGCAAACATCCCAAAGCCTCACATCCGGCATAGTCGGGGCCTCAATAATGTAAATTGGCACTGGGTGCACTACAGCAGCAAACCCTAACTCCCGCCGATACTTCACGCGAGCGAAGCGCGAATCACGCACCCTCAACTCTCCAGAACGGCCCAAGCTACAGCCAAGAATCCCACACCTCTGGGAGTTTCCGAAAACTAGGGGTACCTTATTTTGAGGTCCTCATACTAAGGATCCTACTATTTAGGGTCCCATATTAGGGTCCCTACTTTTGGAAACCCCCGTATACACAAATAGAGAAGCGAAACCCTCCAAGAACCCGCAAGTTTGCGAGTTGAGCCGAGACTCTGAATCGAAACCTGGGCAGCTGTTGTTGGCGGGCAAGCCAGTCTCTCCGTCACCAGGTCTCAAAATGAACAACCCAAATGGGAGTTTCCGAAAACAGGGGACCCTAATATAGTACCCTAAATAGATCCATCTTATAAGGACCCAAAAATAAGGTGCCCCTAATTGTCGGAAACTCACATTGTTTGAGAATTGCTAGGCCCCTCGATGAGCGACATACTGGTAGAGATAGGAGTCGCGGGGTTTAGGGTAGTAATACCTATAGTATCATAGGGATCCTTAGGGGTGTAGGGGGAGGGGGGGTAGGGGGCCTTAAGGCCCATAATAAGGACTAATAAGGCCTATTTAAGGAAATATAGTCCCCTACACCCCTCCCCCCTACACCCCTAAGGATCCCTATGATAATACCTATAGTAGGTTCTCTCGGCTTAAGACCTGCGGATGGCTTCCGGCTTGTAGGGTCTCTAGATAAGCACAGGGTGAAGAAACCTTGGATACATGTCCGTGATGTTTTTAGTACATATTTTGTAGAATAAGCCTGGGGCCTACAGTGTACATGTATGCATGCATCGTTGCAAGTTGCAGATGCATCGTTAGAACACGACATACACTGAGCTCCCACATCCACCGGCCACTCAGAAGAAGGTTCGTTGATTTCGGTCACTTTACATTGCATCGCACTGGCACCTCTTCCCAGAAACTCCTGAAGCCTCTGCATTGCGGCACATACTTCTAACCCCTGATCATGGTGGAACCTCGGGTGGACAACGGAATCTGCGGTGGGGTAGTTGTGTTACAGTAGAGGCCTTAATAATCAGAATCAGGTTTTGGGGCCCATAACACAATGATGATATTCAGAAACCCCCAAAATAGTATAGGTAATTGTTAAGGCCCCTATATAAAGTTAAATCCTCCCTTGGCCTTTGCGATGCTGGCAGGACACTCAGGCTCAAGGCTCGAGGTTCTTCCGTCTGTCGCCGAGCGCGTGTGTATGTATGCATGCATGTGTTCATGCAAATGTGTATGTGTGTGTACGCAAATGCGAGTTAAAACAGAAAAACACACTAATGTCAACTGTACTAATGCCAACTGCAACTGCATGGCATGACAAGGGCATACGGATAAAGTTTATGCAAGCTCCTATCATAAAACCTGAGCCCATGCCAAGAGGCGTGATGCCCGGGGCATGCGCCTGAAGAACGTTGTTGTCCTTGGGCGATCGGATGATTTCGGAGCTTGACTGCCTGAAATGCGGTTGATGATATAAATCCTGCATTACCCATAGCAAGGGATATGCCATAATTCCCATAGTTTAGGGCCATTAAGGTAGTTCAGGATTTGGATCATCAGCCGCAAGACTTCCTGTGAAGCTTGGTGGATTCCACTTTCTGTTACTTAGACTGTGCGTTCAAGTAACCAGGGAGAAAAAAGTATAATCTTGGACTCAGAATGGTTGCTGTAAGAAAGCAGCATTAAAGTATGGTACTCCAAAGCTCAGTAGACCTGATTATCATACACTCTTCCCCAATACTAACAGACCTCAATAAGTACTTCTAAAGCCAAGTACCTCTTTATTGGGCCCTTTGGAGCCTTGGGGTAATTAGGGAGCTGATAGCAGACTCAGCCCTACAAGAGAACAAGTTCTTTGTAGGGAATCGGGGAATGGATCCTGATGATAGTCCCTTACAGTCCCTCAGAGAAGTCCGAAGAGCCTCCCTATTGCCGCATTCCCCAGGAACCCAGGAATCCTTCCCAAACACTGTACAGTAAACCACATAAAGTTGGAAACCGGATTACGGCCAAATAGTGCTGGGATTCCCTATACATTACTCTTCAGGATTGAGGCTATTGGGTTTTCAACTTTTGGGCTTCTACTGTAGTCTAGTGGCCCATGCGCTTTTATCTTCGTGCATATTCCCTGCTTCAGCTGCTACTGCGATGGCCTGTGCTGCGAAGCCCTGAACTCTGAACACACTAAACCCGAAACCCTGTGCCCTCAACTGTGAACCTTGAACCCTGAAACCCTAAACCCTCAACCCTTAAACTCCTAAAGCCCTCAACCCCTCAACCCTGAGCCTACAAGGGCTACGAGGTGCTTTTAAAGCCTTTCAAAAATATTAGTAGGTAAGATCCTCTTAAGCCCAATAAGAGAAAATGTAAAATGTCCCAAAACCCTGAGCCTACAAGGGCGAGCTTCCACGAGGTACTCGGCGGGGCCAGATTCGGCCAACGCCAGCTTGCTCTCCTTCCAGCAAAGATGTATCTAAGGGTTACTATAAGGGTACTATAAAGGTACTATAAGGGTTACTATAAGGGTTACTATAAGGGTTACTATAAGGGTACTATAATGTAGGGGCCTTAATTAGAAGACGGTTTTGGGCAAATTATACATAAACATAATAAGCAAGCCCTATGCTCTCCTTCCGGCAAAGACTATTGTTCAGGCTCCTGTATGATTATGACTTGTGTAGTCTAAACCCCCAAGTACCTACTAAATAGTAGTATAGCTCCTTTGGCCCCTGACGGGTCCCACAAACTAAACTCCTAAACCTGAAGCTGTAGGAACCCTCCTTACTAGGGAACCACAGAGGAAGAGTACCGCGGTCCGTCCTCCTGCGCCTGTTCTACAATGAGCGCCTGGCCGGTTCAGAAGAGATTCACGACTTTAAGATACATAAACGAATGTAGGGCCCTACTAACAAAACAAGCTTTCGGGGTGTGTTCTGGTAAAGTCATGACTCGCAGATGGACTCTGCAGGGACATTCATTATTATTGCGTATGTTATTGGGGATATTTGCAGAGCCCGAATGTCCAGACTAAAGTTTGAGAGTTTAAAAACACGGGGCTACGAGCTCAAGGGAAAGAGCGTCAGGGGGTAAATTGCTCTCATGACTTGCCTTTGGTTAGTAGGGAATGGAAGACTGGTAGTAATAGTAGTTATACTTGTACCCCATTCCCTACTAACCAAAGGTAAGATGAACGGGGAGCTGCTCTCTGCATACCGAAACCTCAATCCCGATGAGGCCCTCGGCAAACTTTTGAGAGATCAACTTGGGAGCTCAAGGTTGGGGGTTTTGGGTTTAGGGGATTATAGTAGAAGCCAGAAAGTTGGAACATCATTATCCTCATGCCGCTAAGGTAAAGTATAGGGGATACCAGCACCAATCCTCCTAAAGCTATGTTCCAACTTTCTGACTTCTATTTTAGAGGTTTGGGGTGTAGGGGTTTTGGGGACTTAAGGCCTTGAGGTTGGGGCTTTGGATTTTAGGGTTTGGGGTTGTGGAGACGTTAACTTAGGGGCATAGGGTCGGGGTCTTAGCGGTTGAGGTTTGAAAGAAGGGGCAAGCTGGGAAACAGAATTTGCCACACACCGCATAGAGAATTCCAATACCTGTCAATGGAGCAATATACATTACACTGTAGCGGGAACCGAATATGGGGTTCAAACCCTTTTATGACGCTGCTCCACACGTTATCCTTTGGCGATGCAGGCCCCTGATGAATATGTTTGGCCGCCTGTAAGGAAAACGAGTTCATAAATCAGGGGTCACTTCGGGTTTAGGACAGAAGTTTTGAGGTTGGTACTTGGGAGAGTAGGTGATAACTTGGTACTACTTGGGCCTTTAGGGACAAGCGCTTACCCTAAACCCTAGAGCTCTAAACCCTACCTACACCCTGCAACTATCTCCAATATACCCCAAATATCCACTACTCAGGACCGGAAGGGCAGTATTCAAGGGCGCTGGGGGGTTCCTGGTGATTAACACCGAAACCCTAAACCCCTAAATCTCTAAGCCCTAAACTCTAAACCCCTAAAGCCTAAACCCCCAAACCCCAAAACCCTAAACCCCTAAACCCTAAACTCTAAAACCTAAGCACCTAAAACCTAAACCTCTAAATCCCTAAGCCCTAAACCCCTAAACCCTAAGCCCTAAAGCCTAAACCCATAAAACCCAGACCCCTAAGTCCTTAAGCCCTAAACCCTAAACCTGGGATGCCCAGTAACCTAGGAACAAAAAGGGCTCCCTTTTTGGCATTGGGTAACTTTATAAGGAACCTAGGACTACAAAAAGGGAATAAGGGTAGTACAGGGCATCCTAGAAACCTCAACCCATAAAACCTAAACCCCTAAATCCCTAAACCCTAAGCTCTAAACCCTAAACTTGGACTGGAGTTTCTGACTTGCGGACCTCCTTGGCCAGGTACGCCACTTCCCGAACGGCCTGCAGAACAAGGCGCTAAGGGGCGAAGTCACGGTTTCTAGGGGTTTACTTGGGGGTTTAGGGTTTTGGGTTTAGGAGTTTAAGGTTTTGGGTTATATAAGGGGTTCAGGATTTAAGGTTTCGGGTTTAGGGAGAAAGATCAACTTAAAGGATCACGGGTGTTAGCAGCAAGCCTAACTAAGGTTTAAAACAAAGCAACGTTAGTTAAAGTACTTGTAATTTAGAGTTAAGGTACCTATGTCCTTGAATACTAAATCCCATGATCAGTGATTCTCTAAGTAGAGTTTAGGATTTAGGAGCAACCTTCATCTTTGAACTACCTAGTACAAGGCCCGAGTCATTACAATCGGTTTTGCTAGGCCGCGGTCCCCATCAACCTAAACCCTAAAGTAGGGCCCCAAAAAAGCACATAAGCAAGAATTATGATAGGGATATCCCATGTGAACCCCATCATAATGAAGCCCAATAAGCTAGGGATATCCCTATAAAATGCTTATGCTTACGTGCTTTTTTGGCCCCCTATTAAAGCCTAAACACTAATCCGAGAGACACGGGCCGAAGCCCTATACACTGCACCCCGAACTACTGCTAATGATATAAAGCCTGCATGACCCATAATAAGGAATATACCATAATTCCCATAGTTTGGGGTCATTATGGTAATGCAGGATTTATATCAGCAACCGTACCCCAAATCTGCAAACCCTGAACAAACTCTACCTGGACCCTGAAGAACCTACCTTTCTAAGAAGGAAATCATAAGAAGCAGCCCTAAAAAATAGGTTCTTTAGGGTCCAGGTACTGCCTAGACCGCAACCTGGGTTGACTCAGAACGCCCGGTGTAGGGTTGGGGCTGGTTGGCTACTCAAACCCTACATGCAACACCATCTGCATAGAACCTGAAGGTTCAAGGTTTAGGGTCCGCCGTTGCAACACCACGCCCTAAGCTCTTGCAAGTTCTACCGGGAAACCCCTGAGACCACAAAACGTAAAACCCCAAGTCCTAAAGCCAAAGCCCCAAACCCAATTCCTAAACACTGAGTCCTACACCGATACAGGAGCCCTTGCAGAATCCCCTTAACGGAGCCCCAACAGAAACCCCTGACACTGAATCCCTTAAGGGGACAAGGAACCTTAAAGGAACCCTGATAGATCCCTGAAGGGAGCCCGTGTGGATGCCTTAAAGGAACCCTAGCCCTAGCAGGCTCCTTTAAAAGGGCCCTACGTGGAGGGTCAGGGGGCTTCGTAAGTAGCTAATAAGCAGAGTCATAAGTACCCTAAAAGGGATCCTAATTGGGGTTATGGTACTTATAAGTCTCTAAAATAGCTAGTTACCAAGTCCCCCGACCCTCCAAGTACAGAGCACGACACCCTGGGCCTCTTCAGCCATGGCCCGAGCAGCTTTCGGCGTCGGCCGCGCATCGACACCTTTCCCACTTCCGGGTCTTTTTGGGCGGTTTTAGTGTAGGGTTTATGGGTGCGTAGGGTTTAGGACTGGTAGGGTTTGGGGACGTTCAGGGCGTAGGGTTTAGGACTGGTAGGGCTTAGGGATTGTAGGGTTTAGGGATGTATAGGGTTTAGGGAAGTTTAGGGAGGATGTTTAGGGCTCTGGGAGTTTAGGGCTTCAGGTATTGGATATGTTTTTTCTTTGTTTTTTTTCCTGTGTGGGTGCAAGGCTGCTGAAAGGTGCTCCGTGTTCTCTCGAGGGTCTTTAGAATTCTGTTCTGCCTTTGAGGGTCTGTAGGGAAGTTTGGCGAACCCTAAACCCTACACAGGCTTGCGGTTGGGATTCAACCGGGTTTAAGGTTTGGGGCGGTCTGGGCTGGATAATGCTATATTCTGGTCGTTTACAAATTTATTTAATAGCAGGAACCCTAAGGAATAGGATTGGTAATCGTTCATGCTCCTATCATAGTATGCTTGGAGGGTCGCGGGACATACCAAGTAGCTATTTTCAAGAGATATAAGTACCATAGCCTCACTAAGGATCCCGTTTAGGGTACTTAGAACTCTACTTTTTTACCTACTTACTAAGTCCCTGAACCCTAAACCCCTAAACCTTATAGTACCCCTATAGAGCCTTTTAAAGGAACCCATATAATCCGCTTTAAAGGAGCCCCTAAGTACCCGACCCTACAAGTGCCTCGGGGGTCTGCTTGCGTCTTCGAAATTTTTACCAATGACCCTACAGCCGCTAATCGCAGCCGTCAAAAACCCAACACACAAAACCACCTAAACGATAAACTCTATCTTTCGTAATAGAACAAAGAACAATATAGAGTAACACAACATACTATATATTCTAGGGTATCTTATCTCTAAACTTGTAGGGTATCTTGTTTTTAAACTTGCAAATCTTTCTAACTTCAACGCCCCAGATCATTACATCCCAAATCCTAAATCCCCAAACCCGCTTCCTCACCGAGGGGCGCAAACGTTCAGGCTCAAAATCGTCATTCCTCAGTTCGAGCGCTGAGCCCATCGAAAGGACGAGGATCGCTAGGCACGGCTTAGAGTTTAGGGTTTAGGCTTTAGGAAAGCCTAAGTAATCTGCAATGGGGCTCCTTTTTTTTGCAAAGGCTTTGAGGGTCCCCTTTTACAAGGTTTCTGGATTTTGTGGAAGTGTTAAGAAAGTTTCGAAATAGGTTTTGGTAGTTGGAAAAAAGTCTGGGGGTCTGATAGGATGTCGAGATGAAGGAACCCTAAAACTGCCTGAAACCCCATTGCTTTTTTCATGACACGCTTCTAGATTAGTGTCTCTGGGCTTTGGGATGATCTTTCCAAGTTCGGAAACGGCGTTACGAGATCGAAAAACGGCTTTGCGCACGAGGAACCAGATCTGACTCAAGGATCAAGAAGAAAAGAGCTTAGATGAAGTTACAACCAAGGTACCAAGGTCTTCTTAACTTTACATGACCCCCGAGCTTCCCGCACGGTTTCCTCAGGTTTAGGAGTCAAGGCTTATCCTAGCAGAACCCAATTTCTAAGTCCTAAGCCCGGATGTACGAGAAGTACCATCTACATCCAAACCTAAACTCAGGATCCTAAATCTAAATCTCAACCCTAAGACCCAGGACCCCAATCCATCACCTTCTCTCAAACCCTTACAACGGCCACAACACCCGCATGAAAACCTGCTTAAACCCCTCGGAAACGATCGAAAATCCTGGCCGAAGCCTGTAAAGCAACACAAGCCCTTGCGAGTTAGGGGCTTTAGGGTTCAGGGGTTTAGGGTCCTTGCTCCCAAAGCATGTTTTGAGACGTGGCTCCGGTCAAACTGCGGCTGTTCAGCCGTCTGCGGTCTCTCATCATCCTCGGTACCTGCGGCAGATGCCAGGGTCCTCCCTCGCAATAGACGGTCCGTTATCAACTAGGATAGGGTTCCTCCGAAAGGGTTCCTTTAGGGGTTACGATAATGCTTGCTACAAAGGTTGTATCGGGCCACGATAAGCAAAGGACTAGAAGGGGTAGCGTTGTCCTGAAGTCACATTGCAGGCCGGTTTTCACGCAGGCTTTTTGAAGGTTTTGAAGCGAGTGTGGAGATGCTCCACGACAAGGGTTTCAGAAGAACGTGTAAGCGCCAAGTACTGCTGCAGAAGGTTCTTGTTGTAGCGTTGCTGTTGTTGTGAGCATGTCTGTTGTGTTCTGCGTATCAACCTTTTGGAAATTATCACCGTGCTGATATGATGATGGTGGTGGTGATGATGACCCGGACTTGCGTGGCCAATGTGTGGTCAACGGCGCTGTCATTGTTTTGCTGTGCGATTGTATTCGCACTTCTGACCCTGACGGAAACACAGAGCAAGCGATTGTGATGAGTGTTACACAACTGTGATCTTGCAAAAGAGTCCTGGGGATCATAATGAAATAACAAACCGCCGGGGATGTATTGCACTTGTCCACTACTTTACAAATTGTGAGAGAAGCTAGAATCCAACTCCGGGAATTCAAGCACCGGGATGTTAGCCCGAAATTTCAAGTTTAGGGATTCGGGTTGAGGCGATGAGAACTTTAATGTGTGGTGCTCTGAAGGCTGCCCGAAAGCGTGTACCCTAAATATTTATTCGTCCGAAGCCTGCACCATCAAGCATCCTCGATCCCTGCAGGGTCCTTGTGGGTAGCCGTTGGCGTCTTGCTTCCTCCATGCGAACTGCCGTCTCTTTTGATCCTGCTTGGATGCGCGCTAACCCTTCACTTAAGATCTGTGAAATACGTACTTACTTCGCACCCTTCAAGCAAAACCTAAACCTAACAGTCTGGGTTCCGCCCCTAAACAACAGTCTGTTAGGTCTGTTAGGGTTGTATGTCTGTAATTGTATGTGTATATACAGTTTACATGTGTGAATATATACGTATATCTATATATATATATATATATATATATATGCATACTTTACATGTGTATGTATAGATATATATCGTGGTTGTGTGTATATATATATATATATATGTATATATGTATATATGTGTACACATTTACGCATGTGGGTATACATTTACAGTATACATACAAACATACATATACATTTATGAGAGAGTTGATACAGTATTGCTGGTTACGCAAACACCTTGCCTCTGAACCCAGCACCCTGACGCGCAAGCTGCACACTCTGGAACTTCGACATTTATCAGCGAGATTTCTATAGATTTCCACGACAAACACATGCCATGCATAATCAATAACCGTGTGAGCTGCAGAACAATCGAAGTGGTTGGAGTTTTGGAAACAAACCCCTGCAACTTGCGACTCTTGCATATTTGCGGAGCTCACGAGCTGCGTCTCGCCATTTGAGGCAGAAAACATCCCTCCCAAGCCTACTTCTGAAGTAAGCATGTGGAGGTGTTTGCGCCTTGTTTAGGTTTCCGTTGCCTTCTTCTTGGGGGTCAGGCTTCTGGCTTTGGAAGGGGCTGTGGGGGGTTGGGGGGGGTGAGTGGGGGGCCGGCTAATTAATTACGACGGGGCTGCAGCCTTAGGTGTTTTGAAGTTTGGAGTCATAGTGCTTAGTACGGGGTTGTAGCATGTAGCCTTACACTGGTTTCAAGTTTGGAGAAGCCTAGGATCTACAATGCTCAGTCTCGACTGGGTTGTAGCCTTTAGCCTTATGTGACTTACGCGCTATAGAGTTTAACCTTATAACGTAGCTCTTTTCGAGTTTGAGGCAGCCTAGCGTTTAGATGATTAAGCTTCGACGAAGTTGTAACCTTTCAGCCCTAGGTGTTTGAGAATTTGACGCACCTCGGGGTCTAGACATGCTTGGGTCTCGACGGGGTTGTCGCCTCTAGCCTTACAGGGCAAATATGAACTTAGAAGTTCAACAAAGCCCATGTAACCCTAAACACACTTGCCGTGTCTCAACCTGCCGGCATTGCAAAGTCCCTGCGTTTTCCAACGCCTCACGAAAATGGCCATTTTCTGATCTCCGAAAATGAGGCACTGATGCACACGAAACATTGGCGCACAAGATGCAAACCGAACTTCCTTCAAAACTTCACGGCTCAGTAACAATTGCGGGGATAGCATAAGTAGCGGGAGGATGTATGGGCAGTTTTCTGGTTCTCGGAACAATGCCAAGCAGGGGTCACTTTGATAGTACGGATCCTGGAGCAGGACCTTGCTTTGGAGAACCTACCGGCATATGCATTCAATAAGAGCCTAGGACCGACATGACCCCAAACAGGTTCCGCATGTGCTACCACTTCTTGCTGAGAGTTCACGGCTTTTTGGGGGACAGAGTTTCCCTCGGGACTGAACTCCGTAATGCTTAGGAATTGTGGGGTTTAGGGTATGAGGTCACAGTGACACCTATGCTTGCGCTGTTATGTGCAGGCGGCTGCACATGGAGACGCACCTGGTCTCTCAACACAACTGTCTGATCCGTCGCCGCAGTGCGACCATCTTTGATCTAGTGGTTCCAGGTTTTCTGCCATGCCATGAGTACAAAATCACGGCCAGGCCATGCATACATTCAGAAAGTGCTCAAACGCTAAGTCAATCAACATCTGTGTTGTCGAACCAAATAACTGCAGCATCCGAGATGACATTGAATGCCGAGTTCCCTCGCCACGAGCTGCATTCAAAGGGTAAATCTGATTTTTTTGGTGCCACTCTTCATACGGCCTCTTGTCGGGCAATCCAGGGACAAGAATCTACGCTTCAAAGACTGTGCTTCCAAAGCCTTGAGATATCCTACCTCCACCTGCAAGCGGCACCGACATACTCAGAAGAAGAAACTGGAAAGGCTCCCGGTAAACTCGAAACCTCAACTTTGAACACTCCAGATTTACACCTGAACCATAACTTTCTAAACGCCCCAAACCCTGAAAGTGGAAAGGCCACCGGGTCACAACAGTCCAAGACTTCTATATTGGTCTAATATGTGCAGCGAATATAATGACCTCCGTAGCAACGTCCTGATTGCATCCATGTAGAGGTTTGGGGATTGGGGCTAGGATTTTGGCCTTGGGGCACGAGCGATACTATAGGGGCCGTAATCAATAGTTACCAATACTCCTTTGGGGGTTCCTTCTTTTAACTGTAGTACAATATACATGAAAGCATATTCCGATTTTTAAGGCCCTATACTAAATCCGTATATGAGCCCTCAACGACCCCTTTAAAGGAGCCCTAGTGTTATTGTACAGGCCCCAATATTAGGTGGGGCTTCGGGTTCAGCGGTAGCTGTGAGGGTTCTCGATTTAGCATTCTTGGCTGAGGACTTCTATCCCATGATCGCCTACGAAAAATTCTCAGGGGCTGAGTACCCCAGACCAAAAAAACTGTTAACATCTTGAAATTCCTGTTAGGATCGTATGAACCCCAAACGTTACAGGTTAGCGGTTACCTACTCAGGTACTAAGAATTTCAAGCTTAGGGCTGAGGCCTCGGCGCCTGTAGGGAGCATTTTGTGCAATGTATAGGGAACTCCAGAAAGTTGGAATATGGTTTCATGGTAGGATACCCTATAATTTTGCCATAGAAGGATTAGGATAATCATATTCCAACTTTCTGGCTTTTACCTTAATGCGGTTGTCCGAACCTTGAACAACTACAAACCCAGAGCTGCAAACCTGTAAGTTATGTAAAGATATGGGAGTTTCAGAAAATTAGGGCTACCGTATTTTGGGGTCCTTTATAATAAGGAGCCTGCTATTTAGGGTACTATATTGGGGTCCCATATTTTTTTCGAAACTCCCATATATATTATCCGCACGACGGCCGTATACTAGCCATGTACACCTTGCAAGCCCTGTTTCCTGACGTGGGGGATCCGCAAATGATTATAAGCAAACGTATAAGGCCAACAACATGAAAGGCGACTGATCCCACTACCACCACCCTAAACCCCAAATCCCCCTAAACTCATCACACTTTTTCCTTGAAGCCGAAATCCTAACCCCTCATGCAAACCGGCAACACTAAACCCCATTTCCCTATATCCGTAGGTATGTATGTCAGCTATATGCACAACCTCTCTAATTACAGAAGGGTTCAGGGTTTAGGGGTAAGTAGCACGGCTATAAAGACTACAAACACCAACGATCCCTCCAAGTGCAGCACCCGACTATGGGCCCTGCATAGTAACAAACTCTTAGAACAAAAGGCCCCTAGAAGGAACCCAGGACTTCAGAAACCCTTCCGTGTTTTGCTTGTCCTGCTGGTTCCTCTCAGGTAGGACCGAGCGCAAACCAACGCTGTACATGGCTGAAGCCATGGCTCTACTCGTATGAAGCTCTCTAAAATCTGTGCTGCTGGTACCTACTATTACTCCCTTGCAACTGCTACAACTACTACGATGATGACTTCGACGACTGCCTCTGCTAGTACTGCAGCTGCCCTACCATTGCTTTTCAATACCGTCATAGTTGCAAAGCCTGCTACTGCTACCTGCACTCGGACTGTGGCTGTTAGTTTGACTCACACTGCTGCTGCTCTTACAACTGCAACTCTCAAGACTAAGTGGAAGGTTATTTGGGTCCATAGGAGGCCCGAGAGAAGCAATCCATCACTGGCCCATTGAATGTCTCGCTAGAACCTTTGTTACTGGTACAAGCAGTAACATGGCTATGCTTCTTCGCATGGTCTATGGTGTTTGTTACCATCAAGGGCTAATTGCTTGCGCCTCAGTAGCTGGATACGGGACGGCATGCCGATATCATGAAGCTCCACGATCACTGCACAGTTTGCGTAGTGGGCGTGCTCCACATCAACTGCGCAAGGAGTAGAACAAATTTCGGATTTGCGGGACTATCGGTTGATTCTTCACCAGGTACTTGACCGAACATGACACTTGGTAGGGTTGTACTTGAAGCCAAAGTACAGCCCTGGCGGCTAAAGCGAGTTAAGCGTGAGAGGATATGCAGTATACATTAGAAGCTGCCCCCACCCTGTAATAGTGACTATAAGACTACTATAAGGATTATATTAGGGCCCTATTATATTCCTAATATACCACTATTCCAGCTTCTAAAGTATACAGGGAGCTGCTCAGTGCTTCAAACCACCTTTGCTTGAAGATGCTTAGGGTATAGGGTTTAGGGTTTAGGGTTTACGGCACAATGTTACCTATCAGGGTTTCAGCTTCAGATACCATATAGATCCAAACAGGAGCTCACGTGATCTTCGCTGTTTCAAAGTTGAAGTGGTAGAACTTGACGGGTTTAGGGTGGTCTAGGGTTAAAGGTTCCAAGACCAGAACATAGCCGCCCATGAACCTTGAACGTTAGGGTGCGCACTCATTGTAGCAAACATGTCGGTGCCCCATATAGGACCCTTTAGGGGAACCACCTTTTCATCACGGCAAGGCTGCATGCCGAACCGACAGTTGAAGGCAACAGGTAACATACTCAGCAACTGAACGGATCACGCGACTTAGTCGGCAGGCCGTTTGCAGAGTCATAAGCAGAAGTATCCTTATCGAAGTTACCCTACTTAGATGTCTATTTACGAGGTTCCGGAATCCTCGAAGCAGAACATAATGACTTCTTAAACACCTACAACAGCAGCCCTACATCACCTCTGGAAGCCCTCTTTAGAAGCCATAAAATGTGAAAGCGCAAGTCTTAGCCAGGTTTCTGCTCAAGCAGCGCTCTTTTCCAGAATCTGCTGCGAGTTCTGGCTGGCAGCTGCCAAGTTGGGTTTAAGGTTTAGGGTTTCGGGGTTCACGGTGTAGCGATTTTGGGGTTTAGGGTTGACAGAGGTTTGAGGTTAGAGGGTTTCGGGGTGAGGTTTAGAGTTGGGGGCTGCAGGGCAGGCGAGCATCTACTGTAGAGGGTGCGATACTTAGGGGATACCCTCAACCACCAACCCCAAAATAAACTTTGCCTTTTGTGGGTTCCGCATCCCCTAAAAGCTAGCCACTAAGCCCTAAACCCGAACCCCTTAAGCCCTAAGCCCTAAACCCCTAAAGCCCGAAACCCTAAACCCTAAGCCCTAAAGCCTTAAACCCTAAACCCCTAAACCCAAAATGCTAAACCCTAAACCCCTCAACCCCTAATAGACCCAAACCCTGAACCTCCATCGAGGACCTTAGAAGTCTTCCTCAGGCGTGTAAAACGATTTGTGATTCATCCCCAAGGCAAAGCCTAGCGCATATGACCCTGAAGCCTAAAATCACTGATAGCCCTAAGCCCATTGCAACATCCTCAACCAACAACACCAAGGCTCTGAGCCCAATGACGTCTAGATGATAACTATTGAAGCCTTATGTATATAGGAACTTGGTTATTCAATACTTGGTTGTCAAAAACACCGCTCTGAAACCACCAATTGAATCTGACCCGTGTTTGTGCGGATGCATGAATCAAGGCACCTGCGCGGATGCTTCATGCACGCATCTATCCATCTACCTCCTACCTACTACCTACCTACCTATCTATCGATCTATCGTACACAAAACATACATCTGTGTATGTATGACCCCGGGATGGTAGTGCGCATGGACATCGGCGGAAGCGCTTGCGCACGCACTGTAATTACGTGACTTCCGATGCATAGCATGGTATAGGGGCTTTAAGGATCAGAACAAAGCTTTTGCGACATATTGTTACAGTAGAATCCAGAAAGTTGGAACCTCGTTATCCCTATACCTTTATGGTAAAGTAGAGGGAATCCCCGCACTAATCATCCTGAATCCATGTTCCAACTTTCTGGGGTTCTCTATATACTGTAGCAAAATCGCAAATAGGGGCTATAAAGGGCCATCAGTACTTATCATTCAGTCACTCAGACTGCGAACCTATGGACCTATGGATGTGTGTGCAGATGGCAACTTTGCAATTTCGGAGGGGGCCACCGTTTTGGTCAGCCTGAACCTAAAGGATCATGGGACTTCGTAAATAACGGTATACCTCTCGGGGTACCTTTTATAGCACTTTGTGAAAATGTGTTTTCTCATAGTATGTTATACTATACAGCATAATATGGCATATTCCACTCATAGTATATTCTTCCATATTACACGATGCTTTACATGATTTTCTACAATCCCAGATACTAAGTCCCACGGTCCTCCAAGCAACCTCGGGGCAGAATGCAGGCCAGCTGCTGCAAAATGGTTTTGATGTTGAGGGTTTGGGATTTAGGGGTTGGGGTTCAGGGTTTAGGGTTTGAGGTTTAGAATGGATTAGGGATTAGGGTTCAGCTTTTAGGGTTGAGGGTTTGAGATTTAGGGGTTAGGGTTCAGGGGCCTTGAGGCGTCTTTAACCGTGATACACAGATTTTGGGATGAGGGTTTAGGGGCCTGGAGGGGTCTTTGTGAGTGAGAAAGCTTTTACGCGGCTTCCACAAGGATTTAAGAGATTTACAGATTATGCCCTCCGCTAGGCTTGGCGGCAGCCGGGTACCCGCACCTTGCGCGGAGAAGTTCCCAGAGATCCCCCAATACCTGTCGATAAGGGGTATTCTAAGCGCGTAGGAATTGGTAGTCACTTGTGCAAGTTTGAGACATGCAACATGTGCTACATAAAGATTCCTTCGGAGGTATTGTTAAGTATGCTGTAAGCTTGCTATAGTTTCCTGAAGTGTTACCAAAACTGCTCCTGAAGGCTCCTTATTCTGGCAATTACACTTTGCTAGATCCCTCAACCCTGTTCTCACCATTACAGTAGAAGCCAGAAAGTTGGAATATCATTATCGTAACCCCTTTAAGGTAAATTATAGGGGATCCTACCATTAATCCATATTCCAACTTTCTGGAGTTCCCTTTAAGGCCACTAGAACAAAACCCGTGTTGTTGCCGGTCGAGAGTCACCCTAAACCCTAAACCCTAAGAGGCCCTTGCCAGGAACCCCGTGGCCAGTGCTTTAACTTTGGGTCGGCACCCGCATTCATTGAATGAGGGTTTAAGGTTTAGGGTTTAGGGAGGGACCCCAATTTGAGAACTGCCCCCCAGAATTCCCTTTCAAGGACGCCTCGTCTGAACATTAAGGCCGCTAGTCGTGTTTCGGGCTCTCGGGGTTGAAACACCGGAAGTCCCTTCCGCACCCGCTGCCAACTCAACCTTGGCGCAACGGAGGCTTCGGGGCTTAGGGTTCACTGTTTGAGGTTTTTTTTTTTGAACTCCTTTTTACGCCTGCTCGTTCGTCCCAAGCTGACATGTTTGAGGTTTAAGGCTCAGGGTTCAGAGTGTCAAGTGCTTTATGGCTTTGGGCTTGAAGTTTGACGTTTGAGGCTTGGGGCTTAAAGTGCTTGGGGTTTAGTTTGGTTGGACAGGTTAGCGGGAATAGTACAAGGGTTTAACAGGAGTTCTATCAGTTAATGGGTTCAGTATGCTAATGCTGAAAGGATCAAGCGGGAGGGCAAGTAGATCATTCAGTAGAGTTCCATTCATGTCCCTTCGTTTGTCTCTAGGTGAGGCCAATGAAAGGGGTTGAGGGGGTTGGGATTTTGCCTTCTGGGTTTAAAGGGATCAAGCCTAAAACCTCAACCACTAAACCATAACCCCTAAACCCCCAAAACCCTAAACCCCCAAACCCCTAAAGACCCTACCTAGACCCCCCTCAACTACCCTTTATTGGAGTCTTAGAGCCCTTTAGAGGGTACTTGGGCGGTGCTGGTAGACCCCATGGAGGTTAAATCATAAACCCTAAACCCCAAAACCCTAAACTCCTAAACCCCTAAACCCTAGACCCGCTTTGAGGTTGTTCGAGGATTGGGTCTGGGCAATCGCGGCCTTTCAGCATCTCCTGGGCCGAAACCACAGCCTGCACCTATCGGTCTCGGTTCCTTTCTGGGAGCTATAAGGGATCCATATAGGGTCTAGGGTTTAGGGGACTCCAATACCCCTTACTTAAGGAATAGACCTAAAATCATATTAATTAGGGATGCTAGTCTACTTTAAGGTATCTTCCTTACTTGAGGTATATTGGAATTGGAGTCTTTGGAGCAGCACCTTTAGGAGTTAGGATTAGGGGGACCCTTGGGGATATAGACCCTCTCATAAGGTCCCTTTTCAGAGAGCCAGAAGTAGCGTTAAGAAGGGTGCCCTTTAAGGGGCCTCCCCAATGCTACGTAGGAACCTTGACTCTGCTTCTGAATTGCCTGCTTGGAGGGTCGGGGGACTTAGTAAGTAGGTAATAAGTAGAGTTATAAGTACCCTAAAAGGGACCCTAATTGGGGTTATGGTACTAATAACTCTCTAAAAAAACTACTTAGTAAGTCCCCCGACCCTCCAAGTGACCCTGACGCAAAAGGGCACCTGACCGGTGGCGCCGCGGCGGGTAGATACAGTCGGTGTTGTTGTCATCCCTTCCCGAAACCCGAAACCGTAAACCCTAAGTAACCCCAGACACCAAAAATTAGGAGCTGGTTGTAAGGATCCTCTTGCTCCTACCTCATTCTACTCCTACGTCTACACCTACGCCTACGCCTACGCCTACTACTGCTGCTGCTGCTGCTGCTGCTGCTAGTACTACTTCTACTACTACTACTACTACTACTACTACTACTACTACTACTACTACTACTACCAATACTACAACTATCACCACCACTACCCGACCCCCACACCAAACGGCTGGGAGCGGCGCTGGGCTCTGCCGGCGTCGGCGCATTCCGATTTAAGATGCTGCGGGCCTGGCACACTGCCCTAAGGCTTAGGATTTTAGGCTTTGATCTTTAGGAGTTTAGGGGATTAGGGTCTAATTAGGGTTAAGGGTTCGGGGTTTGGGGCTGTAGGAATTGGGGGTTTAAGCTTTAGGGTTTTTGGGTTGATGGCTGGGGGCGTAGGGTTCTAGGATTTAAGGCCAGTTGAGAATTCAGGTAGTAGTAGCAGTAGTAGTAGTAGTAGTAGTCGTAGTAGTAGTAGTAGTAGTAGTAGCAGCAGTAGTAGAAGTAAAGTAGTAGTCGTGGCAGTAGTTCTAGTACTAGTACTAGTACCAACAATCGTAATAGTGTCAGTAATAGTAATTGCAATGATTATCGTAATCGTACTAGTAATAGCAATAGAAATAGTAACAGTAGCAGTAATAGGAATAGCAATAGCAATAGCAATAGTAGTGGTGTAGTAGTAGTAGTAGTAGTAGTAGTAGTAGTAGTAGTAGTAGTAGTAGTAGTAGTAGAAGTAGTAGTAGTAGTAGTAGTAGTAGTAGTAGTAGTAGTAGTAGTAGAAGTAGTAGTAGTAGTAGTAGTAGTAGTAGAAGAAGAAGAAGTAGTAGAAGAAGTAGTAGAAGTAGTAGTCGTAGTAGTAGTAGTAGTAGTAGTAGTGGTAGTAGTCGTAGTGGTAGTGGTAGTGGTAGTGGTAGTGGTAGTGGTAGTGGTAGTGGTAGTGGTAGTGGTAGTGGTAGTGGTAGTGGTAGCAGCAGTCGCTATAAATACTGGTACTAGGACTAAGTAGGACTAGTACTGGTACTCGTAGCAGTCGTGGCAGCAGCAAGTAGTCGTCGTCACCGTACTGGTAATACTGGCATTTAAAAGCTTGAAGCCATGCTGAAAGGCCTTCAGGCAAGGCTAAAGGTGATTCTTGCGGCGGGGTTCAGGATGTACCAGGTCGTTTTGCGAGGTTTTGCAAGCAAAAAGTGGGTCAACGGAGGCATAAGAAGCCAAAAGAAACGGGAGATTCTCAATTCAGGGAGCTTGAGCCTTGCACATCTAGTCTGAGGCTCCCGAGCCTCGGAAAAGCCCTGCTCTCCGGTGAAGTACGTAGGGCCAAGAGGCCCGAAACCCTCCACATCCTACGACCCAAACCTCGAAAATCTTCAAACATTAGAGACTTGAAAGGCTTTAGATTGCAGTAGGCCCTTCCTTAACCAGGGCTTTGGGGCTTTGGATGTAGTGCTTGGGCTTGGATTTTCAATTCGGATCCCCAAAGCTTTCCGGTGCCTGGGTCGTCACGTTGTAAGTCTTCCTTAGCCAGAGCCGCATGCTCGAGTTCCCAGGTGCTTGCAGGGTTTAGGGCGTGAGTCATCTTAGGTTTTCTTCTGGTTCTGCATTTATACGTTACTTCAAGGTTTAAGTGGTGTTGCCCCTAGCATTTAGGTTTTCTGATGCTCTTCTGCGTTGTAGTTTTGGGGCCCTTGAAGTGGGAGTATCTTGAATTGGTACCCCTACAAGAAACATAAATGACATTCCCAAAAGTGCTGCCTAGTCTTTGCCTTAAGGACGACATGTACCTTAAAAGGGTTGACAGTTGAAGGTTCATATACCATACATGAATTCATACAAGGGTAGAAGGCCCGTAGTTTTAAGGGTCATTTGGTCTTTAAGTTAAGGTGTAGTGTTAGGAGTCGTGTCTAAACCGTTGATGTATAGTAGCCTTATAGAACCCTTAAAAAGGAAGCCTCATGGACCCACCCCCCCTAAACGAAACCTTAGAAACCTACGAACCCGTATAGTGAGCCTTATAGAGCCTTAAAGAAGGAAGTTGAAGCCTCATAGACCCCCCCCCCAAAGAAGCCCTGTATTCATAGACCCCCCCCCCAAGAAGCCCTATATTCATAGACCACCCCCCCCCCCAAGAAGCCCTATATAAACGCACCGGCCAGGCTTCTTCAAGAGCGCAGTGTCGATCTGATCCCCGTAGCTTCCAGGGCCAACCTGGGGCACCAGGCTTTGGTTTAGTTTAGGAGTTTAGATGGGTTGAAGCGTTTAGATGGGTTTGGGAGTTTAGATGGGTTTAGGAGTTTAGATGGGTTTAGGAGTTTAGATGGGTTTAGGAGTTTAGATGGGTTGAGGAGTTTAGATGAGTTTAGACGGGTTTAGGAGCTTAGATGGGTTTAGGGGTTCGGGTTTAGGGCTGGGGGTGCAGGGCTTCTGGTCCAGTCCCTGGGTTTGGGGTTTTGGGTTTGGGGTTTGTGGTTCAAGGTTTGGGTTTTGGCTTTAGGGTTCAGGGTTTGGGGCTGTAGACTTAGAGCATTAGAGTTTGGCATTAGGTTACTCGGGGTTCAGGGATCTAAGTATGCAGGGCCTGAATAATTAGAATAGGGTTTGGGGCCCTTTATACTACAGTTAGAATGATAAGGAACCCCCATAATGGTATAGGTATTTATTAAGGCCCCTGTCCTACCGGGCTCCAGCAGCTCTTTTAGGACCCACACGGTGGTCGTCGTGCACCCGACGGTTGCCGGCTTGCGCTTGTCCTTCGGATTGAAGGGGGTTAGGGTTTAGGAGTTTACGGTTTGGGGCTTAGGGCTTGGGGTTTGGGGTTTAGGGTTCGGAGTGTGGGGTTTAGGGTTGAGCTCAGGATTATTAAGTCTAATCCACAAAAGAAACGCTGTTGGTGTTCTCTATCGCGGCCGCCTGACATACTACCACAAACACTACAGTTTGCGGTTCAGGGCTTTCCTGTCACCCAACAAATCTACGCTTTTGTCAGTGTCTGATTTCCATACATTCCTTGGGTAACTCAGATTTGGGCTACGGTTCAGGAATTCTTGGGCTCTATGCGGACAGCAACCGAAGCCTTCGGCGCCCGAAACCCAAGTAATCTTATAGTCTGTTTGAAGCCCTTAACGTCTTTAAACCCGGAACCCTGAATCCTAAACTCACGCCGCAGGGCCTCGATGATCAACAAGGGGCTCGGGGCTCAGATTTTCCATGTTTAAATGTACACCAAGACGCCGTTTGAACCCATATGTTAAGCATCTAAACCCAGCGATTCCGACGAACTCCTTCAGACGCGCGCCGCCGACCACATGCCTCTTCGAGGGCAACCTCAGGAGGACTTCGGAACGCTTCAAAGGTTTAGAGTTTAGGCCTAAACCCAAAGCCCTAAACTAGCCTAGTGTAGGGTTCAAGGTCAAACTCGAAACCCTAAACTAGCCCATTGTGGTGTTCATGGTTAAATTCGAAACCCTAAACTTGCCTATTGCGGGGTTCAGGGTTAAACCCAAAATCCTCACTAAACCTTAGCTCAGGTGGGACGAAAGGAGCTGAGAATCTCTCGTTGGACCCTTCATCGATGCTCAAGCCATAAACCTTCTGAGGGCCAGAAGGGCCTCAATGAGTAGAACGGGGTTTTGGCGCATGTTCTAGTATAACCACAGAAATCATAATTTTGACAACCACCCATATATGTAAAGAGCCCAACAACTAGAAATCAGCATTTTGGCAATATGTCCATTTCACATTCACATCTCTTTGGGTCATCCCTCCTCGTCTTCGCTGCCAGATGATAGAGCTGAGACTGCGATTTCTGCATGTTGTGAACCCCTGATCCCTCAACCCCTGTAGCAGAAGCCAGAATTTTGATCATTATCCTCGTGCCCTGAAGATAAAGTATAAGGGAATCCCAGCACTAATCCTCCTGAAGCCATGTTCCAGCTTTCTGGCTTCTACAATAAATGCCGCCTTCCCACCCCTCCCTGGCACACGACTCGAGTACCTCAGTGTTAAGCCCTTCGGACCCTCAGGGTAATGTGCTTTATCGCGTCACCCTGCAGATGATCGCTGAATCAAGCTGCCCTCCACTCCAAGGTCCAAGCTTCGGGTTTAGGGTTTAGGCCTTAGGGCTTAGGGTCTGCCGTAGGGTGGCGCATAAGCGGAAATATTTTGCCACAGTGTAGTGTCGAGTCGTAGTATGACGATTGGCCGTTGGAGCCTGATTGTGGATGGCTCTTTCCTTTCATTCTCCCACCCCGAGCCGTCTAAGATGACCACAGGGCAGGACAGGGCAGCAAGGCAGGCGAGGGGGCCCAGCAGGGCCCAGGAATCAAGGCGTTTTGGGGAAGGGAGCAGTTTTGGACCAAGCCCCTCGAGGAGGCCCCCCTAGGTCGTTGAATTTTGCTCGCTGGCAGCCTGAAGCCCCTCTTTGTGGAGGGGGCCCAGATTACTATTATTACTTTTACTATTATTACTATTACTTAATTACTGTTATTACTATTATTATTGTTGTCTATCCATTATTACCATTCTAGTTTTAATAATTACTCTTGCTACTGTTACAAGTGGATGCTACCGTCCCCATGGCTGTGGAGGGGGGCAGGGGTATTGGGTCGCTCTGCGCCATGGTGGTCCCACCCACTGCCTTGAGGTTCGGGTTTTAGGGTTTAGGGTTTTGGGCTTAGCACCCTGAACCCCTGAAACATAGAACCTGACAGCTCTACAAACCCGGAATCTTCGAACATCTGAAGCCGCACACTTTGCATGTGCGTCCACATCACCTTGACCCTTATATAGGTGGTTGTCAGAATTATGGTCCCTTTTTGGGTACCCTAAATAATAGGTGCCGTATTATAACAAGGACCCAAATAGGGACCCCAATTCTGACAACCACCCATATAATCCCCTATACAACCCTTCCAGAACACTTAAGAGCCCTAGCAAATATGCACCTCCGCCCTTGGGCTTACCCTCGGGGTCCTAACTAGGGAACCTCAAAATGTAGGATCTCTGAGACCCACAGAGACGTAAGGGCTCTCCTTGGGAGATTCCGGACCCTCCCAAGGAGATACCTAGACCCTTAGGGCTAAAAACCCTAAATCCTAAACTGACCCAGAGGCTCCATTATGTAGTACCACTCTGGAATTAGGTCCTAAACCCCCCAAAACCCTAAACCCTAAAACCCTAAAACCTAAACCCTAAAACCCTAAAACCCTAAACCCTGAAACCCTAAAACCTAAACCCTAAAACCCTAAAACCCTAAACCCTAAAACCCTGAACCCTAAACCCTTGGGCTTAGCGAGTGCCAGAGGCCCGGGCGTGTTGTAGTCGCCAGGAGACGGCCCCTCGGGGAGCGTGAACTTGGTAAAGACTTCCTGGCCGCCGAAGGAGTCTACGGGTTGATGATATAAATCCTAGGGTTCCTTTTAAAGGGATTCATAAAGGTACTATAAGGGATCTATAGGGATTTGGGTTTAGGGTTATGATATAGAAATCCTGCATTACCTTATAAGGACCCTAAACTATGGGAATTATGGTATATTCCTTATTATGGGTCATGCAGGATATATACCATCAACAGTAGGACTTAGGGTTTAGGGCTTAGGGTTGAGGGTTTTGAAGGTTCAGGGCTTAGGGTTCAGGAGCTTCTTGCCGCGCTAGTGTAGGGGCCTGAACAATTAGAATAAGGCTCCTTTGAAAGGGTCTTTGAAGTGCTCTATAGGGGTTACTATAGGGGTTCCTGTGATAAGGGCTTAGTCCCGCTCATTAGAATTGCGTTTTGGGGTTTATACTTTACTTATAATACGGAACCCCCCGCAAAAGTATTGGAAATTATTTGTAAGCCCCTACTATTACTTTGTGTCCTTTGGGCTTGGGTTTTAGAGTGTAGAGTTTGGGCACACTTCCTGGCAGCCGCCATCCGACTTTTTGCCGTTCGTTGCAGTGGCAGTTCAGGGCTCAAGGGTTTAGGGTGCAGGGGTTTAGGGTTTGGGGGGTTTAGGGGTTTAGGAGGTTTAAGGGTGCAGGGGTTCAGGGTTTAGGGTTCAGGGCTCCAGGGTAATGTAGGAACCTGATTAGGAAAACCTGGTCCAATAACCCGAAAATAGTAGGATTCAAAAAAGGAACCCTAAGAGCCCTAAGAAAGGCCCAAGGCTTCTTAATCAGGTTCCTACATTGAGGCTTTAGGTTTTTGGGTGTGTTGGGTAGCCCTGCCGTAAACCATCCTTGCTTTTCCCTTTGCGCTCCCTGACTAGGTGTCGATTTCAACAGTCCCCAGAATGCTCATAATTATTCGGGTTGTATACTAAAAAACGGTGAAATTAAAAATAATCCCAAACCGGTACCTAGTTGAGGCTTCTGTTAGATTGTTCGGCGGGATTCAGGTCTGCGTGGCCAGAGGCTCGAAACCTGAATCCAAAAGAAACACAACGTGCTCTACCCAGGAAGTCTAGAATCTTTTCAGGATCCTATACTGGTTCCAGTGGAGCTCGACAGGGGCTTGCGGTATATGAGCCCGGCAAGCCCCTGCACTAATCCTAACTGCATGAAGTTCCATGTCAGTTATCAGCGTTTGAAGTTCAATCCCGAACTCCCAGACCCGAACAAGTCTCAAAACCCCGAAATGGAAGCTCATCCGTACTGTTGATGGACCAAATCCTGCATGACCTTAAGGACCCTAAACTATGGGAACTATGGTATATTCCTTCTAACGGGTAATGCAGGATTTTGTCCATCAACAGTACACTGCACATTCGATACATTTTGAGACCAGGCTCGCCCTCCTAATGGAAAAAACAATAATAACATCTCCGACACAAAGATCTGCAGCAGCTGATTTCCGGCAAAGTACGCGCCTAAATCGTGAACCTCAGGGGTTTAGGGTTCATGATTCCTAAACCCTAAATCCTATCCTCTAAATTCTGATATAGGGGCCTCAGTAATTAGACTAGGGTTTTGGGGCCCAATATAATATAACTACAAACAGGAACCCCCAAAATCGTATAATAGGCAATTCTTCAGGCCCCTTAACCTCCATTCCTTAATGAAGGGATATGGGAGTCTCTGGGGATACATCCCCAATGTACAGGGCCTGATCTATTACTGGGATCCTGACCTTTACAAAGTTTTAGTATAGAGTCAAACGGTTTGCAAAGGATGAATATAGGGGACTTTGACAAATAGACTGGGGGCTGGGAGTTGCATAACAAAAAACGAATCAAACCTCAGGACGAGTACTACGAAGTACTCGGTTGCATCGATTTGGCGGTTGGGGGGTTTAGGGTTTGTATATTGCACCTCAAACCTGCAGCCCATTCATGCGCTGGGTTGGCATTTAAAACACACTGAAAAATATTATAAACCCAAATAAGGTCAATAAAAAATGTCCCCAAAATCCAACCTAGCACAGTCCTGCTTCTCATTGAAGCGCGCGGTGCCAGATCCAAACGACAAATGCTCGGACCTGCCACTCTAGAGTTCCTTTAAAGGGTTTATAAGGGTTACTACAAGGGATCTATAAGGGTACTATGCTATAAGGGTATTCTGATATAGGAGCCTTACAGTATGGGCCAAAAGGTTGGAAACCCAATAGCTTCAATCCTTAAGAGTAATGTATAGGGAATCCCAGCACTATTTGGCCTCAATGCGGTTTCCAACTTTTTGGGGTTTACTGCACATTGAAACTTCAGCCTGACATAGGCGCCTTAATCATTAAAATGAAACTTGGGCGTATATGGTAAGAAGTTAGAGTAAACAACCCAAAAGCAAGTCTAACTAACTACGAATAAACTCTACATATTCAAACGTTCAGACTCCTCAGTAACTCCTCAAGTACCAGGGTGCCCTTTTCGGTAGTATTCAAGGCTTCAGTTGTCTGAGGGCACTGCTGCGCGACCCATTCAAGAAATGGAGGGTACAAGGGAGCTGCCGCTGGTTCGAGCATCGGGTGTTGGGAAGCCAAAGGTATTGAAGGATCCGAGAGCCTGGCAGTCCCTTACAAGTACAAACATGTATACATATGTACAGATGTACACATGTATTGACTGTACTGTGTATCCGGGCGTATGTGTGTACGTATGTGTGTATGGAGGTGTACACATGTATATACGTACGTGTGTGTATAGTGTATATACAAATCACATGTAGTCAATCTGTACACCCTAGCCCACATGGGCAAACGTCCACCGTTGATTTGGTGAACAATGCAGCTGCTGAACCGTTCTAGCAGCTGGGAACCTTACGTGGTCACTGAACTTGGCAGATTGCCTATCATAGCTTTGCACAATACAAGTATAGAATGTAGGGGCCTCAATAATTAATAATTACCTATACTATTTTGGGGGTTCCTTATTATAGTACAATGGCCCCCGAACCCTGTTGAAATTATTAAGGCCCCTATATTACTGGAATCGGGCTCCTCAGCCTTGCATCGTGTTAAACGAACTAAAAGATCCGACGCCTGCAACAAGAAATCCTGAATTCTAAACATGGAAGTTTCCGAAAACTAGGGGTACCTTGTTTCGGGGTATGTTATCAGGGTCCTCTATTTTCGGAAACTCCCACATAGATCCTAAACCCTAAACCCAAACATCGAGCAGCGAAAAAGGCGTCAAGCCGACGGCCTCCTTAGAAGGATCAGTTGGGCTCACAATAAGCCATGAACACGTGAATAAATCAGAGACATCGTCAAACAAAAAAGAATGAAAACACTCAACTCAAACAAAAGAAATACTTGCGGATGAGCAAAACCTGCATTGACAGCAACCGAATATGTAAGCACGCGCTGGTATATGGAGACACCCTCCACGCACCAATGCATGCTGAGGCATGTTTAGGTGTTAGGTTTCTCGGACAGGGTTTGGGATTTAATTGGGGTTTAGATGATAGTAATTAGTACAAGGGTAGTTTTAGGTTCCGTGGTTTAGGGTTTAGGGTTCGGCACTCCACCGTACATATAAACACGGATCAAAAGCATGACACGTGCAAACACGTGCACATACGGCGCTCAACTCTCGCAGTAAGAACCTTTGCAGGAAGCTAGGCACACATCATAACATAACCTAGTCAAGGTCATGTGCCTACCAGACAAAGTTAGGTTTCAGCAACATATATGTGTTGGAGTTTGAGGTTGTGATATCAATTATCCATGTACCGTAAGTAAGCCCTCACCCCACGTTACAGTGACCCTTTAACCATAACGCCTACACTCAACACCCAGAACTCCAGAGCCCAAATCCTAAACCCTAAACCCGTCCTAAACCCTAAACCCTAAACCCTCATCCCTGAACTCTAAACCCCAAACCCTCATCTCTGAAGCCCAAACCCAAAACTCCCAATCCCCCACCCCGATACCCCCCTCCACAATACTGTTGATGGACAAAATCCTGCATGACCCTAAGGACTCTAAACTATGGGAATTATGGTATATATATATATATATATATATATATATATATTCCTTATAATGGGTCATGCAGGATTTTGTCCATCCACAATAAGACTCGGTCTTTCTCGCCTGGGCACTCGGTACGGCGAGCGGTAGTTGGGCTCCTGAGGGCACGGCTCTTTTTTGGCTTCTTGGCTTTACATATGGTATAGGGGCGTCCATAGAAGGACCAGGGTACCGTCTAGGTTGTCACAAGGGCTTAGTATAGGGGCCTTATAGTCAGAAGGCTTTGGAAAAAGTTTCAGTTGCAATACAACCATAGACAAATGGGGATGAAACCCTAAGGAATAACATAGGTTATTACTCAGGCTTCTATATTACCCCTTCCATACATTTGTGGACCCGCAGCTCTACAGCCTAAGGTCACAAGTGTGGATTTGGAAGCGGAGCTAGTAAAACCATAAGGCCTAACCACCCCAAGAGCACAACTACCGATATCGATATAGTAGGTTGCTGAATGACTGCTACTCTACGGTTGATATCGGGTTGTCGCGACAGTAGCCGACTTATGCGAAGTGGGCTCCTAGGTTACCCTAAGCCTCTGTCCGTCAAGAGCCAGGCCCCAATACAGGGTTTAGGGTCGAGGGTCCATGTGAACCAAATAAACCCTACCCTCAGGGTACTGTAACACTTCGGGGAACCTCAAAAGGTAGGATTTGTGAGACCCCAATGAGACCCAAGGGCTCTCCTGGGGAGATTCCGGACCCTCCTAGCGAGATACCCGGACCCTTACGGCAAATCCTGCATCCTAAACTGACCTAGAGGGCTCCATATACAGTGCCATTATGGAATTAGGTCCCCAAAGCCATCATATGGGTGGTCTTTTGGGACCTAAACTCATAATGGTACTATATATGGAGCCTCTGGGCGATATAGAAGCCCAGGAAGTGCAATTTTCTCCCATCAGCCAAGCAAGTTTACCGACGGATGAAGAAAAAGATCCTGCCATGAAGGCAGCTCTAATATCGGGGCCTTAAAAATCAAATGGGAAAAGGAGGGACCCTTAATGGGGACCCCTACCCTATAATGGGCAATAATTATAATGGGTATAAAATGGCTATATTATGGGTATACACCTAGGTTTCCTTATTAGGGGTCCCTCCTTTTACCCTTCCCCTGCAAACTAGTATTTGATAATTCGATGTTTTGTGGTATACTATACTATAGTATACTATAGATGTACTAAGGGAACCCCCAAACTAGTACTGGTAGTTAAATAGGATAGGCCCCTTTATTAGGTTACAGCCACTGGTTTCCAATCTTCAGCACAATACAAGGCCCGAAAATATAACGATTTAATTTCTTGACTGGGCTCCAGCATCTCAATCTCAAGCACTTTGTACCCTTGAAGCGCGAAAGCCTGAAGCCCCAGACCTTTCGATTCCCGCGGATAGGATCTGCCTACTCTCATTTTCGAGCCACTAAAGAGCCCTGGGGGTTCTCCTTAAGCGAATCAAATCAAGATACTGGGCTTGATGTGGCATAGTGATGGGAATCAGAATCGGGTTTCGGGGTAAAGGGTCGTTTTTGCCATAACAGGGACTTTCAAACAATACTCATATTACAACTGCTCGTGGTAATTTGTCTTGAAAATTAGGTGAAAGAAAGAAGAAATCAGGAGCCAGTTGATAAACTTTTCGAACCCTAAACAGTCTCATGGGTGCCTTGAAGGAACCCCCCTTGAAAGCAACCCTGTATGGAACCCCGGCGACCGCCTTGATTTCGTACTCGCCCGGCGCCGGCGTCTGCAACTCACCGAGACGAATCACGCCCACCTAGGCCAACTGAACCCGAGAGTTCTTGTTTCAGTTAGTTAATTATCCCTAAGGGTCCATGTACTCAAATAGTATATACATTGGCCTTAAAGTACTCCCTATATCGGTACATTGGGCCCAAAGTATATGCTATATGGGTACATGGACCCTTAGGGTATGATGTTCCGAAGCCCTGTTCATGCGCGCGCTGCAGACAGGGAAGCGTTTTGCATTGTAAACACCACAGAACCCCCCAAAACCAAGATTAGCTCAGGGTTCTAGGTTTGGTTTCCAGGCTCGACGTAACCACTCCGCCCCTCGGAAAACAGTGTCCACGGACATAGAACGGGAACTTTCAAGAAGCAACCTTTAAAGATAGGGGTTCAGGGTTTAGGGCGTATCAACTGTTTAGAGTCCACGGGGGCTCTATCGGGGCCGTTAAGGCCTAGGTCTTGGGGTTGGGGGTTTAAGGTCCTAAGTTCACAGCATAAACGATTTTTTGCGCACAAGGTGCGGTGCTTTACTGAAGGGCTTTAGGCTTTCTTTGGTCCCGTAACCCTGGCCGGAGGACCTCTTTGGCGTCGCCCGCCGCTTGCATTCGCGGAGAGCCTGATTGGAACGGAGACCTGCCACAGAGTCGGGTCTGCGTTTAGGGCTCAGGGTTCCACAAGGGACCCGAATATAGTACCCTAAATAGTAGGATCCCAATTATGAGGACCCCCAAACAAGGTACCCTAATTTTTGGAAAACTCCCACATCAGCCCGAACCCGAACCATCTCAGTTCAGCCCTGGCATGTTGGAGCAATCAGTTGAGGGGATACGAGTCACTTCTGATGCAGGGCTGGGAAAAAACCCTAAACCCCCAAACCCTAAAATCCTAAACCCCTAAACCCTGTGAACGGCTTATATAGTGTTTAGGGATTAGTGAGCCGTATAAGAACACTGGCGCACACATGGTCATAACAGAGTGCTACGCGATTATTACGGCTTACGGCAGAAAGGTTCAGGGTGGTAGGCATTCTATACGATCCACATGAAGCTCTTGACAACTACATGAAATGCCACGCAATAAACCCAAATCTCTACAAACATCTACACATCCAAAGAGCTCCAAGGATTTAAACCCTAAAACCCTGGCATGCTCCCTCAGTTGATCTTTGAAGTTCGACTAGAAGCCTGCAAGTCACCACTTCATTACCCCCCCCAACCTTTCAGGGAGCCCGTGTTCCCACCGGAACCCTAAACCCGAAGCCTTAAACACTAAACCCTAAACCCCTAAACCCCTGAGCCCTAAACCCTAAGAGCCCAAAGCCTCGCTTCTGGCGAGCTGGGATCTTTGCCCATGTTGATCTTGCCCCCGTCGTAACTGGCAGCGACGGTAGGGACGCTCACAGGGGGCTTAGCATGGATGGTTCAAGGTTTCGGGTTAGGGGTTAGGGAGGCTTAGCATGGATGGTTCACGGTTGAGGGTTCAGGGGGGCTTAGCATGGATGGTTCAAGCTTGAGGGTTTAGGGTTTAATTAGGATGGCTTAGAGCGGTGGTTCTGTTTCAAGGGGTGGGTTGGAGTGTTGGAGGCTTTGAGAGCGCATGGCATCGGGCTCAATACCTTTTAAAGGCCTTTAGGGTTTAGGGCTCAGTGGTTGGAGGAGCTGCGCTGAGATTATATCTCAGACTTGGATTGCCTAGAGTTTAGTCATTAGCTCAGGCCAAGGGTAGTAGATGTCAGCTTGCCCTCGATAACAACCCTAACACGAGGGTTTTAGTGATGGTTCAGCAACCCTAATACAGGGATCTTGTTGATGCCAACATGTATAGTATAATTAAGGTAGGAAACCTGCTTGGAGGGTCGGGGGACTTAGTAAGTCAGTAATAAGTAGAGCTGGTACTTATAACTCTCTAAAATAACTACTTAGTATAAGTCCCCCGACCCTCCAAGTGAAGAATACTGTTGGTGCCTGTTCAGGCGTCTTTAGTAGACCTGGAAAACCCTAAGCCTTGATCTCCTCGTAATCACCCTTCTAGAACCCTGAAAGCTTTTCAATAGAGCCCTTTAAAGGAACCCTATATTAGCTAGGTTCCTGAGTTGCCCTTTCATTACAATATAAGGCTACCCTTTTTCCTACCCTTCTGCTTCAACAAGGAGACCCCAAGCTAAGAGGAGCAAAAGGTGACTATTTCAGGAACTTAGGTAGGGCCAAGCACAGACGCGGCCTGGGATCAGGCAGCCCTTCGCGCGCATTCAGCGGACTTCTGAAGAAGCGGTCAGCACCTTGGCACCCCTCAAGTACCCTTTAAAGGGCTCCAATATTTCTCATTAAGAGGTAATTAGGGACTACAATACAGGGTAGTTGGGGGGTCTAGGGCGGCTGCAGGGTTAGGGTTGTTTTTTTTGTGTTTAGGGGTCTATAAGGGCTCAGCCTTAAAGACCAAAAGAACCTTCCAAGTAAGGGCCCTATGAACCTTCAAAGTAAGGGCCCTATAGGTACCCTACATATTAGGTGCCGTATTGTAGTAAGGACCCAACAAGGGACGCTAATTTTGACAACCCCCCATATGGTATCTGAACCTTAATTACACCCCTCAAGGAGGATTTGGGGTTGGCTTTGACGGCTTAGGGTGCTGGTACGTGAAATACGGGGTATAAACCCCAGATTGGACATAACACTGGAAGAAGTGCGCGGCATTGTGGCTTAGGGTTTAGGGTTCTGAATCTGAATCAACACTTAGGAAATTCAATCGCTGCAGCATCCATCGACTAAGATCCCGATTTAAAGTCTGGCTCTGCTCTGCCATGGACACATGGCTGTGCGACGAGTTCGCCAACTGACAGAACCTGCAACCCGTCACAAATTACAACTTGAAGCACCGCTAGCTGAACCCAAACATCTCGTCGTCGTCCTGATCGTCGTCATCGTCATCGTCGCCTTCGTCTTTTTTGTCCTCGTCTTCGTCGTCTTCGTGTTCGTCGTCGTCGACGTTTTCGTTGTTTACGCCTCATCCTTGCCGTCGCGGCTGTCTTCGTCTTCCGACCTCTCGTTATTCTTAGCGTCACCTCAGGCATGAACAAAACAAGAACCTTGAACAGCGTGGCTGCCGTAGACCCAGGGGCGGAGTACGCCCCCAAAAAGGTTATATTAACCTGTGGAATTATGGTAGGACTCCATAAACCCCAGAAAGTTAAAGGAAGGTTACCTACTCAGCTGCCAAGAAGTGGAACCTTAACCCTAAACCCCTAAACCCCTACACCCCTGAACCCTGAACCCCGAACCCTAAAACCCCAAAACCCTGACCCTCAAACCCTGAACCCTAACCGCAGAAGAAGCAACCAGACCATCGCTCTGAGGTATCGGCAACTACCGAAGACGCCTTTGCGACCGATCTGCAAGGGGAGAGCCGGCATCGTTCCCAGGGACTCCAACATCCCTTTAATACGGAATGTACGTTAACTAATATGAGGGATCCTACTGTTGATGATATAAATCCCGCATTACCCATAATAAGGAATATACCATTATTCCCATAGTTTCGGGTCCTTAAGGTAATGCAGGATTTGCATCATCAACCGTACGATGATTTAAGGCATATTTCCTTAATTACGTAAGGGACATTGGCGTCTCTGGGTTTTTTGGCTGACAGGCATCGGGGCATGTAGAGTTTAGAGTTTAGGGTTTAGGGATCTATAGGGGTTCGATAAGGGTCGCTTAAAATCCAGGATCAATGGGGGGGGCTTTATGCTTGACGTCTAGAGGACGAGCCAATCTAGCCCAAAAGCATCAAGCGAAATCCTAAACCTCCAACTCTTCATCTTGCTTCGAGGACGTGACGTGTGGTAAGCAGATTGCAAGTAACTAGAACTGTAAGTAGGCCAGCGGAATGGCAGGATGCCCCAGCAACCTAGGAATAACAAGCGCTCCTGTTGGTATTGAATACTTGAATGAAGCTTCTGAAGCCACAATAATAGAGCGAAAAAGGCCCCTCTGGGAGACCAAGAAGGTCCAACCCTAAACCTAAATCCCTTGTTGCTGGTTCACGACGTACTTCAAGCCTCCGGATCCTCTAAGTGGAGCAACAACCCAAAACTTGCGCGAAACGGAGTATAATTTAAGCTAGAATTCATAAACTAAGGGTATTCCTCTACTCAGGGATTCTTGGACTGAAACCGACCCTAAAACCTAAAACCTAAAGCCGGTAAACCCTGGACCCCCTCCGCCTTCGCCTTCTCTTTCCTCGGTTTGGATGTGGCAGCAGCCGAGAATTGGTGCACCCTTCTTTACGGCTTTAGGGGCCATAACAATCATAATGGGGTGTTGGCATAGTTACAATAAGGAGCCCTAAGGAATAGTTAGTGGTAGCTGTCCGGCTTCTATATTACAATAGTACCAAAGTGTACGAATCATTTGAAGCAAGTACACCCACAGCCTCTCATTCAGGAGCCTACATTAGCTTGCTTTAGATAAGTTACAGGACGTCTTAGTTACGTCAGAAGGTACGCGATATGGCTCAGGGTTTTTAGCGTCCTAGGGTTTCAGATTCAGGACCCTCATGCGTTTATGCTTTCTTACAAGGGCTCCAGGAGGTTTTGGGGCTTTTTGCACCCAGCCAAGATTCAGTGATTGAAGCCAGCTCCAGCACAGGAACTGTATGGTTGAATGATTTGATGTAGCATTCAATTCTATGTGAGCCCTGTCATGCCCATACCCGACACCTGATACCACAACCCGGAATCCTGGTCGCTAAACTCTAAACCAAGGAAACCTCGCGAGGCGTAAAGCCCCTGTACCCGAAACCCTAAGCACTAAAAGGCTGGCTCCTTAGTTGGTGCCCGTTGGTACTGCAGCAACCCTATGCTGGTCTCTGTAAAGAGCCTGAACCCGTCCCTAACCGTTAAGCATTAGGGTTCAGTATTCAAGGTTAAGGGGTTCAACCTTAGCGTACAGGGTTGACCATGCACCCAACATCCTGCACCCCATGCCGTCGACTCCAGCCTTATCGCGAACAACAGATACCGGCGTCCCTGAATCTTCCTGAGCTACACTTCATAAAGTGAAAACCCAAAAAACTCTCACAACACTTAAAACCTTAGCCCTGCAACCGGTTAACGCTAAAACCTGAAGCCTAAAACGTAAACCCTACAAGCCTTGACCCCAACAACTACGGCCAGGATTCAGGTCGGCGACCATTGAGGTGCCTCTCGCAGTTTCCGGCAGGTACCTGCGATCCATCTTTTGCACATTCTGACGGAGGCGGCAGTAGTAACAGTAGTAGTCGTCGTCGTAGTAGTTGTGGTTGTAGTACTAGTAGTAGCAGTAGGGGTACTAGTAGTAGTACTAGTACTAGCAACTAGTAATACTAGCTGCAGCAGCAGGGGAGGGGGAGTAGTAGTGCTGCTGCTGCTGTTATTGCTGCTGCTGTCGTCGTGATGGTAGTGAGCTGCCGCTACCAATCCTCCTGCCACAAACACTACGACTACTGGCACGACGACAGCTACGGCCACAATCTTCTAAGAAGTAACGAGCACCATCATCAGCATCAGCATCAAAGGCAGAAGCCGCATCACACACCACCTGCAAAAGCTGCATCTATAACCAAGAACGACCACCATCGCGAGCGCAACCATCACCATCACCGCCGAGAAGGCCCAAAAGCAAAAGGGCACTGCCAGGGAGCAGGCGTCAACTGTCCGAACTCTTTGTTGCAAGGCCTCGAGGCGCAAAAACTTGCTGTTGCAGGTTTCGGGCTACCGTGCGAAAGCTTACTCCTCACAAGGTCCCTCCACACTCGATGCTTGACTTTGAACCTAGCTATAAGACCCTGCAGGAACTAATATGGGGCATTTTAATAGTTAGAACAGGATTTTGGGGCCCATTATACTATAATTATGTCTTGGTAATTTTAGAGGCCCCTATGGTGCGCAACTCGGAATTTGCAAGGAAAGCTAAAGGTTCAGTGCTCGACGGCAAGGGCTCGTTCATCCAAGCAGGTTCGTAAGAATCTGAGGATGCCCTGGGTCCATGAACCTAAAGCAAAGTACTACTTCGGCCTGCACGGTCTCGGTACTCTGGGTCTGTACGTACTTGGACCCTTGGTCTAGGCCCATGGTCTCACAGGGTGCGGGTTCCATGCTTTTGGGCTAAAGGTAGGGGATTTGCAGTCTCTAGCGACTCCAGGGACAAGGGTAACTGAATAGTGGGCGACCTAACAATGATCGTTTCCGGGGAAATTCAGGCATCTTTGCATGCTACTAAACCCTAACCTCGTGCAAAAACCTGAAAACATGTCAAAACTTCTCCCTTGGCCTTGTAAGGATGAATTACTCATTGCGGGACCGGTGTCTGGGTCAGTTTCTTGTAAGTAGACCGAGCTATGTTGCATTAAACGTGCTAGGAAGTAGGTTTACGCGGTGTGTGTGTATATATATATATATAGAGTATATATATATATATGTGAATACATATACACACATATATATATATATATATGTATGTATGTATACCTTGTTCAAGGGCCTTGGGCTTTCTTGTCAAATCTGATCCATCGCTCAGTCTTCAAACTTAGGGTTTAGCAGGGCTTCTTGACTTCTGAACACTTCGGCTATCTCACTTGTAGGCTTGGTCTCTTGTCAACTATAACTCAAAACCAAAGCACTGCAGACCCTAAACCCGAGACCCCTTACTCGGGGGCAAGCCTGATCCGTCAAGTTTAAAGAGGTTCACCTACGGTTTCCTTCATTTAGAGATAAACCCTAGATCCTCTCGGGCAAGAGTCGAGGACCGCTTAAGATGTACTCCTCAAAACAGTGCTGTTAGGCTTTATCCTTCATCTCTCCTGAAGTCTTGGAAAGACATTTGGTTCATGTCTCTTACAGGACACCGCACGTTTGGTATCCCCCAAATCTATCCTAAAGTCTTGGTGGGACTTATGTTGCATGTCTCTTACAGGACCTCTGACAACCGCGCAAAAAGTAGCGCCTGTCGTCCGACGTGTTGAAGGCCTGCAAAGGGCCCTGCAAAGCGCTGGTGGGTCTTTCCGTAAGTGAGGGTCCAAAATACCGCATACTTCGGGTTCCCTCAAGCCCTGAACCCTAAATCGGGGGTTTGGGGAGGGGGGGGAGGTCACGTGGGCCCCTACAGCACCCAACAGCTGGGTCTAGGACAGCAAGTTTGCGTGTGAGCACGTGGGATCTGATTGTTGGGTGTTTCGGCTGACGGACATAACCTGCATGAAGTTGAATATGCAATCCAAGGTACGCCACGGTACGGTATAGTTCCTACCAGTACCACGGATGATGCACGCTTTTGTCCGACAGCAGCTGCTCCATCGCGGTTTGCTCCTGCTCGTCTTCACAAACCGAAGATTCAGGCCCACGGCCTGCGTGTACAAGGTCCCTGAGCCGCACACTGGGCAGAAATTTAGAAGCCCTAGAGAATACAATAATGGTAACAGTATTGATGTCCGCGTTGAAACTTTGGAACTCGGAGTGTAACAACAAGAATAGGAATTCACAGGAATAGAGGCATTGCCGGTGCGATAACGATCAAGACCCGAAGATTGGATAATAACCTTTGGGCTGACACCACGTGTAGGTATTTCAGTATTCCCTAAACCCTACACCCTAACCCCTGAGCCCTAAACCCTACTTCGATCTACTGTGAGGAGCGACATACTGTGCAGGGGATCCAACGAGAGATCCTGTCTTGGAGAGCTGCCAAACTTGGAGGGTCGGGGGACTTAGCAACTGGATTTTAGGGACATATAAGTACCATAGCCCCAATTAGGGTTCCTTTTAGGGTACTTATAAGTCTACTTGCTACCTACTTTCTACTTCCTACCTACTTACTAAGTCCCCCGACCCTCCAAGCAGGGCCGGTTTCGGGTTTCGGTCTTTAGGGCTGGGCCTCGTATGATCATTATTGCGGCTAGTATTATTGGTGTTGTTGTGTTATTGTTATTGCTGATATTGATGCAGATCATAATGATGATAATGATGATGATGATGAACTGAGGCTCCTACACCCCAGACACCAAAAACCCCAGAAAGCATAACCCCCTGCGGCCCCGAACCCAAAACTCTCATCCCTACGCAGTATCTACGGCCTGAAGCCTTGAATCCGAAAGTGTATTTGCGTTCGACGGCGGAGGCTGCCTCCGTTTCCTGGAGGGCCAGGATCAGCGTGGGATGGTGCACCTCGAGGAGCATCCGGCGGGGTTGCGAAAATTCTTCAGGGCTTCGTTAGGGTTTAGGGTTTAGGGTTTTGGGTTTCGGGGCTTAGCGGAGATCAAATGGGAAGCAGGCTGAAAAATGAGCTAAATGTATTATGTATTGGTTGTCGTGGTTTGGAGCTCAGCGTACGTAGAGTAAGTGGACTATGGTATGGGATGCAAGTAGCCCGAATTTCCTTAGGCCAGGCGTTGGCACCAAAAGTAGGCAAGAAAATTGGCCAACCACAGAACTACGAAGCTAAACCTCAAACCCTAAACCTGAAACACTAAACCTTAAATCCTATACACTATACTCGCACACACGCTTAACCGAAACACTAAACCCCAAACCCAAAACCCCTAAACTCCGCTGCTGCTATGACACGCCGTGGAGAGATCGCCGAGGTCTCTGGAGAACCTGAAGAGCCGGGCTCTTAAGCATTAGCGGTTTAGGGCTTTGCGGTTTAGGGTTTAGGGGTTTAGGACTGGAGTTTAGGGTTTAGGGTTTAAGGTTTAGGGTTTAACGTTTAGGGTTTTGCGGTTTCTTCCGGGGTTAAGGTTTACGGCTGAGCTCTTCAGGGGTTTATGGTGTAGGGTATTAATTAGCTGTGTAAGGTTTAGGGGTGTTAGGGTTTAAGGGCTTTGGGGTTTAGCTGTTTAGGGTTTGAAGAGCTTAGAGTTTAGGGGCATAGTGGCTTGGGGTTTAAGGGTTTGGGGTTCTGGGGTCCAGCGTTTAAGGCTTCAGGGGTTCAGGGCATTGGGGTTTAGGGTTTAGGGTTCAGGAATTAGTGGGATTTGGAACGGGTCCGGGGGTTTCTTAACATTGTTGTCCCGTATGGGTGATCAAATACGTATGGTCATAAATCACGGCTCTGTTTGCAATCTGCTGACTAGCTTCCCCGATCATTCTGAAGGCATGTGTTTTAACACGGGGCAATGCAACAGCGAAGAACACAGCGGCAGCCAAGGCCTTGTTCGGATCGATCTCGTTTGGATCCTGAAGCGTGAGAGGTGGCATGTAGGGGCATTGGGGCCCAGGGCACCACGAGGATCTGTAGAGCAAGTAAGTTCCCAGTAGAGTTGCCACTAGCTAATCCTTGTATTAAAATCTAAAACCCCAAACTTTAAACCTCAAACCCTAAAGCTAAACCCTAAAACCCTGTTCTAAACCGTAAACTTCAACCGACAACCCTAAACACCTAAACCTAAAACCCTATAGACCTCAAACCCCAAACCTAAACTCCAAGCCTACCTATAGTCTCCAGTGTAGTTCCTTACCAAATATTATTAGGATCCTATAAGGTAACCCCCAAAAGGAACTACAAAGGTGACTATAGGTACACCCTAACCCAGGACTTCCGGGCTTTCCTCTTGCGACTTTGGGGATGCATTGAGCTGCAAACTTGGGATGCTCCGCTTACCGGCTTAGGGTGCGGGTGCTTTAAATAGCATAGGGGCCATAGCATTTTGGGGGATATCAAACTTTGGTTATAATTGGGAATCCGCCCCCTAAATTACCGATGAAGTTTGAGGGAGTGAGAGGGTCGGTCGGGGAATGCATTCCCCGAGGCATGATGCATCAAATCTTGATGACGTTCAGGGTATTCAGTACACCCAATAAAGTTGGAAACCGGATTAAGGCCAAATAGTGCTGGGATTCCCTGTACAGTACTCTTCAGGATTGAACCTATTGGGTTTCCAACTTTTGGGCTTCTACTGTAGGGCTTAGGGTATGGCGTCTGGGGTGAGTTTGTTTAGGGTATAGCGCGCAGGGTATAAAGCCTAGGTTATAGAGCTGGGGTTTGGAGTTTAGGGTATATAGGGATTCTAGCTCATGGTTGGGATAGGATTAAACTTTTACATGTTCATTCCTTATTGGGCTTAAGAACCCATAAAAATGCAAAATGAAGGATTAGGGGTTAAATTCTCGAGAAATCCCGTTGGACCATGGCGTCAAACTTCTGAGAGCCCTGTCGCGTGCGGGGGTCCTGGAACCTCACCAATGATTAGAGCCACGGCTTAGGATTCGATTAAAGAATTAAAGTCTTGTTTTTGGTCGCTCGATCACACAACCGAACAGGAGCACCCCTATGAACCCCTTTTTGAGACAGTGTAGAGGCCTTGTAAAGCCCATCAAAACCTGCCTTATGATGACCCGCGCAAAACCCCAGTATCGTGAAACCCTCATAAAATCGCTACAGGTACCCTATCAAGCCTCCAAAGAGTTATAACGCCTTCATAGATCCCTTTGTTGCCCGACGCAACCCTTCAAGCCCATACACAACCACTCCAAGCCCGGTGGTGGAACTCTACAAAGAGGGATGGGGAAGCTCCCAAACTCAAGCCCTAGTCCTAAGGGTCCACAGGAACCAATAATCAGATACTCGGATTTAGGAATGTAGTTATGTATGTTAGGATATGAGATTGTGGATGAGAGTTAAAAAACCCTAAACCCTAGGTACTTGGACCCTCAGGGTCGACCTTGAACCGTAAAAAAAATACTCGGGGGCGGTCCTTCCAGTCTCCCGGACCCATGGTGTAGTGGCCTCAAGGGACAAGAATTGAGGAGAGCCATTGCGTTACAAACTATCGTCTATTCTGCATCACTTTACTCTTCCTGCTTGTCCCACGCCGGCTTCGTGCTTTCTCCGTCTTTGTCGACCATGCTATGTAGAATACTAGGATATCCAGTAACCTAAGAATAAAAAGGTAACTTTATAAGGAACCTAGGACCACAAAAAGGGAATAAGGGTACTACTTTGCATCCTAGAATATGAAACGATACTTCATGAATGCTTGAATGTGCATCGTCTAGATTCTTAGCGTTTTGGAGTCTCGCTGGGTTGCTTGTGTGTTTGAACTTGTCTATACACTGATTCACACCGTCCAGGTAGTTGATTGAAGGTAGCGCTGTACTGCGATCCCTGAAGACACAGCACGTCGCCGAGGATCAGCAGCCGTAGTTGGGCCGTACATTCACGGCGCTACTAAGCTCCAGAATGACTTTCTGAGCCTAACCTTCTATACATGGCCACACTTGCCGAACTTCTGGGTGTTGTAACTTTACAAGGAACCTAAGGTCTACAAAAAGGGGATAAGGGTACTACTGGGCATCCTAGTCTGTCAAGTTTGATAAGCAAGTAGGTGGATACATTACCAAATCACAGAAAAGGGTGACAGCCTACGGCTCCCAGACCTCCAAAAACCTATAGACTCCCCCCCTAAACACCCCTCAATCCTACATCTTAGACCCCACCTGAGCATAACAAAAAGGCTCTTAATTATTATAAACCCCTAATATCGGTTTTTACAGGGTGGGTTAAGGTAAACCCTAAACCCCGAAAACCCGAAAATTGACTCAGCGACGCGCCAGGACCCGGCACGTGCTTCAACTGAGCGGTATTTTGTTTTCTGTTGGGCAACAGTTGCGGGTCAGGGTTTGTCTGGGATTCAGGCTTTGGGGTTTAGAATTAAGGATCGGGCAGTTGGGGGATCTAGGATTCTGGTGTTTGCAGGTCTGGGGTTCAGCGTTTAGGACCTAAGTTTAGGATGTTGGCGTTTACGGGTTAGGGCTTTCAGAAATCCGCTTCAAGGCTTTTGGTGCAAGCTGACAAGTACGAATACTTTTCGCCCCGAGGCGTATGCAAGTGTTGCTCTAGCTGTAGCTTTCGTTGTGAAAGCTGCCACCCTCCCTGGAAGGAACCCGAAAAGAAGCCCATTCGGCAAAATTCTTTGTATCAGCAGCAGCAGCCAGGAGCAGACTCTGCCCCAAACCCTAAGCTATCTGTAGACCGAAGCGATGATGGCATCTCCGTAATTCCTACAACTCTATGTATCTATTGCTATGTGGAGATACACTGGAAAACAAACTCGAGTGAAGCTTGCTACGCTTGTCACTTCCTTAGGGAACCCTTTCCAGTTATGGCAAGAGAAAATATGTGAACACCGAAAGGCTACTCAGCTACTAAGCTTCAGGGGGCCAAGATAGCACCTATCCCTAAACCCTACGCACCACGGGCTCTTAAAGCCTAAACCCCCAAACCCTGAACCGTCAACCCCCACACCCTACACCCTTGTATTCTAAACATATCCATGTGGTGTATCCCTGATGAAACTTGAACTTTACACTCGACAGCCCCCTAAACCCCCGCAGTCTATACCCTGACGCATTCATTGAGAGGGGCTGTGTTGCTCCAGGTCTAGGGGCAACCCCAATGGGAGCTAGCAGTTCGTCTACACGGCCCTTACCCCGCGAAACCCTGAAATCATCAAAATCTATACAGGCTTCAACCCCTAACCAACCCTAAACCCTAATCCCTGAACCCGAACCCTACCCTAAACCCTAAACCTGAACCCAAACCCCTCCAAAACCCCGACCCCCCCAGAACCCTGAAACCCCGAATTAACTGCGGCGCCCAGGGGCGTGGTAAGGATCCTTGAACGGTTGGTTGAGATCCCGTGACCTGGTCCGCGGCTTCGATCTACTCTAATAGGAGCCTTATAGATCCCTTACAATACAGAAAACCACGTCATGGAGGCCAGAACTACTCTAATAGGAGCCTTATGGATCCCTTACAATAAGGGATCTACAAGGCTTTTATAGAGGGTTTAGGCTTTACCGTCTGGTTCTTAGTGGAGAATGGGGGAATGGATTATGGGGACTAGTATTGGGGATTATCTAGGGACTACTATATAGGGATCCATTCCCCCGTTCCCTACTAAGCACCAGACAGTCTGAGTCGTTCGGGTTCCTGAAACTTTTGGGGTTTGGGGCCGTACTTAGAGGCTCAGCTCAAAAGCAGAGTAAGAATTGCCGGATTGGAGCCAGCCTAACTTTTTCTTCTGCGTATTCTTTTGTACAGACTGAAGCCTTGAAAACGGCATGCACTGTACACCGTAATTACACCCGAAACTTTGGACTCGAAACCCCAAAATCCTAAACCCCAACTTAAACTCCAAACTTTCCTAAAGTTTGTGAGCTTATGAACCCTTGTTCTTTGCTGGATCCTTTGCGGGGCTTTTGAGGTCTTGGAAAGCTTGCTGGGCCTTACTACAAGAGCCTTTGTGTTTGAAGTTCGAAAAAGGTTTCGTGGTTTTGGGGTGTGTTACAATATGCATCAGATAAACCATATATAAACCCCAAAGCTGAAGAGTAGTGCTTAGGAGTAGAAGTAGAGATATAGTAGATTAGTTGATGAAGCATATAAACCCTAACTCCGGAGTAGTCCTACAGACAATTCGGGCTTGGGGCCCAGGGCCTGGCCTCTGCGGGTTTGGGATGCAACAGACGGGCCTCAAACATTCGACCTATTTCTACGGCTTTGGGGCTTCGGGTTCAGCAAGGCATTGCAGTTCAGGGTAGGGTGCCTTGGGCACAGTATAGTCTTGCAGCCTTTTTCGTCGCAGGTTCCAGGAATTTCAGGGAACCCGAAAGCAGCTTGCCCGCATGAATCGTCATCATCATCATCATCATCATCTTCGGCATCATCGTCATCATCAAGAGCGTCCTGACTGCAAAAATGGTGATGGTTGGCATCGTCCTCCCGCAGCTATAAAGCCCGAGAAACGCCCTTACAAAGGCCCACACGACCTACAGAAACCCCTGGTCTGTACTGGGGCCTTAGAGGACCAAGACAGAAACCCCTTCAAGGCCTAGGGCCTAAGTCTCTACTAAATGGGTACATGGAGCCTTGAGGGTACATGGAGCATTAAGGGTGCCCCTGTGTAACCCTTTCAGCACCCGGCCATCCGACACGTTCCGTCATGGACCCGAAGCCTGCACCTGGTGCTCTTTCTGCTCTGGGGTTCGGGGCTTAGAGTCATGGGTGTAATGGTTTAGGGTGTAGGCGTTTAGGGTTTAGGGTTCAAGGCCTAGGGTTTAGGGCTAAGGGGGTAAGGGTTTTTAGGGTTTAGGGTGGGTGCTCTGGTTGCTGCGGGGGTTCGGAGGCTTTAGGGTTATGGGTGCACAGTCCTTAAGATTAGTTATATATATATATATATACACACACACATATACATGGCATCCCAGCACTGTTTGGCCTCAATCCGGTAGGCGCTTAGGGTTAAGGTGGGTGTATTTCTTAAAAAAATAATCCTCATCCTGGTTTGGGCCCTAAGCTTATAAACCCGAAGCCCTAAACTTCAGGGTTTTCGGATCAGGGAGGTTCAAAATTTCTGGGGCTCAAGGGCTTAAGGTTACTTGGAGGGTCGGGGGATTTACTAAGCAGTTATTTTAGAGAGTTATAAGTACCATACCCCCAATCAGGATCCCTTTAAGGGCAATTATAAGTCTACTTATTCCCTACTTACTAAGTCCCCCGACCCTCCAAGTATGGGTCAGGGGTCCCTCAAAGACCAGGCTCGTCCTCAGACACGCCCTCCGCCCCAGCCGTTTAATCGCAGGAACCAATGAACAAGGTACGTAAAGACTCCCAAACCCCTTAATTGAGGAAAAGACCTACATTAACCGATCTGTCCATTCCATATTGCAGGACCTCAGAAAAGAGCAACTCTGTTGCAAACTGCCGTCCCTGTAAGCAAGGGACTCTACTTGCAGAGGTTTTCAGGTCTTGGCAAGGGTTTGAACTTTCTGCAACGAGGGTGTTGACACCCAGAGAAACCAAAACTACATCCATTAATTCAGAATGCACCTCAAACCTTGTTGAACTCCTGAACGGAGCTTCAAAGAGCGAAATTGTCATTCGTGTTTCATTCGGCTTGATAGCTAGCTAGTGAGCTAGTTGGTGTCTGGATACTTTTGAGCGTTCTTTCTGCTCACCCAAGCGACAGAAAATGTGAAGCCATTAGAGACAATAGCACTGAATACAGCTCATACCACAGAGTTAAAGCAGAACAGACCATCGCATGTGCTCCTCCGCTACTGCACGAGTATTCAAGCCTGGAGAAAAAGACTCCTCAACTAGGCGGCAGTTTGACTGAATCGTTGTGCGACTCTGAGTAGTAAAGGGTTCCAGATCCTGAAATCTCGGGCCTCAAGTTAAATTAAAGACGAGCCCTCGACAGGCTGGTTCTATCCATAACACCGCCCCAAGACCGAATCATCTGGAAAAGATCGCGACAAGCGTACGTAGCTGTGGTTCTTTTTCGAATGAAGCACGAATCTCGGAAGCACAGTTTTTTGGTAGAAGCTTTTAGTTTATCATGTCGCGGGTGCATGAATGGCCAAGAGCGACTCTGGTCATACCGAATATCGGGTGAGCAAGTGCTTCATTCCATGATAGCTCACTTCTGACGCAAAACGGAAAACGGCACGACACAACGTGCCTCGATGACCTCCGTGCCTAGTTCTCAATCGGTTGCATTACACTGCATACTTGGTAAACTCCAGAAGCCCTGCATCCAACATCCATCTGAGTTGGGCGGCTGTTGCCCACGGCTTCCAGCCGCTCCTGGCGATTTGTTGGTTTAAACCAAGACCGCAAACCCTAAACCCAGACTGTGTTGTTTGTTGCGGGTTCGAAGTTGTGGCTAGGAATGTGTAGATCCGTCTTATTATAAGGAGGGTGCGTCCAAAAGCCGCCACCTTGAACAGGACCGTCTTACGGTGGTGCTTTGGGATCTCAGGGCTAAGCCGTCTAAGCCTCAAATGCTAGGTTCAGAGTTAGGTTTACCAGTACTCCCCTAGTCTCCATTGTAGTTCCTTGTTTCAACCAACTAACATTGATTTGCCAAACCAAAATACTGCAATGGAGACAGTAGGTTGTGCACGTTAAGGTTTAGGAGACCCTCAGAAACTCCTCTCGCAAGATTCCCTTCCTCGGTCCCTTACCCAGAACTTTTGGGAGAATCCACATCATGAAGCCGCCATACTAGTGATCTACGGGGGTGTCTGGTAGGAAGACCTTACACCTTCCAGGCTCGTTCGGCCTCCCTTGAAGGATTCTACAAGTGTAGGGGCCTGAGCAGTTAAGTTAAGAGTTAAGAGTCGGGTTTCAGAGGTACAATACAAGTACAACTATAGCAGGCAAAACGAGTACCAGTTTGCTTAGACCCCTATAGTTTTGTTGTATTTCACGCTGTATCCTCTTTAACGCGGAACTCGGAAACCTGCCTGCAGTCTGCAAAGCTTAATCAGGGAACTCCAACAGGGAATATGTGTGGGTTTAGCATTCAGGCTTTGGGAATCCGATTCTATAGGGTGTGATACTAAATGTAGACACCAGATTGAGCTGACTAAGCGTCTCCCCGAGAACGGAGTGTAACACGCGGCTTACTAGTCAGGGTCTACATCGACCATCAAGGGTATGTATGTATAGGTATATGTTCATACACATAATATATAGACTTATGAGTCCCTAACTGAGAGTACCCTACTAAGAGCTCCATGTCTATCCGCCTACGACATGAACTTTTCTGTCGGCTTTCACCTGCTGGTCGGACCTGCTCTCGTACATTATAGCTGTACCCGAGACCTATAGTCCCTAAGGCTCCATAGTAGTTCCTTTTTGGGATTACCTCATGGGACTCTTTAATATGAATCCCAAAAAGGAACTAGTACTTACCTCTGGTTAGTGGGGAATGGAGGAATGGGGTACAAGTATAACTGCTATTACTACCTTTCTTCCATTCCCTACAAACCAAAGGTAAGAAGATCTATCTGTAGCTCGGGATCTACTGCGCAGGGATTCGGGTCAGGGCCCATCTTCTTCGGTGCTTAGGGCATAATTTAGGTTTGAGGATTAAGGGTTAAGGCATGATGAGGGCTTGTACCATAAACTGAGGGCCTTCCGCCGCGAAGTAGAAACCGGTTTTGCTTGCGATACTCATTGTCATCTACCTTAATGCACCAGATCCACTTTTTTGCAGGGTCCTTTTTGGACTCCGTATTAAGGTTTATAATAGGAACCTACAAATAACATGTAGGTTTTGGCATGTTTTGGTAGACTGGTAAGGCTCCTCAACAAGCTCCCACTTAGTCTAGACCCTGAACCCCGGATGCTGAAAACCCCATGGCCTGCTGTTCGTTAAGATTTTTGTCGATTTTGGCGACGATGGTGTATGCGCCTGAAGCGTGTAAGGAGGTCACCATACTGCCGACGGACATTTCGTGAGTGCTTGTTGGGGTAAGCATACAACGAGGCCCGATTCTGTCCGTTTAGGTTGGGCTTCTACTACAGCGAACCCGAGAAAGTTGGAACATGGGTTTGGGATGATTTGCGCTAGGATCCCTCATACTTTATTTAAGGGCACGAGGATTATATGATGTTCCAACTTTATGGCTTATACTTTAAGAGAAGTCAGGAGTCACTTCAACTTTTGGGCCCCTATCTGAGTACATTCTCGAAGCTTCGTGGGCTGGATCGGGATGGGACTCAGTGACTACTGACTACTGTCAGTTCAGCTGGCTTTTGCTAATCTTCTTCTGGGAGTTTCCGAAATGAAAGTTGGGATACCTTATTTTGGGGTCCTTATGATAAGGGTCCTACTACTTAGGGTACTAGATTAGGGTCCCCTATTTTCGGAAACTCCCTGCTGAGTTTTGGGCCTTGTCGGTTGCTGTCGGGCGAGCGGCTTTGCTTCTCTACTCTTCGGGCATAGCAGGGAGCATAATTTAGAGATTTGGTTAGTAGGGTAATTTAGAGAACTCCTTTCCTTTGGCTAGTAGGGAATGGAAGAATGGTTGTAATAGTAGTTCTAATTGTAACCCTTTCCTCCATTCCCTATACTAACGAAAGGTAAGTCTTCGGGCATAGCAGGGAGCATCATTTAGAGAACTCCCGTTATGTGAGGTCAGCTCTGAACCAAACTTGCCCAAGCCAACCCAAGGCATAGTTTTACAAACTGGTCATGCCGCTTTGTTGTGTTGTTACCACGCTGTTCCGATGACGATGATGGCAAATAGGGCGGCAGGTTTTGCTTGAAATGGCGGCGGCCACAAGTTGGTCCACTGGGTTTGTTGCAAGGATAATGGCCACTCCACCTACCTTTTCTTCTGATTGGCAAAAACAACAGGGAATTTTGCTATAGTTATCAACAGACTCCAGTGAATGACGAGGAGTCAACGTGTCGGACCAGTCGTGCGAGAAGCGGCCGATTTCTGTTGTTTATATCCTGTAACTGGCAGTGCGTGACCGAGGGCTGTTGGTAAGAAGAGGTACCAGACCGTGATCAGGGTCGTCCTAACTCTACAAGTAGCGAACGGCGTGGCCCGGAATTGAAGCTTTAACTTACACGCCGCACCCCTCAGCGTTTGCAGATCCTCTGCGCCCCTGATGGAGACTTGTACGTTAAGTTCTACTACAATGCAACGATCCAGCTGAAAACACAGCAAGTATCTACGAATCTACAGGATCTCTTAGAATAATCTTAGAAGGACATCCTGATCCGAATAGAGTCTGCGAGTAGTCTAGAAGCCATTTCTGCGTGAGTTCGTTCAGGGAACTTTCTTCAAAACCCTTGCACATCCAGCAAGGGTCCATGTACCTTTAAGGTAAAAGCATCAGCCCAACAGCCGCCCGAGAGGAACCCCTCCAAGGCTAAAGTATAAGTGTAAGTATGTAAGTTAGTTAGCTAAGAAGTATGTGTGTGTATATATATATATATATTTATTTTCCACATACTAGATGATTACATGGCTCTGTCGGGATAGGTCACCTGAACCTGGAGACTCCATGTTGAGCGGACAACGACGATAATGAAATCGGAAATACAAACGCTCGCCTTCAAAAAGAACAATCTACAGGTTTTTGTCCCAACAGTACTTCTGAAACAATACCTCTGTAGATTATCAAACGTTTAAGAAACAGAAATCCCACACATTCACCTCGGAAATACCAGTCTCTGAAACAGGAACACTCTGTTCGAGAAAATGCGCCTGGTCCAGGGGTGCGCTGCTTGTCTTTGACCTGCACTGGGCCCGAAACCCTGAACCGTAAACCTTAAACCCAGAACCTGCAGAACTACTGTGGACATGAGAGGTCTTGTGGCAGCTCCTGGAATTTCGGATCCCTCCTAGCAAGCCTCCACCCTGAACTCTAAACCTTTCACCAATACTACTAATACCATGAATACGTTACTCCTAATACTACAAATAGTATGACTTGTACTTTTAGTACCAATAATACTAATAATGATAATAATAATAGACTAAAGCCCAGGAGCATCGAGGCTCACAGGAGACAGGTTCACCAGACGACTCGAATGACTTACCCTAAGGGTCCATGTGCCCAAATAGTATGTACTTTGGGCCCAATGTACCTACCCTAAGGGTCCAACAAATTGGGGAACCTCAAAATCCCGAAGCCTCTCCCTAGGACATTCCGGACCCTCCTAAGGAGATACCTGGACCCTCAAGGTAAATATGGAAAGTATATAACTATTTGGGTACATGGACCCTTAGGGTTACACGTAGAGTGACATTTCTGATGCAGAATATCAAAGCACCACTGCCTCTTTGTGTAAGCCGGTATACCCTAAACCCGCAAGTCTCAGAATCTAAACCCCGAACCCTAATCCCTTAATCTCGTGACTTTACAGGCCCAATGCCCAAGCTTCATAGTACAGGGGCCTGATTAATTAGAATGGAGGTTTGGGGCATGTATTCCCAAACTATAAATAAGGAACTGGTAATTATTTAGGCCCCTATGGTAGCCAGATCCCTTGAGGTTGGGTGCCTCGACGTCGTGCGCCATTGGGCTCTTCGACACGAACCTCAAACAGCTGCCACATTAGGGCCCCGAAAAAGCACATAAGCAAACACGAGGATAGGGATATCCTACAAACAAGTTTCCAAAAATTAGGTGTACCTTCTTCTGGGGTCCTTATAAGGATCCTACTATTTAGGATATCATATTAGGGTCCCGCCCATTGCGCCATATAACCCCCCTTATAATGAAGCCCAATAAGGCAGGTATCAGGTATCCGTTACTCTATACATACCTAATAAAGGTGCCCTAATTCTCAGAATTGGCTTTGAGGGTCAGCTATACTAACTAACTCGGAACCCTAAAGAAATTTATCGGCATTGGGTCAGGCTCTGATGTCAAGGATATCCACAAAGAAAATTGCACAGTTTTCCTTCACTCTTCTTTATAAGCTGGAATCTTGACGACTCGAAGCGTGGGCTCTGCGCTAAGAGCCTTCCTCTAAAAGGGTTCAGTGCAGCTGCGCCCAGACCACGCAACATTCATAGCAGTTTCTCAATCGATGCGAGGCCCCCAAACCCAGAGACTCCAATATCCCTTAATTAAGGAATATACCTTAAATCATATAAGGGATCCTACCATAATTTAAGGAATATTCCTTAATTTAGGGATATTGGAGTCTCTGGGAACCAGGGACCTGTAAACCCAAAAAGGGACCTGTAAACCCTGCAACCAAAACCCTGAAAAGGACCCTTAAAGCCGCATCATGAACCAGTCAATACGAAGTCTAGGTCCTCAAGCATCCTGTAAAGCCCATAAGAAATAGGCGCAGGAAACCCGATGATGTAGCGGCCTTTAAGGACTACAATGGGCTTGTCGTTTATATGAAGTATATCCTCGTTGGTTCATACTAACTCAACCGTAACTATACCTTGAGGAAACAATCGGTTGCTAAGTCTTCAGGCTTCTACAATTACAATACGGCTTTGGTGTACAGTCTAATAGACCTACATAGGGACTAGACTGGCTAAGAAGGGTACATTCTTGCCCTAGTAGCCCGACCCTAAAACACAAAAATGCAACTCCACCCAGGCCCTGGTCATGAACCCAGAGAGCCCAATACCCCTTAATTAAGGAATATGGCTTAAATTATATAGGGGTTCATATTATGATTCAACCCATATTCCTTAATTAGGGGGTATTGGCTCTCTGGGAACAATCCCTAAACCTACCGAAGGCGTTCTCGGGCTCCATGCTGCGTGACAGCGCCGGCGTGATTGCCAGGTCGAGCCGTCTGGGGCAGGTTCAAGGCTTCATGTATAGGCTTAGGGTTTAGGGCTTAGGGTTGAAGATTTCTGACCCGCAAACCTAAGTCGGGGGTTTGCGTCCTTGCTACTTTGTGCCCTTGCAGTTTGCTCGTGGTTTTGGTTTCTCAAGGCTTGCCCAGAAGCTCCTCTGTCACTGTTGGGACCCTATAGACCCGAACCCCCTAAGCCCTAGCCAAGAAACCCAAGGGCTCTGCAAGGGAGATTCCGGACCTTCCCTGATAGTTCGGACCCTTAGGGCAAGGCTCAGGTTGCAGGATTCAAGGTTGAGCGCTTAACCGAAAGATCAAAATGCCTGATTCTCATCTACTCCCCAAAATGCTGACCTACAACACTACTAGTCTCTAATCATTAGGTCCTGGACCCTCAGGGTATAGGTTCAGCGTTCTTTTGGAGGGCTTCGGGGCGGTTTAGATGCGTTGACCTCGTCATGGAAGGCGGCTCCGTTCACATGATGCATCTTATCCTCACTTGGGCTTACATAGGGTGGTAGTTTTCTAGGTTAGTAGCTGGGAGAGTATAGGAATTGAGAATGTCAGGTACGAGATCTTATCCAAGGCAGCAATAAAGGGGCCTGAAAGACGTTCCTGCAAATTGTAGTATGATATCACATATCAGTGTACTTATAGGGGATAAAGGAAGAGAACCCTTACCGACTGTTCAAACCTGATTGGTTTTTATCATCTTTAGGGCTTTAGGGCTGTGGGGGTTGTATGTAGGGTTTAAGGCTGTAGGCCCGTAATAATTCAATACGCGATTGCCTTTGAAGTCGTTTTAGGTCATTAAAGGGTTTGGGGTGGGTCTTCGGCCATGGCTCCAGAAGAAATTTCTCTAAAGCAGGATACCTCTTTAGGCCCCCCAGAAAGCACGGCAACCGAACCCTAAACGGGAGCCTAATTCAGAAGAGCCACCCCCACCTTAGGGGCTTCACGCAAAGGCTTCAGGGAGCACGACCTCAAGCTGCTAGGAGGTTTGCCTCTAGTGTAAACCCCTACACCCAGAGATTCCAATATCCCTTACGGCAATTAAGGAATATGCCTTAAATTAGAGTTGTTAGGGATCCTAATGTAACTTACTGCATGTTCCTTAATGCCCTTATAGACCCTATAGATCCGTTCAAGGAGCCCTTAGGGGCACATATTCCTCAATGAAGGGATATGGAAGTTTCCGAAAATAGGGGACCCTAAAACAGCACCCTGACTAGTAGGATCCTTATTATAAGGACCCCCAAAAAATAAGGTACCCCTCTTTTCGGAAACTCCCATATTGGAGTCTCCGGGAAACCCTGCTGGGCTACCGGGCCATCGCGCCGTCGTAGGCGCCGGGGCCAGGCAGATCCATCGGAGCTACGGCACAATCAATTGCGACCTCGGAGGAGGTGCTTGGAGGGTCGGGGGACTTAGTAAGTAGTTATTCTGTAGAGTTATAATTACCATAACCCCAATTCGGCTCCCTTTTAGGGTACTTATAAGTCGAGTTATGACTAGTCCCCAGACCTCCAAGTGGCCCTTCCATGTCGGACGAGGTCGCGTTTCTATGTTCTGTGACCACTCTCAACATATAGCAGGTTATGGTATTCTGAACATGTTTTTTGTTGGTTCGTATATGGCAAAAGCAAGTGTCATGATGATGAACTGTAGAAGCCAGGTTGTTGGTACCACGCTACTGCTTAAAGTGGCTATTTCCAGCATTCTAATTCGTGTAATCAGCCGTGGTGTCAAGATTCCACCATGGGAGGTTCTTGTTCATAGTCTACAGACTGACGGCGAACTCCAAGCGTAGCTAACCTTCCTGATGTTAGTATTGCACAGTTAGAAAAAATCTCAATCCCAAGCCGATGGGGTTCCGAGCATAGCGATTATTGGTATGCTTTAATTAGAGCTTCAGTGTCCTGGGCGTTTATCCAAGGGTGAAAGGAGGGACCCTTAATAAGGACCCTAGGTATATACCCTTAATATAGCTAGTATATACCCATTATATAGCCCACTATAGGGTAGGGGGTCCCCATTAAGGGTCCCTCCTTTTCCCCTTTGAGTTTAAAGTGTTAGGGTCCCGGGGGTATGGTAGCTAATTCGTATGCTTATCATCTCCGGCTGTTGCACTTCAGTTGATGATATGAATCCTGCATTATCCATAATATATATATATATATCATAAATTCCAAAGTTTAGGGTCATTAAGGTAATGCAGGATTTATATCATCAACCGTAGTATGGACAGTATTACGGCTTGTCGCATGTCATGCATGGGAAAGCTGTCAACCCTCACCTCCCGAAATGACCAATTCAAAAGCATCTGTAAAATATACACCCTCCCCCGGACTTCCCCAATATGTAAACAAACAACAGGTCACACTTTCAGAATAACACCACTTATAAGTTTGGGAAAACTAAACAAACTAGAAGCTTACCGAACACAATTGTCAGGCACCCGTCTACCCCAAACCCACACCCCCCCAGTCCATATCAACCCCAAACCTCCCTGAACACCTGAACCCCTAATCCATGAACCCTGAACCTGAACAAACCTCCAAAACCTCCCTAAACCCTCCCAGAACAGAAGCTCGCCGAAGGTCCCGGCGGATGGCTCCCACAGCTGCCGGAACTTTCGCTTTGCCCTGTTTGAAGCTTTGTTTTGGGGCTTCTACGGCTTTCAGCGTTTGGGGATTTGATGGCTTAAGGTTACCTAGACTCAGACCCCCCCCAGGGTAGGTAAAATAATGGCCCAAAACCATAAAAGGCCATTATTCTGCATACTTTTGGGGTCCAGGGATAAAGGTTCAGGTTATACATTACAATTAATACTATTAATATCAGTAATATTCAGAATATTAATCATATTAGTAATACTGATATTAACAGTTTTGCGTTGTGGGGCTTAGCGTGTCGGACCATGTAGGGTTTACCGATTCCCCGGCTCAGGGCAAACAGCATGGGTTGTGTTTTGTTGGGTTTAGAACTTAGGGTTTATGTAGGGTTTAAGGGTTTACGGTTTAGAGTTTAGGGCTTAGGGTTTCGGGTTTAGAGTTCCGGGGTCTGTGTGAAATAAATACTTCCGTGCTGTCTGTCCCTGAACATAATAGTTCGAGGGCCAACGGTGTGATTACTGCAAGGTTCAGGGTTTAGGGCCTAGGGTTGTGGGTCAAGGCCTTGGAGTCAGGTCTAGTACGGGTCCACGGTCTAGGGGCTTAAAGGGAACTCCAGAAAGTTGGAATGTGGATTAATGGTAGGATCCCCTATAATTTACCTTAAAGGGGATACGATAATCATATTCCAACTTTCTGGCTTTTACTGTAAGTTTATAGATTGTGTAGGCCTCGGCTTCAGGTTTCGAGTCAGGTCATTGTCAAGCATGCCTAAACCTGATACCGTGAAGGATCGTATGCTATTTAATATGGGGGTTTCCGAAAATAGGGGACCCTAAAAGAGAACCCTAAATGGTAGGATCCTTGTTATAAGGACCCCCAAATCAGGTACCCCTAACTTTTGGAAACTCCCATATGCACACCCCACCTAATAGGCGTCATAAACCCGACAGAAGGTACCGACCCTAAGCTTGGAAACCACACACTCGTTTCAGCCCCCATACCTCCACCTGAAGCCGGCAACCACTCAGCCTGAAACCCCATGTGCCGAACTCTGAAGGCAAAAGCACCGACACCCTAAACCTAAATCCCAATCAACCCTGCAAAGCCCGAAACCAGAAACCCCGAATCCTATACTCCTATACTTGCACCTTACCACTTCCTGTCTAAAAAACCCTCCAAGCCTCAACCCTCAACTCAAGACGTCGTGTACACTACCCAGAGACTCCAATATCCCTTAATTAGGGAATATACCTTAAATCATATAAGGGATCCTACCATAATTGAAGTAAAATTCCTTAATTAAGGGAAATTGGAGTCTCTGTGTAAGCCCTAAAAGAGCTCAAAGACGAGGCAGCGGGGCGGGTCGTGAAAGACGGTGATGCGATCGTTCTTGGCCCTTAGAAGACACCCAGCAGTCTCAGTGGCTTCTTTTCGGGCTTCGGTATATATAGGGGTTTAGGCTTAAGGATTTATGGGTTTATACAGAAGTCTATGGGTTTCGGGGGATTGGAGGATGCCCACTCAAGGATGAGATTCTGCGGCTCGGTAATTTTGGGTGCTTTCACAGGCACTTAAAGCATGCTGCTTGTTTTCGGCGGACCACGCAACCTTCAAGATGTCTGTCCTGCTGGTCAAGGTCGCGCGGAAGGTCTACGGTCCACGTGGACCTTTGTTGGACAAGGTTTGCCAGCACCTTCTTTTTCTCTCCGTCAGGCTCTTCGCAGCATGCATTTGCAAATCACATAGAAGAGCATCGAAAGACTTGTGGATCTTGGTGAATTGTTCGTTATCAGCTCTTCCTCGGCAATGCCGGGCCGAAAGCACAGATCGAGCTTTCCATGTGGGTGCGCCCTCAGCAAACGAAATCAACTTAGCACGGATCGGTCGAAGAAGGTGGGTACATTATTGGGGTTTAGGGGTTTAGGGTTAATAGAGTGTAAGTAATTGTGGCACAAATGGTTGTACTATTGTCGGCTTCTACAATATGCTGGGGCATGTGGACGAACACTTCTTTGACCACCAGGCTTGATCGAGCAAGCCAATCAATCCGCATCCGGACGACGATCGAATCCCTAGGCCGTACACCCTAAAAGCCATACTAAGGGGGCCGTAATACATACCTATACTACATTGTGCGGGTTCCTGATTATAACTACAGTATAATGGGCCACCAAAACCCTATTCTATTATTACGGCTCCTAAAATTAAGCCCTTCCTGTAACCCCTAAAATGCCCCTAAACCGGTGCAAGCACTGCCTTGTGTGCCGGAGGGACTCCCACAGCCGAAAGGGGGAGCTTACAGTCAGCCCCAAAACGTTGGAAACCGGATTTAGGACAAATAGTGCTGAAACTCCCTATACATTACTCTCCACGATGTGAGCTACTGGGTTTCCAACTTTTGGGCTTCTACTATAGAGCTCAGGTACTATCGGATTAAGAGAAAGAATTTTAATCATTTCGGATTCAGTGTGTAGGGTTTATAGGAACCATGAGAAGAAGGGCTTGGTGTATGTTGCAGAAAAGCTCATAAGGACCATAAGGGATCAGAATTAATGCTAGTCGCTGCTAGTCATTCAGTACCGTCGTACGGTAATATAGGGGCCTTAATAATTAGAATAGGGTTTTCGAGGTTCATAATACTATGAATATAATAAGGAGCCGTCAACATACTATGGGGAATTACTGAGGCTCCTATAGTATGTGACATTACCTCCCTTAGGATGCTTCTGTTCAGGTCTTTCTCGCTTGAAGCCTCGAAAGCCTAAACCCCAACAGTGCTAAACCCAAGGAGCCTACACCCCGAAGCCCTTCTAAAGCCTGCACATCCCCAAAATATCAAAAAAAACAAAACGCCTTAAAACCTGCCACGCCCGAAGCCCCTTTACAGTAAGTTCTTACATCCTATCCTATCCCCAACCGCAACAGGCCCCCTTTGGAGGATCCGTTTTGACGGAACCTTAGGGGAACCCCTAGAGAACCCCCTTAAAGGAGCCCAGAAAGAAACCCTGAGAGGATCCTCATAGGAGGCCGAAAACCCTTTTAAAGCCTAACCCAAAAGCATCAGTCAAAATCCCCAAAGCCCCATGTAAAGCCGGCACCCTGCAGTAAACCCCATAAAGTTGGAAACCGGATTAAGGCCAAATAGTGCTGGGATTCCCTATACATTACTAATACTCTTAAGGATCGAGGCTATGGGGTTTCCAACGATTAGGCTTACTACTGTAACCCTAAGAGGCCCCCTTAAAGGATCCCTTGAAGGAGTGCCCTGGGATCCACTGCAGCTTCCGCTCGCCGATGATGTCGTACTCGCCTGGGCCAGCCTGGCTCGCAACGAAAAGCGGCGTTCGGTTCTTTTTTTATAGGTTCAGGGTTTATAATTTGTTTTTGAGGTTCAGGGTTTATAGCGTTTTTTTTGAGGTTCAGGGTTTATAGGGTTTTAAAAAGCGGCGTTCTGGTTTTTTGAGGTTCAGGGTTTATAGGGTTTAGGGATTAGGCTGTACCTGGACCCCAAATTTGTGGAATAATAGCACGCTGTAGGTTTTGGGCCATTATCCTGATTATTTACCTTTGGGGGTTTAGGTGGTTGCTTTGGGCTTACGCTTCTTCAGGGGGTTTTGAAGGGTAGAGTTTTGCGCAGCTTTGTAGGGCTGTACAAGAGTCGTTGAGGAGCTACATGGGGCTTCGTATAGGGTTGCACGAGGCTTTTGGGGATCACTACGGGCCTATGAGCGTGTTAAGGCATACAGATTGAGGGTGTTAGAGGAACGACTAAAGAGAAAATTACAAAGATTATCTTGACACTTCTGAGTTCCAACGTCATGTGCATCTTCGTCATGGCTTGACGACAGATGTTTCCCCGTGACCGCGTCCGGAACTCCATGCCATCCATCGCTACCATGGTCTGCTTGGGCCAGAATCGCAGCTTCATGTGAAGGACGAGGATTCAGGATGCAACGGCTTTGCTTGTTGACCTCCTTGCTGCCTGTCTCAACTGTCATTCGGCATGTGGATGTGGGCTGATCATCCGACGCCGTGGGCTGCGCTACCAAGCAACGCCTCGAGGAACTCAGCAGCACGTGCTGCTAGCTCAGCGTCCATGAATTTTCGGATCCAGTACTTCTCGACGCAGTCGGCGACTTCGAGACGCGGAGCACCACGCCGAAGCTCAGCATTGTCGCCGGAGCCCACATGCAAGATCGAGGAGCCGAAAGATTGGGTGGGTGCCCGCGTCTGTTGAAGAATGCGCTCGAAACGCCACAAATCCCCCGACCTTGCTTCCCTAAACCTCTAGCCCTGAACCGAAAAATCCTGAACCTCTGCACCCTAAACTTGGCTTTAAAGGGGTCTTCAATGGAGCTGCTTGGGGGTCGACGTATAGGCAACATAGGAATGGCCTGGGTACGGCCCCCACTCAGTAATAGTTGAGTAATATTCACAATACAGATGTATTAGGACCTTAATAGTAGCCCCATTATAGACTTGTACAATAATAATAGCCCTATTATAGACTAGTACGAAAATAATAGCCCTATTACAGACTATTACTGTATGGGGGCATTATCTAAGTCGGAATGGCTCTTCCAGGGGATTGGGAGGGCTCACCCTAGGAGCCTCCTCGCCAGGTCCAAACCCAGCCTAGGATGCCCAGTAACCTAGGAATACAAAGGGCTCCCTTTTTGGTATTGGGTACCTTTATAAGGAACCTATGACTACAAAAAGGGAATAAGGTACTGCTGGGCATCCTAGCAGCAGACTACAGCAAGTCAGGACATCAGCTCATACATGTCGTGACACATAGTGAAAAGAACGACCCGAGCATTCACCACAAAAAAGGGCATGGATTCTCAAGGGTGCGCTAGTGGGTCGTATCGCTGCAGGTTTCAGACTTCAGGGTTTAGGCTTTAACAGGGTTTACAGCGAAGGTGGGGCGGCTGATGAGTGCAGAAATAGTTCTTGGAGGCTTCAATACTTGACCCTAAACCCTATAAAGGCCAAACCCTAAACCTCAAGCCCTAATGATGATGACTCTGTCTGACGGGAGGGCCGAGTAATTTAAGAAAGAGGTCGTTGTGAACCTGACTGACAATGGTCTTTCAAATTAGGCCTTGTAACTAGCTTAGACTAGGAAGTCGCCCCAAGCCCAAAACCCTAGAACTCAAATCCTGAACCCGGGGTCGCCACCGGCTCCTTTGGACTTCCATGTCAACCCTCCTCAAGTCCAAGGGTAAAAGGAGGGACCCTTAATAAGGACCCCTAGGTATATACCCTTAATATAGCTATTAGATACCGATTATATAGCCCATTATAGGGTAGGGGTCCCCATTAAGGGTCCCTCCTTTTCCCCTTGGATCAAGGGATGAGCCGAGTTTCATCGGTCTGGAGATTAGGGTCTAGGGCTCATGGTGTAGAGTCTTGGTGGGGGGGAGCCTTTATTTAAACCCAAGCCATCGAACCCTAAACCCCTAAACCTTAAACCGCTAAACTCTAAACCCTCAAGCCCCAAGCCCAAAACCCGAGAACTCAAATCCTTTATTTAAACCCAAGCCATCAAACCTGAACCCTGAATTCCAAGACAAAAAATTCTAACATCGCGATCAGCTGCTAGCCTCGTAGAGGAACCGCAAAAAAGCCCTTAATTTTGGAATATATATATATATATATATCACAGGAGAATTACTAAATTACAGACACGAACAAGTTTTCGGTGGATGTTATAGTTTGGTTCTTATCGGGGGTGTAACGGAACAACATGATGTAACCAATTACTTAGGCTTCTATATTGCTATTCCCTTCAACCGTACATTCAAACGCTGGTACAAGTACAGGTTAAACTATACTCCACATGAAGGAATATAATATACATCAAACCTTGAAGGAGGCAAAAGGTAACAAGATAAACCTCTCAATCAAGGGCGGATGGGCTTCCCTGACACGTTCCTAAAGCCCCAAACCTTAGGCCATCTCCTCCAGACCCTTCATGGCTTTTATAGGCGTTGCTAAACCCTGACACTCACCTCCATGCAGAAGCCTAGCCAGAAGAGCCTGATACTCCTGAATTGAGGAATGTACCTGCTAAGCATCATGCTAATAAGGCCCCTGCATAGAAAAAGGCCGAGTCGTAATACAGCAAAAGCAACTGAGAACACAAGCATGCTGTGCGCGTTCCGAAATCCGGGCTGCAAGTGTAGAAATGTAACTAGCCTTTAAGCTATGGGCTGTGGTGCTTCTCACTTCGCAGTTAGCATATGAACGTGTCCAAACCCACACCCGACAACAGTGAAACGGAAACGCGCCAGGCAGGCCATGTCCCGAGGCTCACCGGTATGGCGGCTTGTCCTGACACCGAGGTCTTGCTGAAGAGCTGACCGTGACAAGGACATCGGACTGTATGCCACTGGGGATTGTAAACACTCGATGCTCAAATGTGGGTGTGGTACAAGCCCAACACATGAAACTCTTGAGGCTTCAGCATTTGGATTGTTCAACTGTTTGGTTTGGGTGACGAAAAACCATTGATGTAAGTTCTGGTGTTTCAAAAATTGTTGCCTACATGGTCCGAAGCAAACTATAGGAAATCTCAGCACTTACACGAGTCAGTACATTCGTGATCCGTTTCCGGAAGCCGGAACCTCATACATGGGGGTCACCAAACCCAATGTCCTGAACCACTCAAAAGCCAATCCTTACAACCTTGAACCCCCTAAATGAATTCATCCTTGACTGTGGTTTGCTATTGTGGCAATCCAAGCCATTGAAATTGGATGGTATAGAGTCAAGTTGCTTTCGGGGCGTTTCTGCCGCGACTAAGAAGCTCAGGTCGGTTCCCAAACCCTAAACCCTAAACCCTTCCGGCTGGCCATCGGCGTTCTTGTGGAGGCCACCAACTTGCTCGTCTGGAACATCTTGCAGCGGTGCGATGGTAGGGAATCAACTCCCGTGCTGCCGACATGAGTTTCTGCTCTGCTTCAAGGATTTGCTGGAACTCCTGTGGGTTCTGCCGCTCCAGCTCTTCACACAGCCACCGACTGAACGGCTCCTCCTGTTCTTTCAGGACGCTGCCCAAGACGACACGGCAACCCTCTTCATGAACATCTTCCGCTGCCTGGTGGAAAACGTCTCGGCGCAGAAGCACACACGGTGCTACGTGGGTAGTTGTCAAAACTAGGGTCCCTTTACCTAATATTTGGGGTACCCCAAAAGGGACCATAATTTTGACAACCACCCATGTAGATGGTGGCACCCGGCAATCCACGTACCGTGGGACTGTCAGACTTAAGGTCGACGGCAGCAGCGCGTCATGCCGTTGTCTTTACCTGCCTTTGGTTAGTAGGGAATGGGAGGAATGGGGTACAATTATTGCTGTCATGCTCGCTGTCGCCCTTGACCCTGAAGCATGTGCATGCCGTCGCAGTGTTTCCGCCTGCCATGCATCTGCCAGGAAGTAGAGATCAAGCAAAAATGCGTTGGCTGAACACCGCTGTCTCAGATCCACATCACAAAAGTGCCCCTTAGGGACGGGAAGGGTGGGAAGCAAGAGAAGAATCACTACCCTTTGTCATTTGGGCTAGAGCCCGAAAGAGTTGACGATCGACAGTTGGTTCAATGGCTCCTGCTGCACCTGTTGCTCATGACGAAATCACAACTGCTTGCACCGCTCCAGTGCAGCAATATGGGGTCCATTGCTGTCATGCTCGCTGTCGCCCTTGACCCTGAAGCATGTGCATGCCGTCGCAGTGTTTCCGCCTGCCATGCATCTGCCAGGAAGTAGAGATCAAGCAAAAATGCGTTGGCTGAACACCGCTGTCTCAGATCCGCATCACAAAAGTGCCCACCCCCACAGCCCTGGCCAACGGCAGCCAGTCGGCGTCGTGTGGCCGCCAATTTAGGTTGCAAGAAGCCAGCCTAAAGGCTAAACGGCATCTTGCTCACGCCTTTGAGCCCTTGTCATGGCAGACCGTCAAGCGCTCCGCGAGCCTGAACCAAGACAAGGGACAGCGCAACAACTCCTTGTGCGCCCGCAGCAACTTTCGCAAGGAGGTACCCGATCAAAAACCATCAGCACGTAGCCCGGATGGTCCAGACGGAAGTGGCAGAGTCATGAAAACCAAAACTTCGTTGATGGATGTTGATGGCATCGGAATACAGCTGATTAGTTTGCACTTCCAGCTCCACTTGACGTTGAACGGCGGCTAACCAGCTACAACCGGGCCAACAAACCAAACAAATTCAAAAACAAAACTCAACGCCTTCTCATGCCCTGAAGCTCGCGGAAACTGCCGGTGCATCCGTCGCCACTGCCGCTGCACATAGTTTGGACAGCAATCGACGGAAGCTTGGCAATTTCGGAGGCTTCTTTGGCTTACGGACACGAACGCCTCTGGACGGTTCATCGCTCGGGTTCTCTGCCGAGGGCACTAGCACCAAGTGTAAGTGAAGGTCTCCCGCCATCGTCAGAGCTGCGACCTTGCGTAGCAACCTGTTCAGTGACGTGGAAGACCTTCCCTTTGCCGCTGCACCTTGCCAGACAGCTGAGTCCACCAAGATAACGACCCTGGAGCAGTGTCTGCTCCGACACCGCAAAAGCCATCGCAGCAGCACCACGAAAGCTTCACCCTCCAGAATGTTGATATGTGCATCGCGTCTCTTCTTGGCGCTGAAGATGTGCACGAAAGCAGATTTTGGAAGACCAAGCTTGTGCTCGAACCCAGCTCTAGCCGCGTAGTCGTTGCCGCTGCCAAGAGTGACAAAAGTTCCTTGCTTCTCGGCAGCTCTCGCTAGCTCACGAACTTTGCTTTGCGGAAGACGGGCCACCGATGCTCCAAAACCATACTCTGTGCTAGCATCGGATGCAGCCACCAAGGGAAGGAAAGGTCTGCAAAGGTCCGCTTTCCAAAAAACGCCGAGAACCAAGCCGAGCAACAACTCCTCGACGACCTCGGGCGGAATGTGGCGAAGATCCGTGTCATCAGGATGCTGAACAAAGGAGTAGACCTTCTGGTAAGTAGCCAACTTCGAGCGCCTGAGCAGGTCGTACCACTGCAGCATGCTGAGGACCCAGTGAACCTCCTTCGGCGAGGCATACGGAGTGCGAGCAAGGGTCAGCACGAGGATGGTGAGCGCCAAGCAACGGGCTGGCGGCGCTGCCAAGTGAGTGCCACCTTCCAGCCGCACCCCCACACACGTGGCGTCCAGCTCGTCGTTCACATCCTTTCCTGGGTGCTTGATTGCCCCGCGCTCTGCCATAACCTCGTCGAAGCGCTGTGCAACACTGCTTGTCACACCAGGCCCGGCATTGCTGAAAAACATTGCGTCGTCTGTGGCAGCAGCGAAAACGTTAGCAAACTGGGACGGAGTGGGCGCGTCGCACGCCAGCACGCACTCCTCCCCCAGACCTGCTTCCTGACAGCACGAGAGAAGCACCTCTTGGGCCACATGCGACGACCAAGAGAAGCCCATTGGCCAGACGTGCGACACAGGAAACAAACGCTCAGCCGAACAGCAGTCCGATTGCACATACGATGCCACTTCAGAGATGCTCATGTCCCCATACAGCTGGAGCTCCTGCATGCTGACGGGCGGCCTTCCCATCCATTGTCGGAGCTCTTCTGGCAGGGCCAATTGGTCGAACCAACACTTCGCATCACGTTTGCTAACGCGCAGAGGCTTGTCCGCACTTGCCTCCATGTGTAGCAAAGCAGTCGGCGAAGCCAGATGCCGTGGTGGGAAAGGAGGGGCGGCAGCTTGCGAGACCCGTTTTCCGTGCCAAATCTCGCGCAGCTTCCCAGTGCCAGGCTTTGTCACCACCAAAACAGTGCCACCACCGGACACAGAGGTACGCAAGCCCAGCTTTCCACTTCGCAACTGCTTGGCCACAAGTTTGACGTACTCGGGTCTGTCATCATCAGGAATACTGTCGAACTGTGCCAAGCCTGCCGAAGGCGAAGGGAAAACAGCAGACAGCAGTGCACGTGAGGCTGCAGGTAAGTACGGCGAGGGGTCGAGCATCCCGCAACTGCCCAAAACATCCACGGCATCACATATGAGAGCCGCATACTTAGGGCCCTCCGGCTTCACGACACCAGGCACCCAGTCCGGGAGCAAGTGCTCCCGTGACCCATCCTCAGCAGCCCGCAGGCGGTCGTAGAAATCACTGCAGCGATCCACAATGCGTCGAGCCACGTCGGTCTGAGCTGTTGTCATTCTGGGCGGCCTTCCGGCAGATTTCCCGACCCCAAACAAAAAGTTCAAGATCATGATGACGAGGTTCACGAATCTGCACATGATTTTCTGTTTCCACGACTGCAATCGCAAAGAACTCAAAAAGGCTTCATCAACACCGCCCATCGGAAAAATCTCCCGCGACCTTGCAACTGACGATAACGGCGATGCACTGAAGCACCGAGAGGAAGCAGCGAAAGCGCCGTCAGTGCGCTCACATGTGCTGCAGAGCCTGTCCAACAGCCAGATGCGTTCCGCCGGCACTATGTCATGCTGACCTGTCCTCCTGAGCAGCCACTCTGTTCGCCTGCGACGATCCCGGGCCACATTTGTGGGAGATCGTCTTTTGCGGTGAAGGGGTTGCGACCCTTCTTTCAGCGGCATTTGCAAGCTTGCTGGATCACAGAAAAACCCCCCCACATGGCTAAGCAAGAGAAGAATCACTACCCTTTGTCATTTGGGCTAGAGCCCGAAAGAGTTGACGATCGACAGTTGGTTCAATGGCTCCTGCTGCACCTGTTGCTCATGACGAAATCACAACTGCTTGCACCGCTCCAGTGCAGCAATATGGGGTCCAAAGGGGCCTTATAAAGGGGTCTATAAGGGTTACTATCAGGGATCTATAAGGGTACTATAATATTCGGGCCTTCATAATCCTATAATCTTGCCTTTGGTTACTAGGGAATGGGGGAATGGGGTACAATTATAACTACTATTGCTACCATTCTTCCATTCCCTACTAACCAAATGTAAGTTTACCTGCAACCACTGCCGATACGTTCATGGCGACGCTCAATGAAATCCTGGAAAAGCATCGAAAGTACCCTATGCCCTATGCAGCCCTAATAGGCCCCTGTAAGAATCTCAGAAACAAAACACGAATAGAACCGAAGCATTATGACTTTTCTTGAAGTCGTTCATAAACCGCCGAAAGGGCCATCAACACACACTGAGTCATAGCAACGTCTTACGAAAACTGTACAAGCATGCAATGGAACAAGCATTTAAGCATTCTTGTACAAAGGCCGTATTCAACCATTGCTACCCTACCGCTAAACCCTTAACCCCAAACAAAAGTAACCCCTAAACCTGGTAAACCCTACAAACCCTGTAAACCCACAGCTAAGCACAAACCCCACTAAACCCAAAACCCTGTAAAGGCCTACAAGCCCGTCAAACCTCAAAAAACATCCCTAAACCCCTAAATCCCTAAACCTTATACCCCTAAACCCTAAACCCCTAAACCCCTAGACCCCTGGACCCTCAACCCTAAGCACATCCCGGACCAGGTCTCCCAACAACTTGGCGACATCTGCCGAAGCAGCCTCTGTCTGCGGGACCTGGCCTGGAAGATACCTGGCAGCCCTACACCCCAAGGGCCCTAATATCGGGGCCTTCATAATTAGGATAAGGTTCCTTTAAAGGGATCTATAGGGGCTACTATAAGGGATCTATAAGCCTAGCCTAAGGCCCTAACCAAGACCGCCCAAGCACCCTTTAAGGGAATGGGGTTTGGAATTTGTGATTTGGGGTGTCCTTGCTGTTTTCTTGCGTTACCTCGCCGCTGTGGGAGGGTTTAGGGCATGGCGGTCTTCGAGTTTTGGGCCTGGGTGTGTGGAGGGTCGTAGAATGACTCGTAAGCCTTGTACCTTAAAGCATTCAACTCCAGGCCCCTGAACTGCGCACCCTACGCATGAAAGCTTTGGACCCTAACAAGAGAAGAAACCCAAAACGCCGAGCTGTTCAAGACGAGTGAAGGGTTTTGCGTTCTTCTGGAAGTCTAGCAAAAGTGCCCCCTTCCAGTCCCTGAATAACACCCAAACCCTGTTCGAGTTCTTCTGGGCCACCGCTCCATGTCAGGGTACAGGACATGCGGTTTTCAGGGTTGACGGTTTGAGGCCTAACATTTCAAGTTTTGGGTTCCGGGTCGGGGGAGAGTAGCAGTATCTCCTTACGTTCCCCGGTTACGGTGTGCGGTTTAGGGCTTAGGCTCTCATTTTACTACGGTAACCCTCTTTCAACTACAACAAATGGGAGTTTCCGAAAATAGGGGACCCTAATATAGTACCCTAAATAGTAGGATCCTTCTTATAAGGACCCCCAATAAGGTACCCTTAGTTTTCGGAAACTCCCACATTGTCAACTTCTTCCGGACATCTTCAGACACCGCACCTCATCGGTGGAACTGATGGGGCTGTCTTGTCTCTGTCCTTTCCCGCAACCCAGAGACTCTAATTAGCGGTGGACCCAGGCAGGCTGACAGGTCATGCTACATCCCGTATATTTTCTAGACACACATACGCACATACATACATGCATACATACGTAAATACAGAATGGAAGGTGATATGCGCCAAACCTGAGCCCAACATCCTAAGCCCCCAAACCGCCACCCGAGACTGATTCTTTAATTTCTTTACGCAGAGGGTAAAAGTACCCAACAAGTATAGTATAGGTCTCCCAAATCCCCAAGATTTCGGTACCTAAAACCCACTTTTGAATACTTGAACCCTTATACGGTTGGAGAGACACGTTGGGCGAGTTCCAGAAGCCCTATGATCCTGATGGTCAGCAAAAACCGAATATTACAAATCCTCTTCTGCTATGTGGTATAGTCCAATATCCTAGGGAAACTTATAAAGGTTAACCTATGGGATTATGCAGGGGTTATAGTACCACAGACAGGTCAAAGGTTACCTAGTCCACTACTAAGTATGGGACCTGATGGCCAGGAGGTTACTTGTCCGTCTCGACACAGTTTTGCTTAGCCACAGCCTACCTACCGAGCTACTGTAGGGGCCTTCATAATTAGAATCGGGTATTGAGTATTGGGCCCCATTATACTATACCTATAATAAGGAACCCCCAAAAGAGTGTAGGCAGAAATAAACCTTAAACCGTGAAGCCTAAGCAAAACCCTAAACCCTAAACCGGTAATTATTTAGGCCCCGTAGTATTTAAACCCCGGCAAACTGCCCGGACCCTCAAGCCCTCCAGACTTCGAAGTCGCAAACTATAGGGGCCTTAATGATTGGAATAGGGTTTGGGGGCCCATGATACTATAATTGTAGTAAGGAGCCGCCTCAAAATAGTATAGGTGGTTACTAAGGCCCCTATATCCCTATACAACAAGACCACCCGCGATTGCAAAAGACGCTCGGTCCTTCAGAACTGGCTTTACAGCCGGCATCAAGTCCAACCTTGGCACGGAATGCGGGGAGTTTCCGAAAATTCAGGGAACCGTATTTTGGGGTCCTCATAATAAGGATCTTACTATTTAAGGTACTCTACTATATTCGAGGCCCCTATTTTCGGAAACTCCCAAAAAGCTTCGGTGCAGTATTGTATCCCTGTTTATGGGAGTTTCGGGCTTGCTGGTTCAGGGTCTCTATTACCGTTTGAGTCAAAGACCTTGGGGTAGGTTTGGGGTCGCATGGTATCAAAAATTGTCGCCCAAACCCTCTCAAGATCTACAAACACCTTACAATCACATACACCTTGGATTTGATACCTTTTCAAAGACTTCCAGGGATGAACGACCTTTAAACGGGAGTACCTGGAATTGAAGTTGACACCGAAACCCTAAACCCAAATACGTTAACCTACGGTTTCAGGGTAGCGTCATTTTGCCTACTTTTGAAGGGTTCGGATACGCTCTATTCTCTAAGCCTACTCCCCAAACCCACGAAAAAGGGCCATGGGGGATTCTCAAGGATTCGGTCGCCACGGCCTGCGGCTCAAAGTAAAGACCTGTTTCATTAGAACCGGGTCTCAACGGGTTTCTTTTTCTAGTTCAAGGGCCTTAGCAATTCCAATAGGGCGTTGGGACCGTTTTGTATGACTGCACCTATGAGGAGAAACTGTAAACGCTTCCATGATAAAACGTTCTTCTGCTTGGCTTTCTTTAAAACTTCCTACAGCTCAGCACAATGCCTGGAACCCTTAAAAGACAACTACCTTCGATGATGATATGGGAGTCTCCGAAAATAGGGGACCCTAATATAGTACCCTAAATAGTAGGATCCTTATTACAAGGACCCCAAGATAAGGTACCCCTAATTTTCGGAAACTCCCATATGCTAAATACCAACAAGTAGCGGCCCCGAGGGCTGTGTCAGAATTTTCGACACCCTTTTACCTGAATGTCCGGATTTCCGACATCCTCTACTTTGGGTTTAGGGTTTAGGGGACTCTGCTTAAAAGATCATGGGGCTTAACAAGTACATGACTGGGGGTTATATGTATTTCTGAGTAAATACTGGCATGAGGGTTACAAGTATCCCTCAGTAAAGATGTGAACTAGGCTCATAAATCTTTAGAGTTGCGTTTGTATAATAATATATATAGTTACCTACTAAGCTCCATGACCGTTCATGTACAGCACCAAACGGCTAGTGCTGGGGGTGTTACTAGGAGTCTTACTGTCAAACCCACAAATGTTGAACCCGGAACCCCAGCCGAGCCTGAAAAAAAAAGGTAAAGTTATCGCTCAACACCCATAAATGGCTATCGGTCTACATATACGCTTGGGATCCAGGTATAGATCAAGAATGGGATGTTGATTTCAGCTCCCCACATCGGCGGTGGCGTTATAGACCCCTTCCGCCCATAGGTACCAGGGCCTGAGAATCTGCGGAAGGTTTTAGGTTTCGTTTTTTTTACGGGCCCTTTATCAGTCTGCATGAAGCGTCCTAAAAGCCCCTTTGGGCGGGCAGATCACCTGAAGAGGCAATAGGTTTCGGGTTTTGCGGTTCAGGTTTGGGCTTTCGGGGGCTTTAGGGTTTAGGGTTTAGGGTTTAGGGTTGTGCAGTTATCAGGGCCACGACAAAGCGGTGGCTGTGGGATCTGGATCTAGACTACATAGTGGTGCTCATCTACGGAGAGCTGGTTTCCGGAATCGTAGCGATCAAACTTTCAAAGGATACTTAACCTTAAGCGTTCCAAGTTTTGAAGGTTGCGCAGTTTGGTCGGTTTTAGCATCGACACTACGGAACCCTTTGGGGTATAGGGCTCTAGCGCCTTATATATAATGTGGTTGGACAGCTGAATGGTTCTGCGCCGGTTTGGGTCTACTTGGAGGGTCGGGGACTTAGTAAGTAGGTAGTAAGTAGACTTATAAGTACCCTAAAAGGGACCGTAATTGGGGTTATGGTACTTATAAGTCCCTAAAATAACCAGTTACCAAGTCCCCCGACCTCCAAGTATGTCGGCATGGTTCGATGTGAAGGCCAACCCGTAACCCAGACTCCCGGAAGGATCCAAAAAGTAGATCCCTTAATGGGGGTTCCTAGAAAATACCCTTAGTAGTATAGGGCCCCAAATTCGGGGATCTACTTTCTAGATCCTCCCGGGGGTCTGGGAAACTAATTAGAACCCTCCGAAGCCCGTGGGCGCCAAATCTTAAATCTTAAACATGCGCAGCCCATAGGTTCGTGGATCTCGTAAACATGGACCCCAAAATCAATGTAGGGGCCCCTTTAGAGGGATCCTTAAACGGGGTTCTATACAAGGGCTACTATAAGGATACTATGGTATAGGGGCCTGAATAATTACCAATATTCTTTTGGTGGGCTCCTTATTATAACTATAGTATAGTGGGCCCCAAAAACATATTCTGATTATTAAGGCCCGTTGACTACATTGCTCCTCAGCCTCAAACAAACCCCAACGCCTGAAGGACAAGCACTCCCCCTCAAGAAGGCTGGACACGGACACGGGTGGGTGGTTGTCAAAAGTATAATCCCTTTTTTGTGCCCCAAATAAAAGGTGCCGTGCTATAATAGGGACCCAAAAAGGGACCAAATTTTGACAACCACCCATGTGTTGCTGTCCCTCACCGTCGCTTTTATGTCAGAATCTTCCAGCTGCTTAAGTCGAAGGATTCTTCCTTTAGTCTCCATTACCTTATAGGGTCCAAATTACATATTTGGTAGTTAAACCCAAAAAAAGGAACTACATTGGAGACTATAGGTTCAGCTGATCTTGCACTGGCCTACTGTCGCCGCCATGTGAAGCCTTACCCCAGGTCACGATCGAGCCGTCGCGAAGAATGGCAGCAAACGCGCCAGCGAAGGGGCCTGTTGTTGCTCGGATATGCTGCACATTCTTCAGGTGACCCTGCACAGCACTACAGACACCACCATGATCAGCCTCACCCCAGGTCACGACGGATGCATCAACAAGAATGGCAGCAAACGCAAGCGCACTGGCGTGGATCTGCTGCACATTCCTCAGCTGGTCTTGCACAGCGCCACTGTCGCCGCCGCAGCTAGCAGCACCCCAGGTCACGACCGATCCATCGTCAAGAATGGCAGCAAAAGCGCAATGGGAGGCCTGAATGTGCTGTACATTCTTCAGTTGATCCTGCACAGCATGGCTATCACCACCATGGTCAGCACGACCCCAGGTCACCACGGATCCATCGCCAAGGACGGCAGCAAAAGCGCTTCTTGTGGCTTGGATCTGCTGCACATTCTTCAGCTGATCCTGCACAGCACTACTGTCACCGCCAAAAGCAGGAGGACCCCAGGTCACGACTGATCCATCGCCTAGCCTGGCAGCAAAGGCACTTTCAGAGGCTTGGATCTGCCGCACATTTTTCAGCTGGTCCTGCACAGCACTACTGTCACCGCCACAGCCAGATTTGCCCCAGGCCACGACCGATCCATCGCCAACAATGGCAGCGAAAGCGCCAGAAGAGGCTTGGATCTGCTGCACATTCCTTAGCTGATCCTGCACAGCGCCACTGTCGCCACCACTGCTCGCAGCACCCCAGGTCACAACCGATCCGTCGTCAAGAACGGCAGCAAAAGCACCCTGCAAAACACTTCGTGTGGCTTGGATCTGCCGCACATTCTCCAACCGGTCCTGCACAGCACTACTGTCACCACCATGATTTGCAGCACCCCAGGTCACGACCGATCCATCGCCAAGAATGGCAGCAAAAGCGCCGCAAGAGGCTTGGATCTGCTGCACATTCTTCAGCCGATCCTGCACAGCACGACTGTCACCGCCATTGAGAGCATCACCCCAGGTCACGACCGATTCGTCGCTTAGAATGGCTGCAAAAGCACCTGCAGCACCTGCACAAGCTTGGATTTGCTGCACATTCTTCAGCTGATCCTGCACAGCACTACTGATGCCGCCGCATCTAGCTTCGCCCCAGGTCACGACCGATCCGTCACCAACAATGGCTGCGAAAGAGCTGCGAGTGGCTTGAACCTGAACACTGTTGACCTGCAGTGTCAGTATATCACCCGTTTGTATCCTGGCATGCTTGATCGGTGCACTTACATCCAGAACGTATCCAGAGGCATCCAGCAGGCGCCCTCTTGGGACTCCCAGTGCAGTCTCTGTCCGAAGTTTCAGCGATCCGACTTCTTCATCCAAGCCGGCTTCCACAGTGGCTGATTTGCCGCTGAGCAGTGCAACTGTTACAATAACCGACATGAGAAGAAACGCACTTTGTAAAGAAATGCACAACCTCTAACATGGTTTAGCTCCAATGATGTGGATAGCTCTACTTCGTGTCAATCTCAACAGTCCCCAAAAGTATGTATAACTGGAGTAACTAGAGCTTCATGTAGACAGGTTTCAGCGATTCCTGTGCGTGAGCAGCAGAACTCTTGCAACTACGACGTCAAAGGAGGGCGTGGAAGTTGCTCGTCGGGACAGGATCCTCGTACCGAACCTAACCCACGATACTAAGTTACTAAGTGGAGTGGAATGCATGTTGATCTTCATGCCCTCACCGTCCCGCCTGGATTCTTGGCGATTGTGGACTCGGTGTACACAGTCCTTGGCGAGCAACGCAGGCAATGCGGAAAAGGTCAGTCATGTGGTTGTGGAGGACTCTTCCCCCGAACCAAGCCATCGTCAGATGTCTTCAGCTAAGTTGTCATAAAGCATTGCCAACGATTCCTGCACGAAAAACAAGGCTACTGCATCTAGACACAATACCGGATTCAAAGATATTCGGTGGAAGACAGCAAACAACGTACGACAAGTACCAAGTCCTTGCTTGCTCATGGTCGTTTGTGGCACTAGCCCCAGAACCAGCCTGAACCATCCAAAAGCACCAACTCATGCCGTATGAAACGACATCCAGCACGTCTGTGTACGCGGTTGTCGATCTACGCATGAACAGACGGACACACAGAGGCTCAGATACAGACAATCACACACACACACACACAAACGAACGAGCACACACACACACACACACGCACACATATGTATTTATGTACATATATATATATATATACACATGTTTATATGTGTATACACATATATACAGATGTATTAAGTCATATATATATATAATACACACACAGATACATGCGTACGTACATACATACATACATACATATCGCTCACTCTTGCTCTCGGGCTCTCTCTCTCTCTCTCTCTCTCTCTTTCTCACTCTTTCTCTCTCTCGTTCTTTCACTCTAACTCCAGCGGTCGGCCCAATTGAAGGCTTCTGCCTTACCCAAACCGCAAAGCCCTAAGACCTGAAACCTAAACCCTGAAGCCCGGCTATGGAAGCCTGAACTACCAATACTGGCTGATTCCTTGATACTCTCCAATATACTGATAGGATGATCTACCCCAGACGCGTATTCTTATTCTCAAGCCCCCCTTGAGGAACCCCTATATAGTAACCTTTATGCATGGAGCTCTTAAAAGGCTCCTGTATTCAACCATACTCAACCCGAAACCCCTTTTCCACCATAATCTAATCTAAACCCTACCTTGAACCCTAAACCCCAAAACCCTTAAATACCCGCCACTCAATCCCAAAATCCTAAACCCCAAAACTTGGTTCCCCGTCGATCCCGGTGTCGACGCGGCCAGCCGCTTGAGCTTGGACCTGGCGGAACCATCGTTCTGGAGGGGGGGCGCCCGGATCTTCCAAGATCCCTTACTGAAGGAATCTAGTTCATTGTTGGGATTGGATTAAAAATGTACATTTTTATTCCTTATTGGGTTTAAGTACCCATAAAAATGTAAAATGTTACCCAACAGCGACAAAGGAATGATAAGGACCCTTAGGGGGGGTAGGGGGGAGGGCGGTAGGGGGCCCTAAATACTTGTAATAAGGACTTGACAAAGCCTATTTGAGGAAGTATAGTCCCCTACCCCCCTCCCCCCTACCCGCCTAAGGGTCTCAACTATAGTAGGGTCTAATCATTAAGGCATATGCCTTAAGCCGTAGTCGAATCCTTTAAGGAACCTCGACTTATGGTGGGATCCCTTGGATAAGGAATTGGATATACCTTATAATTATAGTTGGGTGCCTAATCTGGCTTGAGGAGTATACGATTTGTAGGGTATAGATGAAGATCTGGATCCTTGGCGCCGCTGACAACGCTCATGGCCTAAATCCTCTATATACGATCATCTACTATCATATGCTAGACTAGACTATACTATACTTGCTCTAGTCTACGACAGTGATGTACTACAAAATTATGCTGCGTTAATATACTGTAGCAGACCAGTGGACTCTAATGCACAACAGTATACGAATAGTGAAGCCTTATGGGATGCCAGGAAACTGAGGAGTCACGGTAGAAACTCTTTCTGTGAGGATCCTACTGCTTAAGGCTTCTAAGCTCTGAGGGTCGTTATATCCTTCTGACGCTGCCCTTTAAGCGTTCACCACAGTTAAGGGTTTAGGGCGTAGGGTTTGAAGGCCGTTCCCATTATGACTCGTGTATACATCCGCGCACGCACTCGATCCATGTTCCAGAGGGTGTACTGGCGAGGAACAGAGGAATGCACCTCAAATCATGTCTCAGGGCCCTCTGCAATTTCAGGCATACCTATAGTCTCCATTGTAGTTCCTTTTGGGGTTACCTTATAGGATCCTACTTATATGTTTGGTTAAACCAAACAAGGGAACTACAATGGAGACTATAGGTATAGTTCGAGGCAGGGGCTGCTTGATAATCGGATGTCTGGCATATGGGAGTTCCCGAAAATTAGGGGTACCCTATTTTGGGGGTCCTTAAAATAGGGATCCTACTATGTAGGGTACTAGATTAAGGGTCCCCTGCTTTCGGAAACTCCCATATGTGTCTTTCTGCCGGACTATAGCTAGCTGCACAAATCCCAAAATCGAGACCTGGCATCCATGATACAAAGAACCAATCGTGTCCGGCGAGGCTTGAACGACATCTGCGACAAGCCTGGCATTGGGCTCAGGATTACAAAAGGTTTATATAGTGACTTTTTATACGGAACCGCGGAAAGTTGGAACATGGGTAGAGGATGATTAGTGCTAGGATTCCTTGTGCTTTACCTTAAGGGTTATGAGGACAATGATGCTCCAACTTTCTGGCTTCCACTCTTGATAACTTAGACCGATGGCTCCGAACGACAGAACCTTTAATCAAGGCAACTAGCACCCTGTAGACCCCTGGTCCGGCTACCTATTGCCTTTCAATCTATGACTCTGGGGACCTCGTCACTGTCTGCACAACTCGGACCCTGTATCTAGCCCTGTATAACTTACGCCGCAAAGCCTCCACATCCTACACGCGACTGACACTACTGTCGGCATCCCAAACCTGAAAGTTGAAAGCCCCTCGTAAATAAACCCAATGCCTTGAGCTTGCACCCTAGTAAACCCTAAACCTTGTCTCGGTAAGCGGCTTAGAACCTGAACCTAAGCCGTGCTTTTCTGGGTTTCGGGTTTCTAACGGCCAACAAACCGAATCTCAGAGGTGAGGATGCCCAGGGTTCAGGCTTGAGGGGTTTAGGTTTTGGGTGTTAGGGTTTAGGGAATTAGCGTTTGGGGTTCAGGGTTTCGGGGGTTTGAGTTAGGGTTTAATTATGGGTTTAGGGTCCTGAGACGTTCAGCTTTTCCGCTGTCAAACCTCCTCAGCACCTCAATCACAAGATCCGCTGTCACCTTGAGCTCATGGGCATGATGTTGCTCGTCCCGCGAAGCAGCGTCCAGCGATGCTATGGCGCCCCCAGCTTCGATGTGCTCCAAGATTTTCATGCGCTGAAGAAGCCCATGTTTTATACTCTTCAAGATGCAAGAATAGCTTGAAGTCCGCAGGATCGGTTTCGCGGCAGCTTCCATCACCTCGAAAAGTCCCACCGACTGGTAATCTACCGGAAACAGCTTGCGATGTGGTATGCCGGGTTCCACCTTGAACATCGGCTTGCTCACTATCGTCATGTCACCAGACGACACTTCAACTGGAGAATGTAGAGCATTCAGTGCTCTCTTGGTTTAGGGTTGGGGGTTTCGGGGTTTAAGGGTTTAGGGTTCATGGGTTCAAGGTCCTTACACTATGGCAGGCATCTTTCCCTAAGTGCCCAACTACCAAACAATTTAATTGACCCTCTCGAAATAAACTAGAACATACTATCCGTACTATCCTGAACCCAAGTACCGACTGTATTCGTCGTTGGGTGCTTGGGACCCTTGGGGTTTACACTACATCTGTTTAATTCAAGCAATCCATCTGCGATCGAAAGCGCCGACTACAAAAGCGCAGGGGTTCTTAAATCCTAAATGCCGAAATCTACAGCGACTAGTGACTAGGGATCATCGGCCCTAGACAGAAGCGCTGCTTCTGGGGAGGGGGGTGGGGCACGATTTACACGAAATCCTAAGGCCTAAATTCGATATTGTCTGCTGAGAGGGGGCGATATGTGTCGAACTCGGGGTTACCATATCGAGGTCTGTAGTAGTCGTATGGCGTCCAGATATGGCAACTTAAACTAGATTTCTGAACAAGAACACAGAATTTACAAGCCCAACCCGTAATGCCAAGCCCCTAAACCCTACTTGGAGGGTCAGGGGACTTACTAAGTAGTCATTGTACAGAGTTATTTTATAAGTACCATTACCCCAATTAGGATCCCTTTAAGGGTATGTATAAGTCTACTTATTACCTACTTACTAAGTCCCCCGACCCTCCAAGTACTTCGCTCCAGAAGTCGTGTAGTCTTTTTCTGCCCGCAGCGGAAGCCGCTCCTGGCATCTTCCTGCCTGCCTTAGCGACTGGATGGACTTTACCTATACCCAAAGGCCCCAAAGTAGTTCCTGTTGGGGGATTCGTATATAGAATCCTATAGGGTAATCCCAAAAAGGAACTACTATGGGGCATCTGGGTAGTCTGCATTGCAGTTCCTTCCTTGGGGTTACCTTATAGGATCCTAATTATATATTTGGTTAAACCATAAAAAGGAACTACAATATAGGTAGTGATAGGGTTTTAGGGCTGCAGGGCCTTAGGGATTTTGGACTTCAGGGCTTTAGGGCTGTAGAGTAGAGATTTGGGCTTTGATTAGTGTTCTTAGCTGAAACTATACCCAGAGAGCAAGCGAAACAAGAAATTTCTATTCAAGACACGTACCTCAATGTGTAAATGTGTATCAAGGGCTTAACTCCTCGGACGGGTTCTTGTCCTGAGCTGGGATCGGTGTTGCTCTCTTTTTTTTGTTTGGGAGGTCATGGGTTCAACGGTTGAGGGTTAAAGGTTCCGGGGCTTAGAGGCTTGGGGATTAGGTTTGTTGGCTTTTCTTCAGCTGTTGTTTTGGAGGGGTGTGTGGGTGGATGTGTAGATAGCGATCTTTAGTGGCGTAACGATTGCTTAAGCTTCGGGTACCTTCCTTTTGGGGGGGGGGCTCTTTGTGGGGTTGATAGGACTGTGTGTTGCGGGTCGGGTAGGGCTTGAAAAGGTTTGAGGGGCTGCTCAAAGCGGAGTACCTGGATACCCTTACCTACTTGTCGGGTATCATGAATCATGGGGAGCTAAATGGTAACCTTTTTGGTTATATAGGGATCATTAGGGACTATACTACACAAACAAGGTTAAAGGTTACTACTCTACTACTAGGCTTAACAACCGCATAAAATCCTTCGGAGATCCGGTACAAGAACCTCTTTGCATTCTTAGGTCATTTGGACCCTTAGGGTAAACCCAATGAAGCTCTAGCCCGTCTGGACCGAGACAAGGAGCAGGATGGTAAAGCAATGCCAGCCTTCAAACCGGTTACAAGAGCTACCATCGGTGGACTAAAAGAGCGACTATAAGGGTACTAGGGGTCTCGTAAAAGGTGCGAGTAAGACTTTTGTCCTTGATATTTCGGCGTTGTATGCAATTTATCATGGGGTAGGGGGAGGGGGATGAGGGGGAGGGGGGGTTTCCTAATCCATACTTAATCCTCTGATAATCAATTTGGCGGAGGTACAAACCCTCTTGCGATCCATGGCTTTTCCGTAGATACATACAGCTACCAAAAATGTCAGATTTCAAGGTCGATTAAGCACAAAAGCACCCCGCGATCACACCTTTCGTCTGGTTCCCGAAGACGTGTGTCGGACACTTTCAGCTTCCTTTAAGGCAGCCATGTGCCTTTTCGAGCAACGTGGTAAATTTTACCGGGAGCTAGAAATATTGCTGCTGTTCTGTACCGGGTTTAGAGGCTTTTGTATTGTTCGGATGATTGGAATATGGCTCCGGGCTGAAGGTTTAAGGTGTAGGACTAAGGGCTTCGAGAACCTCCGGATTAAGGTCTGAGCTTCGGGAGTACTTGCTTTCATCCAGTCACTCCTACCCGAATCTCCAAAGTTGGGAAAATACATAACCATCAAATGTGGTTAATCTAAATGTGTTTGGGGTCCAGGTAACCGTCAAACATGCCTTCATTAGTAACTTCTTTCGGCTTTAACGGCTATGCATGACAAACCCCAAGCGTATTTGGCCATAGTAAAGGCATATACTCTGGATGTACATGTATCTACTTATTCCTCAACACACCGCGCTGCAGTGCATGTTGACTCCACTTGCTGTTAAGCCGTCGCACCCACGCTTACAGCTTCTTCCAGCCCCAACACAGAGGATTCAATACCAAAGCCTACCCTAAGGGTTCAGGTGTCTCCTTAGGAGGGCCCAAATGTCCTAGGGAGAGTCCTTGGGTCTCTTTGGGGTCCCAAAACCCTCAATTTTGAGGTTCCCCAATTTGTTAGGACCCTTAGGGAACAACCCGATAAAATCCGATACCTTAACCCTGAAGAACCTACCCCTCTAAGGACTTATATAAGGAAATCATAATAGGGAACTCTAAAAAGGTAGGTTATTCAGGGTTAAGGTCATTCCTAAGGTCCCTAAAGCCTGGAACCCATGGGTTCGGAGCTCTTAGAACCCGAAAGCCCCACCTCCTTGTCGGGTATCATGGGGAGTTAAAGGTTAACCTTGTTGGTTATGTAGGGATTATAGGGTATCATGGGGAACTAAAGGTTAACCTTTTGGGTTATATAGGGATTATAGAGGGACTATACCACCCAAAAAAGTTAATGAAAGGTTACCTACTCGACTACTAGGCCCAAAACAGCACACTGGAACGCTGAAGTCAGTCCTAAATCCCCAATCCAGAAATTCTGAAATCTGAGAAATCAACTTATATATTAAGGCTTTTGGGCCCAAAGACCATACTATATAAGGCTTTTGGGCGAGTTTGATCCCTAGGGTAAGAGCACATGAGACCTAAACCCTGGGCCAAGCCTGAACAAATTTCGACAAAAATGATAGTAGAGCCCAGGCCTGCGATAAGCCTTCTTCACCTGCGCAAGAAGCTCGTCAGAGGGGGTTTTATGCAGAGTGCTGAAGGCGGTATTTAAGGGTTCTATGAGATCATAGAGGGGTTTCGGGGTCGAAAAGCTGAGCTTTTTGGAGTTCTGGGCTGTATGGCTTCAAGGTTGCTACTTGTAGGCTCAACATGTACAATTGGGCGTTTGAAGGTTCCTGTGAAATTGGAGCTGCCGTTAAGGCATCCTGCCCTGAGTAGAAGAAACAAATCAAAACTCACGCCATGTATTTGCTATCTGAGACTTTGCAGAACCCAGGTCTTGAGTGTTAGGGATTGTGTGGGGCGTATGTAGGGCTTAGGATGGGGCCATGGGGTCTAGCGGGTCATAGTATTTAGGGTCTAGTGTGGCTTGTTATGTTCCTCACCAGCTGATGGCAATGCAAAGTGCAACACAAAACACATGGCCCATTGATCGACCGACACCATGTCACGACTGCCCCGTAAGCAAACATGCCATATCCAAGGTCTGCCGTCATGCCGGCTCAACAATTAATTATGGGAGGCCACTCCAAAACAGAGCAGACCCGAAGCCCCACGGAAGTCGCCCAAAAGTATGCATCCGAAACGCTCTGAGCCC